CCTCATGTACAGGTTTTATGGTGTTTTCAAAAGTTACAGCGTCAAATATAAGGCTTGCGTTTCATTTTTTTCACATTAAAATTCGCCAGATTGGTTACGTTGCCTTTGAGACCCTATGGTAGCCCAAGAATGAAAATTACCCCTATGATGGCATACCATTTGCAATAGTAGACAACCCAAGGTATTGCAAACAGGGTATGTCCAGTCTTTTTTAGTAGCCACTTAGTCACAAACACTGGCCAACATTGGCGTTTTTTGCATTTTTCACACACAAACAAATACTAACGTTAACTTTGGCCAGTGTTTGTGACCAAATGGCTACTAAAAAAGACTGGACATACCCCATTTGCAATACCTTGGGTTGTCTACTATTGCAAATTTCATTCCCAGGCTCCTATACAGTCTCAAAGGCAACGTAACCAATCTGGCGAATTTCAATTTCAAATGTAACGTGCTATATTTGACCCTGTAACTTCCCAAAACGCCATAAAACCTGTACATAGGGGGAACTGTCTTACATGTGAGACTTTACTGAATACAAATATCTGTATTTTATTGCAGTAAAAGCAAACAGTATTATGACATTGACGGTTAAAATGTCATGTAGAACTAAAAACAATTTTTAAAAATCGTATATTCTCCCATTTTTTTCATATTAAATTATGTTTCATAGCTAAATATTTGATATTAAATGAAAGCCCTGTTTCCCCTGAATAAAATGATATATAATAAGGGTGGGTGCATTTACTATGAAAGAGGTGAATTACGGTTGGACAGACATGTAGCGCAAATGCCTGGTTTTGTTTACATTTTGTTTTGTTCACAACGTGTACATTTGGCTCCGTCCTTAAGGGGTTAATGTTTAGACTTAACAATTCTGTTAAGTTTGTATATTTGGATACTGGATAAACTTGCTGTCCACATACAACTTTTAAAAATTCTAGGAGAGTGTTATATGTGATTAGAAATATACTAGGGGCATGGTTACGTTAAAAATATGATTAATATTTTGGTATCTTTTCTAAGCTAACTTTTTTTTTATCTGAAAGTTCTAAAACAAACTGTCGATTGGTTTGTACAACTGATGAGCCAGCCTGGAATAAATAAGTGTAAAAAGCAGATCTACCTACAGAGAGAGAACATGAAAACTAATATCAGAGTATAATATAAAAAATGTAATTAAGTATTATTACCAGTTAAGTCGGAGTCCATGGTGAACACGCTCAAATAACCAGAAGCAAAATAAAAGAAAAAAGTAATAAACAAATTAGGTTAGTAAGATTAATGTGCGCCCAGGAAAGTAGGAGAAGTAATCTGCTTCCTGAAGGCCCCATGAGACTGTAACGCAAGGTCTGTGCATTGAACATTAGTTGTAAAGGGATCAGAAAGTGTTACTAATTTAGAGAGAATTGCAAACGGAAAGCTCTGGCCTCTCATGGGTCATGAAAGAACAAATTAAATGTTACAGGTTCCTGGAACATTATCCTTGGTCACCTTATTCATTTGTTACCTTTTCTATACACATTTTCTTTTTTTTTCTCCCGGACTGTGTCTTTTAAGAAAAAGAACTCGGGGAGTTATAATTTAATAAGGATTAATTAGATGCTGTCTAATAAAAAAAAGTAATATGGCAAAAGGGGAATTACATCAAGAAATAAGTTAATTAACTGTAAGGAATATGTAGGCGTTTCACATCCTGCATCCTGTAACACAATTTAAGCTATGCTATAACTACACTTGGTCATTGAATATGGCTAAATGTAAAAAAAAGTTAAAACATTAAAACAGAGTTTAGTTTAGAATAAATTGTGTACAACTATGGCACCTAAACAAAACAACAACAAAAACAAGAAAAAGAAAACGTACTAGATTCATTTATTTGCAAGTTTGTGTTCTAGTTTATGAGAATACACTATTTAGTGAATATGCACTTAGAAGAGTAAACATGCAAAGCAATTTTCTGAAATATAAAAATCAATTCCTTAATCTCTGCAGCAAATGTTCTCCAAACTCGACTGTGATCCGCACAAGGAACATTGTGTTAGCTTGAGGCATGTTGTTACAAGTGAGGGTCAATACTAATGTTTATTGTGTTGGTATTATGATTTAAGCTGGATATGTTCTAATACGTTGTTAAACTAACCCTTGCCGAGATTGATGAGGATTTTGTTTGTATTGTAAAAGATGCAGAGATGGCTAATTCCATTTGTAATCAAATGGTAAAAAGGAGCTAAATTAGGAATCGAGTACTGTGATTGAAGCACAAAAGCAGAATGATTCATTTTAAGAATTTTAATGTTTATTTTTCTTATTATAGATTGTAAAAAATATACATTAGTTGCAAGTACAACCAGTGTGTTTTGATTAATTCTGTGTCAAAGATTTAATTGTTCATATTTAGAGCCATAGATATTAAATATTAGCAAAATATTAGATTGTAGCACATGTTTGAGGCAAATATGCTACACCCATTCCCGTCACTAGCTGCCACCTACAATTTAGCACCTAGAAGACTCTTCCCCTATCTACAGCTCAAACACATTATACAATCCTAACAATTCCAAGAACCAGATACAGGAGCCCTAACCAATCTCCAGAGGATATGCTTGGGACTTAAAGGGACACTGTAGGCACCCAGACCACTTCAGCTAATTGAGGTGGTTTGGGTGCAGTGTTCCTTTTGCACTTAATGTTGCAATGTGAAACATTGCAATTCCAGAGAAACTGCAATGTTTACATTCCAGCACTAAGTCTGGCCACAGTGGCTGTCTACCAGACAGCCATTAGAGGGCTTCCTGAATCGAAACAAACCTTTGGTCCGCTCTGCATGAGGACATCCAGTGTCAGATTTTTCCCCATAGGATGCTTTCATATGGGGAGGACTAATGCATGTGGCGGCATTTGTCACGCATCAGGTAAGTAAATAAATGTTTTTTAGCCCTTTATTTACCTGGTTGGGGGGGGGGAGGGGCATGAGGGAGGGGGAATGCAGAGTAAGCTATAGTGTCAGGAATACAGCTTTGTGTTCCTTGCACTTATAGTATCCCTTTAAGAGACCTGTCAAGACCATCTCCGCAATAATCTCCATCTACGCAATAATCTCCAATGCAAATAACTCAGCATCTCCCTCATATAGTGCCCAATGTGAAAAAGAATTTCAACTCACATTACCGCAGGAAGAATGGCCACTATGGGAAGCAATTACGAACCTCATTGCTAATGTCACAAGCCAGAAACTCCCTTGCATGCCGCAATGTCTACTCCTTGATATGCTCCTAATTTCCATTCCTCCTCGCACCCAGCATTTACTTCTGCATATCCCAACAACCACAAAAACTATCATAGCCAAACAATGGAAAACGACTTTAACACCTCCTTTCCATATGGTGATAGCCTCTGTCGCACTTTGAGAATATGGTACAGAGATTACAATGCACTATCTCTACCTTCTAATGAATCTGGTCGCACTGTAACAAATATGACCAGCAATGTGTCTCTGCCTTACTCTGAACCTACCACGGATACATCGTCTGCCTCCATCACTTTTATTCTTCCCTCCTTGTCTCAGTTCAACAAGTTGAATACTCACTCATGTCTAGATAACCTCATTTAATGATGATATCTTCTCTCTGTACCATAATCCACTTACAAAAATTGTTCAGTGCGAAGCCAGAAACAATGTGAAATGTACCATGCTGCACTGTAATTTGAAAACTTTCAATAAAAAAAATATAATTGACAATTTCAGTTCATTCCAACCAACTCTCTTGTGAATTTTTGAAGAGTGAAACTTTATTTACTGGGTGTGAATTGTCCAGAACTCAAAATAAATTTAAAGTGAATTTCAAAGTTTGCATTTATTTACTAAAGTTAGAATTCAAAGAGAATGTCAAATGTAAGGCCAGAGTGGCTGAAGTGGAGTTTAAAGAGAACCTATAGTGCCAGGAAAACAAACACGCTAGGTTCCTGGAGTGCCCCCCTCCTGCAGTGTTGAAGGGTTTAAAACCCCTTCAGCCACTTACCTGAATCAAGCGCCGATGTCCCTCGGCGCTGGGTCAGGCTCCGCCCACGCCCAATGGCTGCGTGCACATTAGACCCCCCCTTAGGAAAGCATTATTCAATGTTTTCCTATGGGGAAAATCTGACACTGGAGGTCCGTGCGGACGTCCAACTTTATATAACGGGCCAAAAAGTCAGTTTGAATTCTGGAAGCCCTCGAGTGGCTGTCTGTAAAGACAGCCACAGAGGGCAGACTTAGAGCTGCAATGTAAACATTGCAGTTCTCTGGAACTGCAATGTTTTACATTGCTGCACTAGGTGCGAAAGGGTCAAGACCCCAAGACTACTTCAATTAGCTGAAGTGTTCTAGGTGCCTACAGTGTCCCTTTAAGATGAGGATCTTTGAATAAACCTGTAAATGCTGTTGAATTATAAATACCTATGCCTAAGAGCTTGTGCCATCTAGTGGAGAGAAACAGATAAGGCAATGGTTTTAATCCCTTTCTTGCAGTGATCAGTTCTCAAAGAATTATTTACACTCTTACCCAAAATACTAGACGATATTGTGCCAGATTGTCACTGTATACATTACAAAACGTGTGCATGGTGAAAAAAAAATAAAAATCAGTTTATCCAAATCTATTTATCCCAAAAATTATTTTGGTTCAAACAAATCGACTTTCGTCCATGTGGTATTTCAGTTTGTCCAAATTTCATCCATTAAATCACTTCGGACAAAGTGATTAAAATGAATCAAAACCCCCCAGTGGCACAAGAGTTAATTAATTAGCAGGTGGATAATGCTGGCAATTCATTCAAAATATAAAAAGTAGATGAACCACACCTAGAACCAGATAACCTTAAAGTGCAATATTACAATAAAAAGCATATATATTTGTATCTGTATGTCATCAGATTTCTCAAGAAAGGGGAGAAAAAAACATAACACAAATATAATGTAAAAATCAGCGAAGGCACACTCACACTTTATTGAGCTCCATCTCAGGATATAAATTCCAATGGTGTTTTCAAAGCAATGCAAAACGTGGAAACAAAAGGTGACATATCCAATATCACAGTATAAAAGCCAATGATCAGGGGTAGTAAAAAGTAGGTATCCTACTTACATGATCTACAGCAGTGGTTCCCAACCCAGTCCTCAAGTACCCCCTAACATTCCAGGATTTAGGGATTACCCAGTTGTGTCTAAGATGTTTTTAGAAAAAAAACACTTTAGACACAACATGGTAATCCCTAAATTCTGTACTGGTAAGGGGTACTTGAAGATTGGGTTGGGAACCCCTCATCTAGAGCAAAGACCTGCTCTATTGTTATACGGTGGTGGTGGTGGTGGTATATTCCGCACCTGGGATATGTGGAACCACGAAAGTAAAATACAAATAAATGTAAAATAAAACGTATTCATTTTATTACAACTTACAAATCAACAAAATATATAAAAATAATCCAAATAGATTAAAAAAAAAAAAAAAAAATCCACACAACGTGTTTTACCCTGGAGGTTTCATCAGAATTGTAGAGCTCCTGTACACAATGTTGGTTTATATAGGGAAAAGGTATCATATATATTTAGAAGAATCAGTTGATGATAATTGGCTTCCATTAACTACTTCCGGTTTTGAGTTGTCCTTTTAAAATGACATCATCATAGAGAAGAGATGAGGATGCTTACATAGTTTATTAATATTGCTAGGCATCACCAGGAAGGGACATCCAATTCATGCCCAAATTCTTTTTAGTACAAGGAGGTGTGGCGCGATTGTCACCCGGACGTGACGTTGCGCTCACATCAGCTCCCTCCAAGTCAGCTGGGTGGAGAGATGTTCTATTCACCCATAAAGTCTGAACCACGAAACACACAAACTAGTTTGTCCCTAGACATGTTCATTTGCTTCCTGGTTGGGGTATTGGTTGATTCAGAATTTCATTTTAACTACCGCTCACCCATAATTTGGATGAATCGCGATTAGTCTGAAAACAAATGCACAAGTCCAATTATTACCCTTACAGAGTTATTTACTAAAGAAAGAATTAAAAGTGACTTTCAAATTCAAGGTAAAAACTGGAACAATCTATACGTCGCCATGCTTCCAGTTTGGCAACATTGACCTTAAAGGGACACTCAAGGCACCCAGACCACTTCTTCCCATTGGAGTTGTTTGGGTGCCAACAACCACTACCCTTAACCCTGCAAGTGTAATTATTGCAGTTTTCATAAACTGCAATATTTACCTTGCAGGGTTAACTCCTCCTCTAGCGGCTGTCTACTAGACAGCCGCTAGAGGGCACTTCTGTGTTTATGTGAGGACCTCCAGCGTTGCTGAAGTCCCCATAGGAAAGCATTTTTTAATGCTTTCCTATGGGGAGGTCTAATGCGCGTGCATTAGGTCTCCACAGCCGGTGACCGCGCATGCGCAATAGGTCTCCCCTGCCGGATGACGTCGGCAGGGGAGGAGCATGGCGGACTCTGAACCTGCACCGAGGGACATCGGCGCAGGATACAGGTAAGTCACTGAAAGGGTGGGGACCTGCAGTGCCAGGAAAACGGTTTGTTTTCCTGGCACTGGAGAGTCCCTTTAAGTGTAAAATTCACTCTGAATTCTCACTTTAGTTAATAAATCCTGCAGTGATGCACTATGAAGAAAACATACCTTGAGACTTCCTGGAGAAATTAAGGCAAAAACACATTAATTGATTAACATACGTCAGTGTGAAGACTTCACAGAGAGACTGAATAATATTGCACAGTCCTTGGTTTGGTCAATCTGAAATTCAATAATGTTGTAAAAAATTTGTAAATGAAACAAATGGATTATTAACATAGAAAATAAAAGCCAAAAACCTCCAGGGTGTGTAGAGGATTCAGACACAATATATATTTCCAGCAATCTCCAGTGGAGAGGAGGTGGTTTAAAAAAAATAGTAAGATAAAGGAGGACGGAGATTTTTGCAATTGTGACTCCTGATCTTGCAAACACTCTAGTCATTCAGTAACAGGGAGACAATTTAGCAAGATTTGATGTAGCTATAACCTGGCGTGTTAAAATGAGGTGGAGGGCATGTCCAAACTGATTAACAGATTTCAAAAAGCATTTTGGTCAATTTTATTTTGCATTTAAGGTGCCAGCCAGTCCTTACAGAAAGCATGTTACATTTTATAACAGAATATGGCAAGGTGGGTGGGTATAGCCAATACCACAGCAGCCATGAGTGATAATTTTGAAAGTATGTATGGGGGATGTGGGACATATATTAGGATTGTCAATTCAGAGTAGAGAAGGAAAGCAATTTTTAGAATGTCTTCAGAGAATCCCAAATTGATGAATTCCCTTACAAGACCATAAATAATACAAGTCTACCGTCTCCAGGTCACATTGTCATGTGTAATGGATTGTCCACGGCTGCTAAATAGTAAAATTACAAGTACATTTCCCAGTATGTACAAGTGGTTAATAAAGTTGTTTTAGACCAGATGGCAAGTAAAGGAAACAGAGAAAGGAGTAAGACATTTCATACAGCCAAGGTTAGGGATGCACATTTAGTATTTGACCTGATTTGTGAATAGAGTTCAAAAAGTGAATGTTTTTTTGGGAGAACTGCAGTCTTGTTATCAGAGTTTGGAAAAGTCTAGAAAAGATATGAGATTCCAGGAATACTTTTGCATCTTTGCAGTACCAGAAATGGAAGGTAATATGGGTTATATTTTTTATATATTTTGGAGTGCGTGTGTATATATATATATATATATATAATATATAATAGATATCAGGCTGTAAGATTCTCCATAGGTTTCATTAAAATGAAAACTCATTACATTCCCTGAAAGTGCATTAACCCGACTACTTAGAAGCTTAGTGCCTCAAGAGTGGGATTGGGCCCGGCTATAAAGCTAGCAGGACGTGGGTGAGGGCGCTCTAGAGCTTAACCTACATTTTCTGTCGATAACTCAATAAATCCTGTAATTTTTGAGGCTGGTGTAACCCCATAGCACAAGGAGAATGTTTAAGCAGGCTTTGGATTGAGTTTCCCTGACCTCGGGTGTCCTGAGGTGTTGATCGTTTCCTGCGGTCTAGTTTCCTCCCAGGGTAGATGGGGTCGCTCTGCCTTGGACCGGAATCACCCACTGCCTGAGCTCTGTCTGATGACGGAGGTTCAAAATATGGTTCGCATAAAGCCTTCAACAGTAAAGATAAATCCCAAGATGGAACAAAGGATTTACAATGTGACTTCAGGAGTAAAATGAAGAATGTTCTAATCAATAAATTAGAAGCTAAATGTTTGATGAGAAAACGGCTCAGGGCTAATAAATGCTCTTTAAATGTAGAGACACTAAAGGTCTGATGAAAACCCATCTTGAAGAAAATAAAGAATAGTATCTATGGGTGTAGAAACCTGAAGGCAATCACGATCCTCACAACAGTGAAATCTTTTCCAAATTCTCAGATAAATTTTAGATGTCAATTTCCTAGTGGAGCCCAGGAGTAGATTAACTCTGCTTTCTTGAATACCATGTTTAAGAATCAAGCTTGCAGCAGCTATGCCACCAAGCTGAATGGCTTTGAGAGGAGGAAGCTTTCCTCTAGCAGAGGAAAGTATGGCGATAGTTCCCAGAATGCTATTGACATCATCCTTTATTCCGAGAACCAACTAACGATGGGCCAATAAGGAACAATTGCAAGAAATAGGGCTTTGTCCGTTCTGATTTTCTGAAGGACCTTGGGAAGTAGGGCCACTGGAGAGGACACATGCCAACTTGAAATTCCACTTAATGGGCATTCGATCTAGAAAGTCTGATTGATCGTGTCTGTAAAGGTAAATGAACAGTCACTTTTCGCTTTTTCCTTCTGGCCATAAGGTCCACGACCGATAAACTGAATCTCCTTAATGGCAAACAGGTCTGGGTGAAGAGACCATCTTGCTCTGCAGAGTTGGTTTGCTACTGTATTTTCTGTTCCTTTTTGTGTGTAGATGCTAAATCGTCAAATTCTCTGACCCATGTCACAATATCTGTCTACTTTATTATTAGTTATTTATATTGCGCCAACTAATTCCACAGTGCTTTACAATATTATGAAGGAAGGGGCGGGGTGATTTTACAATAAATGAGACAATTACACGAGAACAATAAGTAGATATGGGTCCAGTTTAAATGAGCTTTAAGTAATTCCTCCCACTTATCTTCACCTTGAAGCTTAAATAGGTATTTAAAGTGTTGGGATATAAATGCTCTCCTTTCCAGATTTCAACTCTGCCCTAAACAGAGGTTTATGTTGAACAGGAAGATATTAGTCCTTAGGTTTAGTGGATGAATCTTCGAATAAAGTTAAAGTTAGCCCATTTACAAATCCCGTCTCTGCACTAGAGGGATCTGACACTGCGCATTCTCCATAATAATTCTGATCTTTATGAAGATCTCCTTTTGTGTCTAACCAGTATGGTCCTGTGTTGTGACCGGAAGACTGGACCTTACCTTCTTTTAAAAAGACCTGAAGGTTTGGGCTAAATTATCTTGAAACCAGGATAGAAATTGCGTTTTCCCAAGCAATCCAGCTGATCAAAGGCTACAAATCTCTCTTAGAACAGTCTGGGAGTGGAGTAGAGCATAATTGCTTAGCTTTCTTAGGTGCAGGAGCAGGTATCTTATCCAACGAGACATTCTATAATAAAAGTACCAGTAAAGATCCATACTGAATAAAACAGGTTTTCAAAGTAGAGTCTAAAATAATCTCACCTCAAAGACATGTGAAGGGTCTAGTGATATGGCAGACTCTGTCTGAACAGCATCAATGCTGTCAGGAGGGCTTTGCACGGCTTAGTCTTTGGAATTATAATTTTGCACAAAAATGAGAAGTTCAGATTCACACATGCCCATTTGGAACTTTGGTGGAATGCAAGGCCTCCAAGGTGTGCGTTCCCCCAACTGTGAACAGCCTATTTGTGATAGGCGTGCCACCTGGATCGCCATTAGAGAACACCAAGAACTTCCTCAGCATAAATTTCAGCATCTGGTAGTGCTCCGTAACCGGATGTACCAGAGCCTGGCCTCACCACTCTCTACCCAGGGTGCTGTTGGGTTTGTTCTACCTGACACCAGTATGCCGCAGCCTGTCCAAATGCTTGTCTGTCCCTCACTGGGACAAGAAAGCTGATTTAGCATGTAGAAGTAACATTTTAAAACTTTTTTCAGATTACTTGGCCCAATATGGGATGTACGTCCCATTTGTGTACAGACACCATAGGTCCGGAAAATTGTGTTTATTCTTGTCTGATTACCTGAATTCAATAAAAGAATCTTATTTGCATGTATAGAATAGACTCAAAATGAAATCCCAAACAATCATTTGCAAATATTTGTGAATTTTCTGACAAAGTTAGTTTGTAAAAGAACAAATTTAATCTATAAACAAATCACTTAAGTGAGCAACTATTTGGAATCCATTAGCTCAATTGACAACTGAATTTTATTCTGACAAATATTCTAATAGTGTTAACCAGGTATTCAATTAAATAGTGGAATTATGTTCCCCTGAGCAGTGTATAAAAGTTTGTTGGAACCATGCATTGAAATCAGCTCTGTCACGGTCAGGGATCTTTGCATAACACAAGTATGAATCTACTGCAAATACCATCCAAGCAGGACAAACAAACTAGGATTTCTATTTCTCTAAGCAAATAGAAAAAGGACCAATAAGGAATAATCGATTTCAGCCATGAAAAAGAACCAATAAGCATGTCACACGAAGTCACAAATTAAAATAAGAAGTATGCCACTACACATTTAAGTTATCCCATTGAATGTATTTTACATGTCCTTAATGAAAATGCTGAAAAGAATAAAACAAACAAACCGCAATAAAAGTGTTTATTTTCAGCTTGCTGAAAACACACTAATAGCTACACCAACTCCACAAACTATCTGAACTATCTGAAGGATCCAACACAACATCTATTGTGTCAAAAAAAATATAAACTAAAGCCTGAAAGATATGGAAGAAATCTGAATCAGTGAATATACAAGTCACTCTTCCTGCATTAGCTTTACATTTATATAAAACTAATTGGGGAAATGTATTTAAAGTATTCTGTTATAGAAAGTGGTGCAACATGAATAAGGGAAAGACGGAAGTTGCCAGGTTCCAATGGTTTTGAGGCGACTGCCCCACTTAATACTTTGCTAAAGAGATGAATAGTCCATGGAACATGTGATAATGACACATTAAAAAGTGTAGGCAGTAGTGTAGGTTTCATAAACCAGAATGAAATTGTAGCTCTAGAAGCTCTAGAATGGTCATTTATGTTCACTTTATCAATACAAATAAAGTTCTTCTTGTGTACAGATGAATGAGAATATAATTTTACATAACCACTCATGGTAATTTGTTTTTCCCAAAGGCTACTTATTGGAAACTGACACACAGAAGAGTGAAGAGAACTAGCAGCCATTTGTTTATATAGTACAGCTCAGATGTAGCCACAATCTGATTTGTTAGTGCTCAAAAAGGGCTATATAATAGCAGAACTTGTCATTTTAATGCCAAATGTCGCCAGGCCTGACAATACCAATAACAAACAAAAACCCCCACAAAAGCCATATTTAGATAAAGTTATTTTATTGATTGAAGGGACACAGGATTCAGATATCTGAAAACTCTGTAAAGGAAACAGAATAAAAAAGGAATCAGTAAACAGGTTCTCAATAAAGTAAAATTAACATAACTGTTCAATTTGTGCTTTGCAAAATATCCCACTAATAGACTATTCAATAAAGTACATTGTTAGTCATTTAGTTTACTTAAATGTTGGTGTCAGTTTCTTTAATACCTTAATCTTTGCAAGAAAACAGCTTTTAAATCATGTATACTGAAAATCCCAGCCATTTTGTTGCCTCCTCTGATTGTTTGAGTTATCCAGTCCAATGCTCACTAGTGTGCAACTGTCTGGCTTTTCAGGAACGGACCAATCTTAGTGACTTCAACATTTAGGTCAGGCAGAAAAAAGTGCTCTATTTTGAAAAACAGACAGTTTCCAAAATAGCAGATCATCCAACTAAAATGCAATATTGTGGTTGTTCAGGAAGGTGGCGTAGGGGTATTTCCTTTTAATTACTTAAAAGCAGAAAAGTTCACAAGACATTTAATAGGTCTAAAACTTAATTTTGTGCATACCCACTGCCAAATTTAGAGCACATACATTTAAACTTAATCTAATATCTTTAGTCAACCACTACAGGGCTTTTTTTTTTTTTAAAGACTCTGAATATCTCTAAAGTTAGAAATAAACTCATTTACAAGACCATTCCTGACCCACATCGCTGATGTGGGTAGTGGAGTGGCATATATACCCAGGAAATAAGGTAAGCAGTCTGCGTCAAATTTTACTTACATTTTACTCATCGGACTGCTGGACAGTTCCCTTCTCTGAAACGTAGATACCATCCAAGAACTTTCTGATATCCTTGTTTTTGACTGTGGTGGCTTGCTGGATCAAAGCAGCTGAAAGAAAATTGACAAGAAAATTTAGAAATCACAATTTGCAAGAGTCTCAGAAGAACCCAATGAGATTTGGTGTATTCAAGTCTGAAGATAGGAATAAAAAAATAAAAAATGAAAACTGCTAATTTTTCTGATGTGCAGGCAGCCATGTTAAAGTTGGCATATGTAAAGAAAATCTACCAAATCATACAGAGTCTTTCTACAAACACTGGGTTCTTTGGTAAGTCAACCCTGCGTTGTTGCAGAAAACAAAATGTAACAGATGTGATCAAGAAAATGGCAATAAGCCACTGTATGAAATGGGCTGTCCATTGTCTTCACTGTTTGAGGTTTTCTTTGCCAACAAGTTCAAGCAGATAGTGGCAAGAATTTCAATAGGTGTGAAAAAGTACTGTTTTATACCAATTCTGTCGTCTACGCATGTATTTAGTCATTGCATTTGTTACATTATGCCACACTGGTAGACATACCTGAGTTGGATACAAGTTCAATGTCATTTCCTTCAAGAATCAGTTCATCCTTCTGGGCTTGAGACAGGGAGCAAATCACTCCTGCAGAGATAAAAACGTGTTCGTGTAAGACAATACAATTAATGTAGTTTATTAGAACTCCATGAAGCCCTGAAGAAATTGAGCAATCATACGCTTCCAAGAGTATTAATTGCTTGCATTCACACAAATTTTTTTTTTTAACTAAAAGAAACTAGCCTCATTACCCAAGCATATTTCATAGAGAAATTTCACATAAATAGAATTACTTTATGTTATGCAACAAAACAGCTGGCTCAGGAATAAACCACTGTAGAAGTCAGCATGGAACCTACTTCAAGCACTAGTTATACTAACAACCTGCCTGTGCATGCCAGATGAACTGCATCGGCAAAAAAATAAAATATAATAGGTGAGCTAAAATTCTTGCCGCTCTCATATCACCGTTTACATGAGGCTTACAAATTTATATAGAGATAACTAAACAGAACTTTCAAGATTCACATACATTGACCTAACAATGTGAACATGCTCTATACAGTGTAGAAGCAGAGGCTAGATTTTATTTATTGATATTAAAATCCAAACAGGCACCAATAACCATTCTGACAGATACAAGATGCTATGAACTAAATTATCCAAAACTCAATTAAAAGTCTGCTCACACGACGTTACGCAGAAATGTCACCCAGTTATTAGAGTAATTTCGTTAAAGCAGGCTCCTCAACCTATTGTTCCTGTACCAATTTGTAATGGTGACATTTATTGTTAAATGTAACAGTTTATAATACAGGGACAATGCAAAAGCTATCATGTACCGTCTCTCATGCGCACTCTGCGGATGTACTTTTCACCCAAAAAGTTTCTGATTTCCACCAGAGACCCATTTTCCTGAAGAACTACGTTGATGGGGAAGTGAGCATACACCGACCTCATTTTGTATCGGAAACCCTGCACAAGAAAAGCAGAGACAATTGATACATTTACAAGTTATTTTCAAGCAAAGCTAACCTTCCTTTCAATCAAGTCACCAATTGACAGGTTCTAAGTAACAAATAGACAACAGGTGTAGCAAAGCCATTTGGTACCCTTATAAGTACCAGTTCTATATGGGCACAGATATTGAGGGAAGAGCAATTCATGTAACCTGTTCCGCATCCCTTTGACAGTTATATTAATAAGTGTGCTGCGGTGAATACTACAAGTCTTAGAAAATTCTATCTTCTAGGTATGCGCTATTTGCTAAATGTAATATGGATAATAAAGTGTATACCAAGTGACGGACATCATTTAGTGTGCTAGATATTTTAGGCATAGAGCAGTACACGTGTCTGAATCAAATAAAACTAGTAAAATTATATATATTTATTTCTCCTTAGCTGTGCTTAAGGTGCTACGACCTAAATTAAACAATTTATGGAGAATGTCTAAAATATTTCTTAAATTTTACCCTCTGAAAGTAAAAACTATTTCCAAGTAGTATTACATTAAAACACTATAGTATATCGATTCCATGATTTAAAAACGCCACTATTTTAGAGCCAAATTGTGTTTTTCAAATAGTATTTCATTTTTGCAGTCATTAACACTCCACTGTACAGATCAAAAAAAACGCTCAATGTTCCATAACTACCTAAAAGCAAACGATATATATATAGATATATATGTATGTAGATTTAGGGGAAATATATATCTATCACACACAACTTGCTTAAGGAACAACTGTCACCTCAAACCTATGTAATATAAGTTTTTCATCAAGGAACGTATTTTTTTTTTAAAAAGGAGGTCTATGTTAAAACAAAACCTCATCCCTACCTTTAGTATATGACAGGATGAGATAAACAGTCTCTCTATGGCCTTGTAAGCTTCACTTTCTGGCAGAATCAAGGAAACTACAAAGACTTAAACACTGACCAAAGCTGCACGATTATGACCGAAATATCCTGTCATACTAAAGATTGGGGATAAGTATCCCATTTTCACAAACACTTTAAAAAAACAAAAAAAATGAAAGCATGTTAAATAGTCTTGATGTGACCGTTTCCCAAGTTGTTCTGTGGAAAGTGTCTGCACCAATCAGAATACACAGTAAGGCACACAAAACAGACTAGTGATGGAAAAAGTGAAGATTTAGATGCAGACAAACTAATGTGCTTTTTAAAACTCAACTTACCAATGTGACACCCTTGACCATGTTTTGCACATGGCTGCAAATTGTGCGCACTGTGGCAAGCTCCTTTCTGTTACCCCACCATTTGTCTACGCGGAGCTAGAAATAAAGAAAGAAAAACTTCAGAATACATATGTGGTTTTATAGGCAATTAGGCATATCCCATTATTATCGTGGAAGTTAAAGGAACACTCCAAGCACCACAACCACTATTGCAGTGATTATAGTCCCAGAAGTACCCTGGCACCCCCATTGTAATCAAACAGCTTTGGAATGGATTGACTGCTTTCCTAGGGTAAATCAGGTGGCAGCCCACCTCAGCTACATTCAGTTCAGGTCAGAAACACTGAGCCAAGCGTAGCAGTGCAAGGTTTAACTCACTGACCAATAGCAATCATCTGATGCTCTCAGCCAATGAGCTACCCAGCATTGCAGAGATTAGTTTAGGAGAGCTAATGGAAGCTCCAGATAGGGAGAGGCTTACTTCTTTTATCAAGTTAACATGATTGCGTTAAGTGTTACTATCATATACCACAAAACTACAGCTAAAACGATTTGAAAATTCAGGATTCAACCATAACTTTAAAGGACCACTATAGGCACCCAGACCACTTCAGCTCAATGAAGTGGTCTGGGTGTCAGGTCCCTCTATTGTTAACCCTGCAGCGGAAAACATAGCAGTTTCAGAGAAATTGCTGTTTACAATAGGGTTAATCCAGCCTCTAGTAGCGGTGTCATTGAGGTCCCCGGCCCCCCTCTTTCCAGAGATTAAAGGCGATTTTACTCACCTTTCCTCCCACACCGCACTAGACTTTCTGCAGCTGGCCCTACCTCCATGGCGGAGATCAATTTTGATGATCTCAGCCAATCCACTGCTTTTGCATAGAAAAGCATTAAAAGGCTATCAGGCACGTGCAGCAAAATGCCACACTGTGCCAATCAATAAACTCTATGGGGAACATTCAGTGCCTCCATGCACAGCATGGAAACACTGAACATCGGTACTGCACAGAGCAGCACTGACACAGGAAGCACCTTTAGTGGCCATCTGAGTGACTACCACTAGGTGTAACTAGTGTGCAATGTAAACACTCTTTTCACGGTTAACCCCCTTTAACATGGGTGAAACTTTGCACAAAAAAAGGAGAGTAGATAGGACAGTGCTGGTTTAACATCTGTAACACTAATGCTACAACATGGCTATAAGCATAATGCTATAACAGATTGACACATCAAAAATAATTTTAATTGGAGCAGTTAATCATGGATGACTATGCTGTTACACTTTAACAAAGTATAAGAGAGAAACACTAACCCTCCTCTTCTTCTTGCCCAGAAGGCAAAGCTCTACATTGATGTGGTTAAAGTTCTTGCGCAGGACACCCCTGGGCCCCTTCACAGTTACTGTGCGGCCCTTGAGGAGGATATCAACTGTAAATAGAAGTAGCAGGTTAGAAACATTTGCACAAGCCAGACCCAATGAAAATCAACACTATAAATAATTTTTGGAGTAATACTCACCCTTGTCAGGGATGTCAACAGTCTGGTTGCTGAGAATGGTCTTCATTCTGAGATAGAAATTGTTTAAGAGTCAGAATTACATATGCATATTGGACTTGTCTAGACTGACAGATAAGCAAATTCAATTATGCTTCCAAAAGATATATGCATTAATTTACACCACCATGACATTATTAAACTTATCCAGGAGTTATAAAGCCTGAGTACCATAACAAGAATATAAAAAGCCATAGGTTTTTCTAGAAGTGTAAGGCTACAACGTACATCTACTAGTTATTATTATGGTATTTATACACATTCTACACGTGTACTTTAAAGAGTATACATGGCAATTCAGCCAACGAAAGGGATACCCAAAATAAAAAATATGATTACTGGTATTAACACATTAAAAGGACATAACTCAAACAACACTAGAATGGGCCGTACAAATCAAACAATCTCCAAACTAGGGCAGCACAGTCAATATATGACATCACAGCAATGATTTTATTTATTTTACAGAATAACCTACTGCCCAGGTATACAGTATCAATGTCAGACCGGTACATAGACAGAGGCCTGTACAGCCCGCATTGATCCTATGGTAGCAGTGAGTCAGGAAATGGACAAGCCACTGAACTCTGGCTAGCCAAGCCATCCGCCAGTACACCCCGTCCATACACGGCTCCCCGGTAAAAGGACACCCTGCAGCCTTCTCTGGGGCCCAGAGCGGGGTCGGATTCGGTCCCCACAAATAGGATGCAACAGGATTACACCAGGTTGCCTGCCGCCATCCATAGCCTTACCTCGCTGCTGACAGAGGAAAGGGAGAGAGCGTGTCGTCATCACGTTTTTATATCACCGGCCGCGTAGCGCACACTGCCACCTACTGGACAAAAAAAAGAACGTGATGGACGCAGCTCCAAGCTATCGATTACCGATAAAGGTGTTCTAGGCGCTGCTAGTGGCTGCTAGAGTCAGCTAGCCTGAGGGGTGTTATGTAAGAACATGTACTGAGTAAAGTGTTGCACAAAACCAGCACTAAAAAAGCAACAAAATATAATATAACAAAAACAACTACAATAACAAAATGAAAAAAAATACCTTAATAACACTAGCACTTGCACAGGCTAGTGTTGTAGCCAATAAATTCCCCATTAACAAAAAAACAGCAGGAATTCTGGTATCTTTCCATTTTTTCATTATCCCATTAAACCCAGGGCAACAGTAGTTTATGCGATATGTCATTTTCCAGTAACTGCAGTTTCACTCATTAAATATTATGAGTGGAACTGCTCAATAAGCTCGTTTGAGCAGGGTCCTCTTCAACCTATTGTTCCTGTAAGTTTTCTTGTAATAGTCCTATTTATTGTTACATCCCCCCTCTCAAAATATTGTAAAGCGCTACGGAATCTGTTGGTGCTATATAAATGGCAATAATAATAATAAGCTGACAGCAGGCTACCCTGTGTGGACATGTTGGACAGGGCAATATCAGTAAACAGGAATAAGCCCTGCTCCGAAACTCCTTATACTCTTGGATGGCAGCAATGACTATAGTATTCATCAGCCCAAATACATAGAACCAAACCACTATCTCTATCCGTATGCACATTTAAATAACAGTGGTACTAAAAAAAACTAATGTAATTTAAATGTTCATAGAGACTTGGGATAAAGAACAGGCAATGTTTTTTTTTTGGTTTTGTTTAGTTGACTGGGTCAGAGCATCTCCAAAACGACAAGTCTTGTGGGGTGTTCCCAGTATGAAGTGGTTTGTACCTACCAGAAGTGGTGTAAGGAAGTAAAACCGGTGAACTGGCATCAGGATCATGGGCACCCAATGCCCATTGATGCACATGGGGAGTGCAGGTTAGCCCAACTGGTCTGATCACACAGAGGAGCTACTGTAGCTTAAATTGCTGAAAATCATAATGCTGGCCATGATAGTAAGGTGTCAGAACACACAGTGTATCACATCCGTAGACGCCCTTGCACTAGTTCAAAGCACTAGTACCCTGCAGAGAGCTCTAAAAACAGTGCAGGGTCTGCCTTTAGAGGGCTGATTTGCAGGCAACCAGGCTAACATGCCAGTAATTTGGGCAGACCCGCCCACTTTTTCGGCATGTATGCCCCTGTGAGTGGAGCCAGTGACACAATTGCATCACTGGCCTGCTGGTTTTATTCCCCTCCCACCTGCGTCCCGCTTCTTGTCCAGTCAAAATCGGGAGGTTTGCCATTCTATGGGAATGGGGCCTGTAAAATAATGGAAGACCAGTCACAATGACATGTCCATTCCCCTATATCATATTTAATACCTACCACCAGCAGTCTACCCTTTCCTTATCACATTTAATACCCACAAATGTCCACCCCCGCTTTTCACATTTAGTACACACCACCTGAAGCTGCCATCGGAGAAATAGTTTGAATTTTAGAATGGGGGCCATGATTTTCGGAACAAATTCCTGGAATATAACAATTTAAGCTAATTCAGAGGCTCGTTTTTAAAATGAGAGATTGATACATACTGTGAACAATATCTTCAGTTTGTAGTCAAATTTAATAATAATAATAGTAATAATAATAGTAATGAATTTCTAAGGAAATAGAAACAATGCAAAAGACTGAACTTTTAACAGTGATTAAAGGAACACAATAGTGTGAGGAAAACAGATGTGTATTCCTAATGCTTTAATGTCCTAGTTACCGGTAACTACCGCTTTCATTCGCCTTTTATTCCACTGAAATGAAGTGGTCTGGGTGCCTACAGAATTTAACAAGGAACCAAAATGGAGGCACCAGGTGCCGCATAAAAGATGTGGATTTCTACATTTAATATTAATTTTCACGTCTCACAAATACATATATGATAAATATAGGAATAGTTAGGTATAATATTACAAATCATGGGAAGTTAAGGTTCTCCTTTAAAGTGCTATTTTAGCAGAACTATGCACTCAGTAAGTTGCTTAGTTACAGCTGCCTTGCTACTTTCAACATTGTTTAAACATTAAAACATTGTGTGCTGCATTCAGAATACAATAAAATACTACAATGGACAGATGCTCATAATAAAATAAAATAAAATAAAATACTACAATGGATAGGTGCTCAAAATAAAATAAAATACTATAATGGACAGATGCTCCTAATAAACTAAAATACTACAATGGACAGATGCTCAAAATAAAATAAAATACTATAATGGATAGGTGCTCAAAATAAAATAAAATACTATAATGGACAGTTGCTCCTAATAAAATACACTACAATAAGAAATTACTGGATTGGTAATTGTTCCAGTTCTAAATTAGTTAACCATTTACATAAATAACAAAAATAGCTGTGTAGGTCATGGTGTCAGATTACTGTTTTGTAAATAATTTTAATCACTGAATAGTTTTGATACTGAGCTCTAAACTAGCTTATTAGATAAACAGAGGACAATAAGTCATGTTACTTTAGTAATATACACATGTGCAATCATGGGAGCCATTCGGTGTTCGATTACTACGAACTGACTACGGCAGCCCGTTGGGATTTTTAGCCGCAGAGCAGGCGCAGAGCATGGTGCCAGACTCTACCAATCGCTTATCGAGGCAAAACGACCTGCTGTGTTGTCAGTGACATAGTCACCATGAGACTGACCGGGCTGCAGAGGGGGGCACAGCTTTTACGGGTTATAGCGGTGAGACACTACGGGATTTATATAGGAACAGCTCTATGGCTGCTGTATACCATTCTGCCCATAGTGTCACCTTGTCATAATGGCACACACACAGTTAATTCCATTACACTGAGCAAGCATATCATTACCATTAACACTACCATGTCTCCACTGTAAATACATTGAGCAAGCATATCATTACCATTAACACTACCATGTCTCCACTGTAAATACATTGAGCAAGCATATCATTACCATTAACACTTACCATGTCTCCACTGTAAATACATTGAGCAAGCATATCATTACCATTAACACTACCATGTCTCCACTGTAAATACATTGAGCAAGCATATCATTGCCATTAACACTACCATGTCTCCACTGTAAATACATTGAGCAAGCATATCATTACTATTAACACTTACCATGTCTCCACTGTAAATACATCGAGCAAGCATTCATTGCCATTAACACTACCATGTCTCCACTGTAAATACATTGAGCAAGCATATCATTGCCATTAACACTACCATACCTCCACTATAAATACATTGAGCAAGCATATCATTGCCATTAACACTACCATGTCTCCACTGTAAATACTTTGAGCAAGCATATCATTACCATTAACACTACCATGTCTCCACTGTAAATACATTGAGCAAGCATATCATTACCATTAACACTACCATGTCTCCACTGTAAATACATTGAGCAAGCATATCATTACCATTAACACTACCATGTCTCCACTGTAAATACATTGAGCAAGCATATCATTACCATTAACACTACCATGTCTCCACTGTAAGCCCTTCCTCTCTAGATAGTTGTTATATTATGTTTTACTGGACACATACTAATTTTACAATTACATTATTATAGTAGTAGTAGTAGTAGTAGCAGTGTGTGAATAGTGCTATCCTTCAATTTATAGAACACATATGCTGCATGATGGAAATTAAATCATGCATTATTTGCATGTTGCATACTAAAGGTTAACGTTCAGAAGTTAAGGGGGGTGGGGGAGTTAACCCTTAAAACTAGCTGAAGTGGTTTGGGGTATGCTGTAAATCACTTATTTTCTGTTAAACTAGGGTCATTTGCTCAGACAGTTTTGTAAGTCCCTGAAAAGTTTCAAATTTAGAGCTCCTACTGTAAGGCTGTCTCATTGTGTGCAGGGCTAGGGGTATTCTGTATAGTTTTTGTGCTTTGGGACATTAGTTACTGAACTGCAATTATATCTTTCTTTACACATCCTCTTCCTTTAACACACATCCACAGCTGGAAAACCTACCTGGCAGCTCTTATAGCAGGCTTCCCCAAAATCCGGCCCCCCAGATGTTGCTGAACTACAACTCCCATGATTCTACAAATGAAATGGGCTAAGAATCATGGGAGTTGTAGTTCAGCAACATCTTGAGGGCCAGAGTTTAGGGAAGCCTGTCTTATAGCGTATTTAAAATACACACAGGTAGTCGATCAACTACATTCAATGGTAAACGCACAGGCAACTGGGTTATTAACAAAAGTAAGAAATGTGTGGAATTCAAAGTGAATTTTAAATTTAAGACCAAAATAGTTGAACTGGAAAAATTATTTAAGATAGGTATGCTTCCAGTTCAGCTACGTTGGTCTTAAAGGAACACTGTAGGCACCCAAACCACTTCAGCTTAATGAATTAATATGTTTACCTATAGGTTAATCCAGCCTCTAGTGGCTGTCTGAATGACAGCCGCTAGAGGCGCTTCCGCGCTTCTCACTGTTATAAGATGCCAGCGTCCATAGGAAAGCATTTAGAATGCTTTCCTATGGACTGGCTGAATGCGCGTGTGCGCATTCAGCCGATGACGACTGAAGGAGGAGGAGAGTCCCCAGTGCCGAGGGAGCCCGGCGCTGTAAAAAAGGTAAGGGATTAACCCCTTCCTCCCCCTTCAGTGCCACGGGAGTGGGACCCTGAGGGTGGGGGCAGCATCAGGGCACTATAGTGCCAGGAAAACGAGTATGTTTTCTTGACACTATAGTGGTCCTTTAAATTTTGAATTCAACTTTTATTACCTGACAATTTTGAAAATGTTGATTTACAGAAAGTTATCACTTTGTGTGGAATAGAAAGAGTGTGAACATTTCTGCAGAACCTAATCAGCTCGCTTGTCTGGCAGTATCTGTATTGTGTTTGTAAGCCATTAAATGAATCCATTTATTTTCTAGTTACATGAATGTCGTACCTCTTACCGAGCATTAAGCAGTTTACCTGATGACCGGAAGACACTCCTTCAGAATGGCCCAGAATTTAAGGATTTCTTATCAGGCGACTTGGATGACAAAACTAAATGGGCTGAATATAAGGGTGACCTAAAGAGAGAGAAAGGAGCACGGTAACTGATCATTTTATTTTTGTGTTGGTTCTTTTACCTCTTTATAAGGTTTTCCTGAGTGAAATGCAGAGCTGATAATTGGCCCACTAGCACCCTGTCCCAAAACCAAAACAGACATTAGCCATTACTACCATTAGGCATGACATGCTATGCCTTCATTAAACTTAATTTGCTTCATTTGCAGATTGATTTAATGTCCTTTCATACAGCTCACCTAATTTTTTTATAGTGCTGATCAACTTATCCCAAATGTTTCTAAAAGTGTAGTTCAGTTACATAGATAGAAACACAGAATGTGATGGCAGATAAGAACCATTTGGCCCATCTAGTCTGCCCAATTTTCTAAATACTTTCATTAGTCCTTGGCCTTATCTTATAGTTAGGATAGCCTTATGCTTAAACTCCTTCACTGTGTTAACCTCTACCAACATAGCAGGAAGGCTATTCCATGCACCCACTACCCTCTTAGTAAAGTAATACTTCCAGATATTAGTTTAAACCTTTGCCTATGACTATGTCCTCTTGTTGTGGTAGTTTATCTTCTTTTAAATATAGTCTCCTCCTTTACTGTGTTGATTCTATTTATGTATTTAAATGTTTCCATCACACCCCCCCATCTTGTCTTTCCTCCAAGCTATACATGTTAAGATCCTTTAACCTTTCCTTGTCGGTTTTATCCTGCAATCCATGAACCAGTTTAGTAGTGCTTCTCTGAACTCTCTCTAAGGTATCAATATCCTTCTGAAGATACGGTCTCCAGTACTGTGTACAATACTCCAAGTGAGGTCTCACCAGTGTTCTGTACAATGGCATGAGCACTTCCCTCTTTCTACTGCTAATACCTCTCCCTATACAACCAAGCATTCTGCTAGCATTTCCTGCTGCTCTATTACATTGTCTGCCTACCTTTAAGTAATCTGAAATAATCACCCCTAAATCCTTTTCCTCAGATGTTGAGGTTAGGATTATTTCAAATATTCTGTACTCTGCCCTTGGGTTTTTGTGTCCAGGATGCATTATCTTGCACTTATGCAAATTAAATCTCAGTTGCCACTGCAATTGTCAGCTATAAAGTCATGACCTCCTCTAAATCAGCATTTTGGAGAAATAAAATAGAATACTTGCAGATTCGGAGTGAGGGGTAATAAGCGTGGGCTTATAGCGCAAAACAAATTATTATTTCTTTAAACACCCTTCACATCATAAACTGCATGCTAACCTGCATACTGCACAGAACATTTGTGAGTGCCTGGCTTATTTAAAACTACAGATGTTTTATTGCAGCCTACAAAACGGCGAGATAATTCCTTGTTATATATAGCAGTCTAAATTTATGTAATCCATAAAACTGGCCCTTTATAGCTTAGTATGTTCAAAATAACACTGCTTTTTTTTTTTAATTACTCTTCCATAGATTAAGGCTTCCTCCGTGGGTAAAAACAGAAATTCCAATGGGTAAAAACTACAATAAACTGAAAAACACACTGAGGAGCCTAAACCTTCACACTGTGAGTATACGAATCAATAATGTAATATATGAAACCTGATCTCCAATGCTACATAAAAAAATCCTGCTCTGTCACCCAACCAAACAAAAATGAGTATTTTATAAAGATCTGTGATAAAACTCAGGAAATCCTTACACAGAAATTCCAACGCAGTCAAAAGATATTCTAAGACAAAGTAGGGACTTGTTAACTTATATATTATTTAAGGCAGAGCTACCTAAATCAAGTTTTGACAATCCCCCACGCAACAATAGTGACTGCTGTGGGAAAAATACATTGTCTTGCTGATCACAAGACAATGTCTATGGAGGCTCCCACAGACATTAGGAAGTGCAGATCACAAGGACCTTTCTTGCTGCTCATAATTATTCTCTTATTACTTCATTTTATCAGTAAATGAAGGATCTTCATGAGGGAAAAAACCACACACCTTGAATGTTATGCGCCATTGTACCCTGCATGTGCCTGTTTTTTAACTAAAGCAGGTCCAAGCATCTGAAATAAGGTTTTACTTGTGTCTGTTGCTATAGTAACTAAGCATAAAAGTCTAGGGAAATTAAAAATACGTTTGCACACCCAGAAGGAACAGAGACTCGGAGTGCCCACGACTCTGCATATAACCCCACACAATGAAGGGTCACTAAACATGATAAATGTACCTCTACCCTCACCTGACTCCCCACCCCCCCTTTCTGTTTTCTGTACCCACTTCCCCCGACCCCCAAGTTTCTCCCGAATTGGGTTTTACAAATCGTTGTTAAGCATTACCCAGGAAAACTGATGTAAACCAGGTAGCTACGATAGCTCGACAGATAAGATAGTACCTGAATTGTTATTGCTATTACTGTTACATAATGTTATATGTAAAACCAATGTTTCATCCCAAACTCCTCTTTCTGTAACCCCCTCCCACATTTTCTAAAAAACAAAAACCAATAAAATAAAGAATTAAAAAAAAAAAAAAGTCTTGGGGAAGAGTGCTGCTAGTAGAGAGATCTTATGGCTGTCAGCTTCACAATAGTGTCAAAGCAATGCTGGAGGCTGAGAGATGGAAATTTGACATTTAGCTGGACCACATGAGTCTTATTTCTGAACTTCAGCATGCCATACACAGGCTTAATTTGTAACCGAGCATTGTGCTGCAGACCAACTTTCCATCCTCATTTGTGTTATCTCGCTGCAAAATGAAAACATCCTTGACTTTCTTTTATATTTTGTTCCTTACTCCTATAAGTAAATAATTAAAATGCATACCATGGATCTTTTTTCATAGTGTTAAGGTGCCCGGTTGCCAGATAAAGAGGTGTGAATTTCTACATTTAATCGTATTTTTCACATCTCACAAACACATATTTGTTAAATACAAGTATAAACAAACATACTGTTAATCATCCTGTGACAGTCCCCCCTTAAATGTGAAGATACCTGAGGTTTATTAACTAGACTGAAAGTTGGTGGAGGAATGCAATATTAACGTCATAACAGCAGAATTGTGAATAAAGGGTTATTCATTGAAGTGAGAATTCAAAATGAATTGAGTGAATTTTAAGTTCAAGGCTAAAATAACCAAATTTGAAAACTTCTCTAAGTCAGCTTTGCTTAAAGTTTGACTACTTTGACCTAAAACTAGAAATTAACTTTGTAACATTGTGGGAATGTCCACGTCTCACTATGTCACTAAAGTCCATCCTAGAATGCGGTGCATACACCAAAATGCGGTGCATTCTGCAATTTAATAAAGTTAATTGTGGGAACAAGTAAATCAGATAAATACACCTTTTGCTGGTAATGATTAGATTCAGTGACGTGGATCTTTGTCAGGGGCTCTGGACGCCTAGTTAGCTATATCTCTGCTGCTGCACTTATACAGCCGCGATCTCACCAGCGAACCTGCTCCTATATCTAGGCATCCGTTTTTTTTCTTAGTCCTATACTCTGTCTACTATTTCTTTATGGGGGGTTAAGTAAAGCAGTATAGGCATTTATTAAGGGGTGCCCTCGAAGACTCGTTATCAAAGCCAGCGTTAGGATTTTTTCAATTCATTTTTCAATTCTCTATATGTCTATCGATTGCTACCATAAATCCTAGCTGTCTACTGCCTCTTATACCTCCTAATTCACAGGCATCCTCTGCCTCTTCACCACTAGTGCAGGAGTTTTGCAACCATATGGGTGTGCTGTTTAACCACTTGAGCACGAGAGACATTTAGGGGCTCAGGACGCCTAGCTAACTATACCTCTGCTGTTGCACTTACACAGCCGCGATCTCACCAGCGAACCTGCTCTTATATCTAGGCATCCGTTCTCTTAGTCCTATATTCTGTCTACTATTTCTCTATGGGGGGTTTAAGTGAAGCAGTATAGGCATTTATTAAGGGGTGCCCTCGAAGGCACTTAGACTCTTTATCAAAGCCAGCGTTAGGATTTTTCAATTATCTATATTCCTATCAATTGCTACCACAAATCCTAGCTGTTCACTGCCTCTTATACCTCCTAATTCATAGGCATTCTCTGTCTCTTCACCACTAGTGCAGCATTTCCCAACCATATTGGTGTGCTGTTGAACTATTTGAGCACAAGAGACAATTTCTTCCATATCCAGCAGACTCTGTCCTGCAGGGGGAGTCTAGAGGATACAAGCACTGTACACTCTCCTCTATCATTTAAGCCACACTGTTTATAGCAAGTGTTACATTTCTATACTACTAAGTATCTTATCTCTTTTTATTGATACTTTCCTTGCTATTTCCCCTATTGGAGGGTACAGTGCCTTAGCCAGTCTATAGGACATTGATTTAGCCTTGTGCTTTTTGTTCTGTTTTTATCTTTTATACTTCTTCATTTTAGGATATTCATTAAAAGTTATATTTTAACGCTTATTTCAGTAGTGACAATACCTATCATGTTGTTGAGACACTTAATGGTAGTTCTGTTCTTTTTTCTTTCTAAGTCTTACATGGATATTTGTCAGCCACACTTGTGCATGACATGTCAAAAATCGAAAGGTTACTAATAAGTCATTATAGCTTTAATGGATGCAGCTTTTACCATGTAAATCCTTTCCAGTGTTTGTCTAATCAAGGCATTTTTTTTAGAAACTCACCATTACTGTTTATATTTATAGTAGGTATTCTGTATGTTTAAATTTATACACAAGCTGTTAAATGTTTATTTTTGTTTTAATACATTAAGGTGTGTGAAGAAGCACGGTGTCCAAACATATCCGAATGCTGGGGAGGAGGAGAGTACGGCACAGCTACTGCCACTATTATGGTGAGAGACTAGAACTACCATAGAATCCCACAATGTTAATACGTATCTGTTCGGTGAATTAATAGAATTGAAATTGTCATACATTTCTAGCCACTCGGTAGTTTTTTAAAAATAAACTCCACATATTCAATGACGCCAAACCTTTTGCACACATAATCACTCACAGGTTTTCAGAATGCTTTCATGATCGTGGGTAGGATGGAACTTCAGGTCAGATAGTTAGATTTTTCATGCTCAATCACCTTAATTTATAGCATTTTCTTTTTGTTTCATGCATATAAATCGATTTTTATTAATTACTGAAAAAATGCATTGGAGAAGGAGAGTAATATGTATATGAGGGTAGGAAAGCAGTGGTAAATGTAAGAAACAGGATAGCAGAGGTATTCCATCTATGCTTAGAATAATAATTCTATTCATAATTATTTTTATTATTATTATCCTAAAGAGGAAATCGAATTTACTTCTCCACTTGTGAATGTCTGTCAGTTACAGTTTCCTCCAGAAACACACATACATACTGCATAATGAATCACTACAGTAGACATGTTGCACAGTGATGCAAAATGCATGCAATAAAACGGGGTATTGCTAATTACTACAAATCATTATTGCATTGGTAGAGCACGTGGGTGGATTGTAATTCCATTTTTATTTATTTATTTCCCACAGTTAATGGGCGACACTTGTACCAGAGGCTGCCGCTTCTGTTCTGTTAAAACTGCAAGAAAGCCTCCTGCTTTAGACCCGGACGAGCCATACAACACAGCCAAAGCCATAGCGGAGTGGGGATTGGATTACGTGGTGCTCACTTCAGTGGACAGAGATGGTTGGTATACACTGCGTGTTACAAGTGGCTACTATGCATGTAGTCTTCAATGTTATTCTTTGTTTTAACAGGGAGATATTGTTTGAATTTATTAAGAAGGAGAATGTATTTGTAAACCTAATGCCTATGCTAAGATTCACTTATTGTGGTAAAGTAGTTAATCATTTTAGGAGCTGTGGCCTTGCTCTATAAGATGAAGTTCTATTTGTAAGTATGCATTTGAAGTGGTATTTGTATATTTTAAAAGGGAAGTGGGAAATATAAAGTCTCTATTTTTTTGTTGTATGTTTGTTCCTTATTGAATTATTTCTCAGAGAAGAGCCTTGGGTTGGATGCAAGGCTGTATGTCTACTATGCACACAATTTGAAATCGGATACAGAATTGAATTTAGTTTTCTTATCCTGGCTAGATCCTACTGAAACCCTTTCTTACCTGTGGTTGTTTTCATGCAGAAGGACATTTGGAGTTACCCCCATCCCCCCTGTTCAGTTTACATAGAAGTGTTTGGGATGTCAGCCATCCTTTATTATTTTGCTAATGTGCATGAGAAAGCTTACATGTTGGAGTGGTTTGCTATAGACAAACAGTTACAACTTTCTCCAAAGTATAATGTGTAGATGCAAAAGAGTAGGAAAAAAAAAACATGTCTAATATATGTATTCTGTAATAAATGTATGATTTTTTAAAATTTATTTTTTTCATAAAGAAGTTGATATAATTTAATAACCTGCAGGTTATTAAGTCACTTTGGCGAGATGGGGAGGGGGACGTAATGACTCTATATAATGTTTTCCAGCATAGTATTTGCTTTATTTTCTTAACAATACTCCATAACCCCTATCAGACAATACATCTTTATACATTTACCCCTATAAATGAAATCATCTTTTCCCAGGAGTTTAAAATAGCTATTGCTACATAAGCTCATTTAGTTTTCTGACTTTAAGGATGGCAATCAGATGTTTTGGAACTTGGTGGTTTTGTGGTGAGAGGCTGATACACAATTTAAATTCTATTTATTTATATACAGGGTTATTCACTAAAGTGAGAATTCAGGATGAATTTCAAATTTAAAGTCAACATAGCTGAACTAGAAAAATTCTCTAAGTCAGCTATGCTTTGAGTTCAGCTACTTTGGCCTTAAATGTAAAATTCTCTTTGAATTCTCTCTTTAGTAAATAACACTGACAGTTCCAACATATTCCACAGCGCTGTAAAACCAGGTAAAACAAGACAAACAAGTCATTCTAACAGAACACGTAAGACTTGCAGTGATGGGTGAAGATTGGCCTGCCCAAATGAGCTTACAATCAAGACATGCAGCCTAATTAAACGTCTTCAATGCACAGTAGTCCTTTGTGTACTGTTTTTAATCTTGTAGATAGTGGACTCTAAAACTGTTTAATTTTTCCCCTTTTTGTCTACCTCAGACATTGCGGACGGAGGAGCTGAACACTTCGCCAAAACGGTGTCTCTATTAAAGGAGAGGTAATACTGGTGTATTGTGGCAATTTTCCAGGACCAAGCGCACTTTGAAAACCAGCTTGCTGGCAGATATAAACATATACAGGGCTTCAAAATGTGGGGGAGAATGAGGCAACCACTGTTGTGACCAATTGTGGGACCTTTATATGTCACATGCTCTAAAAGGAATAGACTAGTAAACAATAATATTCTTACTTAGCGGTAGAGACTGGGGATAATGGGTTGGCACAATAATAGGTGGGTATAGAATTAGTTGCAGTCTGGGATACAAGGGCAGGATTAGCACAAAACATAGAAGATAGGTTTGAATTGGCTGTGAAAGAGTAGGTATACTTGTAGTTTGGCATTTTAGGGAATGCCTCTTTAGGATAGCACCCAATGAATTACTGTTTTCATGATTCTCTCTGTGCATTATGTATGGTATTAAAGGTGTAGGTGCAGACATGCTAAGGTAGTAAGGGAGATAAAAAGATGGAGCTGACTTAAAGGTGATTTAAGGGGTGTACTGACTTAAGTGAAAAAGATGGTGGTTGAGAACTTGCATTAGTGATGGGTAAAAGGAAAATAGCATCAGATGAGTGCAGATAGATTCGAACTGGTGTGAATCAACAATTTATACCAAGGGTAGACACCCTTCGACACTCCACAACATCTGGAGTTTTGACGGTGGCCTACTTCTGGTTGAGTGGAATAAAGGGAGAGTATAAGAATAATTTAGAGTGGTCTAGAGTGAGGGAAGGACTAGAAAAAATGTCATGCAGGTTAAGTAAGCCACTAACATGAAGAGAGTGATGTAAAAGGTATTGTAGTGTGAAGAACGAGAGGGATACAGGGGCCTGACATGAAAAGAGAGAGGCATAATGGGCTTTAAAATGGACAGGGAGGAGATTTAGGCTGATTAAAAGGCTAGGATTAGATAAAGGGGGCTGACATGCATGGAGTAGGATGACATAGATTGTAGGAAGGACAAGGCTGCATTATGTGGAGGGTGAGAAGATAAGTTGGACTAGCATAGGGGAACGACAATTTAAAAATGGGAAGCACTGAGAATGGGGTGACTTTGGGGTTCAACTGGGAAAGTGTAAGTTATTTACAAATGGAGACTTGTCTAGGTACACACACTGTATGTATTGGGAGATCAGACCCAACCCAACCTTAATGTATTCTGATCAGCTTTCAAAGACTTTTCTTAGGAGAGGGGAAGAGATAAGATGTTTATAGTGCAAAATGCAGGAGAAGTCGAATATATATCTATGCAGCCAAACCCCAAATAATAATTTTGCAAGCATATTTTAGGTGTAAGACTTTTCTTTCCCCCATTGCTTTCTCAGTACCATTTTGGGGGTCATCTTATTCTGTTCCCCCTTAAAGAAACTGTTGAACCATATTTTAGCTTTATGAAAGGTTTTTATGGTAAAAATCATGCTCTTTGAGTCTTACTGCTCAATTCTCTGCCATGTAGGAATTAAATCATTTGTTTATGCAACCCTAGCCACACCTTCCCTATCTGTGACTTACACAGCCTTCATAAACACTTTCAGTAAAGAAGGATATCAATTTAAACTTCCTTTTTGCAGTGTGTTAAATTTAGAATTTCTCTGTTAATTGCCCGTTAGAGCATGCAGGATCTCATGTACGTGGTTAATGTTCAATCAATAGAGCAGGAGAAAAGAACTTCTAACGTACATACACTGTGCTGTAAGATCTGGTAGAAAATTAAACCATTTTTAAAAAATGTTGGATGAGTGAGTAACAGGGGAGGTATGACTAGGGCTGGAAAAAAAAAGGGAAAAAAGGTGATTTAACTCCTAAACGGCTAAGAATTGAGCAGTGAGACTGCTGGGGCATGATCTATACTCCAAAAGTGTTTTATTAAGCTACTGTTGGTTTGCTGCTTAGAGGATCTATATGAGATAGCTTCTTTTTTTTTTCCCATTCATATGCAATTTGCAAACCCCTTCATGTGCCCTTTTTGTTTTTGTTTATTTACCAAGTTAGATGTAAGGAACAGTATGGACTACTTTTTAACTGAGGTCTGTTTTAACAAATGGGTATGTGGGCATGTGACCAGGGAATGGAAAAGGTTTGCATTTCTAGGCGCTACCATTTAGACATTTTAAGATGGTGGCAGTGTGAAAAATCCTGGTGGGACCAGCGCATCAAGAAAAGGGGTAAGCTGCACCTGTCCTGGGGCCATAAACAGCTTGGTGGAGGGCTCAGGGTTGAGGGAATTAATCAGCAGCAGAGCCACTTGTATGTAAAGAGGGCCTTTTGTAAAAGAAAGCATGTAATTAACCTTGTCAAAAAAGTTTACAAAAGACCTCACAAAAATGACAAAATTCTGTGTCAGTCTGCAACATTGTTTAGTAGTTCTGTGTTTTGTCCCTCTCTTACACAGGAATTCTAAAATTCTCGTTGAGTGTCTAACTCCAGATTTCCGAGGGGACTTAAAAGCAGTGGAGACGGTGGCTGTGTCTGGGCTGGATGTCTATGCCCATAACGTGGAGACTGTGCCAGAATTGCAGAGGTACTGAAAGTTTAGTTCATATCTAGCTCAATAATATCTCCTTCTTTGGTCAGTTGCTGAAAATATATATTCTATAGGAATTGATATTTGTTGGCCATCAGATAACTTCTACTTATATTTTGCAACCCTTCATACGGTCCTGTATACTATATGAATACACTGCCAGTGCAACCATGTGTAAAGAATTACAATGCCGCAGTGTCCTACGCATCATGGGTTGGTGCATAGTAAATACACATATTTTTGACACTTTTGTTTTGAATAAGATGTGCGAGATACCCCTACCAAAATGTACAGCAAGACCTGAACGTCATGTCAGATTACTATGCAAGTCAGAGATTCTTAATCTAGTTTGTTAGGGACCAAAGTTATGCATGGCATTAGAATGCAGAATCTGTTTTTAACTGAAAAAATTGCTTAGTGATCTATACTGAAACTATAATATAATCCGAGGAAAGGGTACAACAGTTATTTTAATATTAAAGATCTTTTTAAATACCTACACATTAGAGACTTTGTCTGCTCAGTTGAGGTTTGGAGTGCTGCTTCGTCCCCAAAAGGACTGATATTGTGTGTATATTATGCATTTCTATACCATGCTTGTAAAGAATGAGGAGACCATACACAGGGAGAGACATAGGGGGCCCACAGGAGGGAGGGGAGTAAGAGGACCTTTTTGTTTTTACTCCATGAGTAAAATATATACAAAATCTACCATAATGATTTACTACTCCAGTGAAACATCATTATAAAATATCCATCAATTAATATTAGCGCCTAGGTGAGCATCAAGAGACATACCTCCACATTTTGACCCATAATGGACTAAGCTGCAGAAATGTCGAGGAAAAATATGAAAAAAAATATTTCCTCTGGAAAAGCATTGGATTGACTTAGATCACCAAGATGCCCCAAAAACACATAACTACATTTTAGAGTTCAGACTGACTTTTTAAAGAAGATTCTTCTATTTAAACATATTTGTTATTTTTTTTTTGTTTCTAATTCTTTGCCTTGTATTGTTCACCATTAATTTTTACAAAAAAAGAGAGAAGGTGTAATCCAAATTGCTACTCTTTTTAGGTTTGTCCGCGACCCACGTGCTAACTTTGAACAGTCTATCAATGTCCTGAAACACGCCAAGAATGTACGTCCTGATATTATATCCAAAACGTCCATCATGCTCGGTTTAGGGGAGACAGACGAACAAGTTTACAACACAATGACAGGTCGATAACATGTAAACCGTGCAAGATTGCAATAAACCGTGTGGAAAGGAGCTCTGTCACAATTATTGGGGGACAAACAAGTCTTCATAATTTTGTGTTTGTGTTTTGCCAGCTTTACGAGGAGCAGGCGTAGACTGCTTGACCCTTGGACAGTACATGCAGCCAACAAAACGACATCTTAAGGTAAACATCCCTCCTTCTAGTTGAAGACTGAGGACTACACACTTGTGGGACTTCCACCAAGTGTGTTTTTGGGGAAATGAACATGTATTTTTATGGGTTGATAATAGATTGGCTAGTCTGGTAACTGAAAGTTTAAAGGGACATTATAGTCACCAAAATAACTAGCTTAATGAAGCAGTTTTTGTGTATAGATTATGCCTCTGTAGTTTCACTGCTCAATTAATTTAAGAGTTAAATCGCTTTTGTTTCTGTTTATGTAGCCCTAGCCACACCTCCCCTGGCTGCGACTCACACAACCTGCATGAAAACAAAATGGTTTCATTTTCAATCAGAAGTTAACTTTTTAAAAGTTTGTATCTCCTGCTCTGTAAATTGAACTTTAATTACACACAGGAGGATCTTGCAGGATTTAGCAAGCTATTAACAAGGCAGAAGATAAGAAATGATAAATTAAACAGAATTTGCAGTAAAGGAAGTATAAACATTAGATAACTCTTAACAGGAAGTGTTTAGGAAGGCTGTCTAAGTCACATACAGGGAGGTGTGACTAGGGCTTCATAAACAAAGTTATTTAACTCTTAAATGGCAGAGAATTGAGCAGTGAGACTGCAGGGTCATGAGCTATATACCAGAACTACTTCATTAAGCTAACGTTGTTTTGGTGACTATAGTGTCCTTTTAATGACAGTTTCTATATAATTGTAATAGCTGTTAACACTCTACATAATTGCAGGTTGAAGAGTATGTTACACCTGAAAAATTTAAGCACTGGGAAAAAGTGGGCACCGAGTTGGGCTTCTTGTACACGGCCAGTGGACCTCTTGTCCGTTCCTCCTATAAAGCAGGTAAAGCACTTTTTATGAGCTGATTTTGATAATTTCTCAAACAAGATTTATTGAAATAGATGAAGACATTTGTTAATTGATGTAAAAATTCACATTATTGCATTTTGTAGGTGAATTCTTTTTGAAGAATTTGGTGGAGAAAAGAAAAACCAGAGCCATTTAAAATAAAAAATGATCGAAGAACAGTTTGATCCTATGGAATAATATGGTTTTAACAACTCTGCAGGAAAACTGAAAAATGATATACTAAATGTTAGGACTCTGGTGCTATTCAGCATATCCTGCAGACAGATATGTCCCAGGGACCAGGAAATGATTTCATATAATGGACACTAAAGCCAAGGCAATTTGAACTACAGATACATGATTGTCTGATAATGGAAGAGAAAATAAAAGCTGGAAGAAAAGAATGCATATGTTTGTGAGTGTACCACAGGACGTGTGCTCATAACTAGTTGAAGCGGGTAAATATTAAGGGCGACCCTCACATGGATGTGCTCAAGAATCAGAAACTGTATGTCCTCTCTGCACCTATTACTGGCGCTGCTCCATAAGCTAATTAAACTCTCTGATACCAATATGTTTGTGTCCAAATATTGTGTACCAAAAAGATTTCTATATCCCAAACAGAGGCGTACTTGGGTTACATGGCACCCGGGACAGATTATATATGTTGGCATCCCCCTCCTCCCCCCAAGTTTTACACCTTTGTGTTGCTGTGCGCCCACTCATCCCTTTGTGGGTTTCTCCAAATCCCGCTTTAAAACAGGTGTATCCCTTAACTCATGTTACTACTTGTATATATTTGAAGAACCCCCTCTTAACTCTTGTCTGTTTTTGAATGCTCTTACCCCTTTCTCCCCTCACATGCATTCACAGTGATATGCATATATGTCACATACAAACATGGGTACATACACAGACACATAATCACATACACATAACTTACATTATCACACGTTTATGCACATATAATAGATAATAGTCCCTTACATATTTTATATATATATATATATACACACACATACACCTTAAAACAGTCACATACATGCCCTCAGTTGTTCACACACATGCAGATAGTTACCGCTTTCCTTTATGGGCACTCGGAGATGGGGGAGGAGGCACTCTCTGATGTCTAGTGGTTAGTAAAGCAGGGAATCCATCCTACTGTCCCCTCAGTATGCTGTAGTTAATAGGCAGCAGATCCAGGTGGCATTTAGCTCTGTTCAGTGCTGCAACTTGCTCTTTGCAAGACCCAGGTAAGGGGTAACAAAATCCTCTACCTGGATACCGTGTGACCTGCAGGAAGGGGGTGCTAGCATACCTTGTTGGTAGGGATCCGCCTTGGGTAAATCTCCCTGATATCTGTTACCAGAGGCAGACCCCACCACCACCACCTTGGTATGCTATTGATCATGACTGTCTGTGTGCATTCTTTTTGTATTCATGTACCAAGCTAGGATAGATGGCAATAAAAATAGTTATAAAACAGGGAATTCCACATCGTTCCAGTTGCAAAAAAAAGGATACTCAAACTGTAGCTTGCATGTCTGATTGTCACTATATTTTGGATGTTACTTGTCATATGTGGCTGATTGACTTATCTTTACTAAATGGGCTCATGGGAGCCTGAAATGATTTTACCACGCTGTGCCTGGATCTTTTAATTTTGCGTTTAGATATTCTGGCAATTAAAATAAGTTGTCCAATATAATATTAAAAAATATATAATTATATAAACAGCATAAAAAAATGTGAAAAGGCAGTTTTTACACGTAAAATATGAACACTAACTTTGACCAGGGTTTATGACTAAGGGGCTACTGAAAAAGTCTGGACATACCCCATTTTAAATACCCTGGGTTTTCTACTATGCCATATTGGGGTTAATTCTCATTCCTGGGCTGCCACGATTTCAGAGGCAACCCTGTAACTTTCCAAAAACCCATAAACCCTGGAAACGGGTGTACTGTGTACTTGGGAGACATCCCTGAACACAAATATTGTATTTTATTGGAATAAAGGCAAACAGTATTACAACATTCACAGTTAAAATGTCATGCAGAGCTTTTTATTTTTTTAAGATTATATTAATTTTAAATTGTTTCATATATAAATATTTGGTGTGAAAAGCCCTATTTCTTCTCAACAAAATAATCTAGAATAAGATGGCGGTGAAAGAGGTGAATTATGGCTGAGCAGACATATAGCTGAAATTTCAGGTTTCGTTCTGGTTCAGAATCTGCTGAATTATTCTACCTGGAGCTACTGAAACTCATTTGGGCAGAAGAAATTCCAGAAATTAAATGCAGTCCATCTGGGTGTTTCAGTATATTTTATTTTGTTTCTTTAATATATCTCTGCCGTGCCATGGCCAGAGAGACAGAAGAGTGGCTTCATGGTGGATGGGAATATAAAAACCTCATTGTCTTGCATTTTATTGGCAGTACCAGGTCTTATTGCAAAGCAGTTATCTCCCCTGTTGTAGCTTGGTATTTTCAATCTGCTCTTTGAAACCTGTGTGGTCACTGGTTCTTTATATATTAAGTCACAGGCTTTAAAAAAAAAACCCACAGCATTTTAAATAGTGTGACACAATTATAACTGTGTTTAAAAAAAATATTTAGTTTATACATAAGACATTAAAATATATAATTAATATATTGGGTGACGGCTTGATCAAAGGAAAAATCTGGAATGAAATATTCTTGTTGGCTAAATTGTAAGTAGCTCCAGTTTTGGTTTTTCAATGTCTTTTGGATCATTGGCAAAAACATGTGAAAGGTTGAACTTGACAGACTTGCCTTTTCCCCAGCCTTTATTACGTTGTAAGCTGTAACCATTCTGTACAAGTTAGTTTGGATTCCATAATGTGGATCTTTAGTCATTATAAAGTACTTTAACCTTCTGATTTACAGTACATGTAATAGAACACTTCCTGACCAAATCGGCATCATTGCCAGTTATCGGCTTATTGCAGAGCGTCTGGCCTTTCCAATTTGTGCGTCACACAGTTTTGATGCTTTTTTTTTTTTTTTTTCCCTTCCCCCTGTAGATTAGCAGCCAGTTACAGAAAGGAAAAAAGCAAACCACTATGTATAGGCAGATGTCATGCAGAGAAAGGAAGTTGAACTTGCACAACTTTTATTTATTATTCAACTGGAGGCCCAGGGTCCATATGGTGCCCTGAAGGATTAATGTAAGCTCTTATTGGAACACACTGTGCATTATAATGTCCTGCTTTATCTCAGTCTAAAAAAAGAGTTCTGCTTTAATTCCTTTCCTTTGTTTTCTACATTATTGCCATAAAAGCATACTTTTATGGGGTAAGAAGATTTAGACTTGCCGGACTGCATCTATTTGGTGGCATCAAAAGGGTCAATAACCAAGAAAAAAAAAAAAAACCTGCACATCACAGTTCCCCTCTGCATTGTTAAACTACCCTGAAATTTGCCCTTACTTTGATTTTTTTTTATGGGGCCTAAGAGTGACCATGTCTATACATGCTATGGGCTTGCGCTAACCCACCTCCCACCTGGATAAATTTCCGTGGACACCTATGCCAGGAACGGTCACTTCTTATGAAATGACAATTGCACTCGAAAGCAAAATTAGCAGCAGAGAAACAAGGGAGACGAGCAGGTTATTCAGTAAAGTGAAGTGAAGATTCAAACGTACCTGTTACCTATGTTTCCAGTTCCGATACTCTGGCCTTGAATTTGAAATACACTTAGAATTCACTGGGAACTCATTGTTTTAGTGAGTAAGCCGGTCAGTGATTTATTTCCATTTCAGCTAATGAGGCCTAAAAATGTACCTTTACGGCTGATTGAATAATGCTGTAATAGTTATCAGCAAAGTGCTATTAACTATTATTCACAAAAGTGAGAATTGCCAGGAATTCAAATAATTAAAGAAAAAATTGCTTCAATTTAGGCTATTGTGGCCTTAAATCTAAAACCCACTTTGAATTCCTGACAATTCTAACCCTGAATATGTGTATTCTGTCGTCATTTGATTCTAGTGTCTTTATTGACTTAATCTTTGTAATTGTTTTTTTTTTTATACCATATAAAGTTTGTGAAAGCAATTTTTACAACACTTTGGTGATACCTTTACCAAGAGCTGTAACCAGAAGTACTCATGTAATAAATGCCATGTAATACTTGGTACACAGTCTGTTTAAAGTAAAATGGTGTGTACTCCATAAATGGTTACGGCCTTTGCAGATTTGGGATACCTACGTTCTTATGTTCACTATCTTAGCAGAGATATAATAGTTCCAGAGACCAAGAAGTATTGAAAAAATTGTTTACTTGGTATATGACTTAAGAAAATATTTGCTAAAATACATTTAGAATACAATAGTTATATCATAATACAGTTACATTGACTTCCCGTAGCAGGAATTATCAAACTAGAGTAAGCCCACTGAGTTACCAATTTTGCCTCGCAAACTTTACGCCAACATTCAGTATCTAATGTGTGTGTAACCATAAGGCACTGCACAAACATGGAGCAAAGTGGACAATTTTATTTCCAAAACAATGATCATAATGCAAATCTTGCTTATTTGTGGGTTGGACATATAAAAAGTAATAAAGGCCATGCATTGACTCCTCCGTTATCCTTTCACTTAACCCCCTCTGTGATCCTAATGAAGACTAGCAGCAGAGGGCAAGAGACCAATTCTTGCCCAGTATATGGGACAGAATGCCTAGTTTTGACTAAATTACACAGAGCTGTATTAGTATTGAGCTGGGTTCTGTATTTTGTTCCTTGTTAATACGCTCTCAGATAAATTAAATATATGTAGTGTATTGCTGTACACTGCAGCAATTAACATTTTTCATTGGTGAGGTCTTCCTATTAAAGGTACACTACAGTCACCAGAACAACTACAGCTTATTGAATTAGTTCTGGTGAGTAGAATCATTACCTTCAGGCTTTTTGCAGTAAACATGGTCTTTTCAGAGAAAATGTTGTGTTTACATTACAGCCTGGGGATAACTCGACTGGCCACTCCTGGGGCACTGTCATTCAGTGTCTCCACCCTCTGCATGGAGACACTGAACTTTCCTTATAGAGATGCGTCTCTATGAAGAGATTGTGATTGGCCAGGGCTGTGTTTGATCTGCCTCTTTGACAAGCTCAGACAATCCAATGCTTTCCTATGGAAAAGCATTGCGATTAGCTTTGATGAACACTTCTGATGCTGTCAGCAAAGAGATAGATTAGGGGCAGAGCTATCAGCAGCAGCAGACTGGAATAAAAGTAAGATTTTACTACATTTATGGGGGCAAAGGGGGCTAAATAGTGGTTTTAACACTGTAGGGTCAGGAACACACATTTGAACTTCGCTTTTATTTACCCAGATAGACCAATTAAATGGATTGTGAACTCTGCAGATACAGACAGCGCAGTTTATTTAGCTATTTGACAAGTTGCTGTGAGCTCTATAAAAGATGCTCCACTAGAGAGCTGTACTCCACCGCATATAAAGTACACTGGATTGAAAATGGTGCAGTGCAACTATTGAAGATGTCAAAAAAATTCCAAGAGTGAGTTTAAAGCAGGCGTGACCCCAACAAGTGCAGGGTGGCCATAGGCACCCCACTCCCCTCCCAACAAGCGCAGGGCGGCCACAGGCACCCCCCAATGAAATGCCAAAGGTAATTATTAAACATCGAGAAGATGCCTGTTCCCAATAACTGCTGCAGGACTCGATATGGCAGAATGTGGTGACAGACGCTCTGCCCATGGCTACATTTTACCAAAGAACAATGTCCTACATAATGCAAAGTAGTCCCAGTTCTGTCTGATATACATCTTCTGATTATGTTGGGTGTTCAATGAATTCTCATAAAACCGTCAGAGGAGTCAGTGCCTCTTTAAAAATCAGAATTCTGTCAACCAACACATTGTTTGCATTGCACATACAATTATCATAAAAACCCCAAATACCGTTTTCCTTGGCCAGCCTTTTACTGTAGCTATAGGAAGTAAACAATTAAACAAGATTATAAAAATATAAAAAAAGAAGCTTGGAAAAAAAAATAGATCTGATTGTAAATATTCCTAAAAAATAATCCCCCAGTACAAAAACCAGGAAATTGATTATCGTCTTGAAAATACATGCCAGTTCCTTCAATGTAACAAATAAGGTAGATCGATTTCAGGACTCACTCAGCATGGTTAAATTATTATTGCTCAGTTTATCGTTTTGATTTTTTTTTTCCCTCTTTTTTTTTTTTTTTTTTAAGAGGATTTGGGTTATTCGGTGACACCAATTTCAATCTTCATTTTATTTTGATATGAAAAAAAAAAATATATCAGATCAGGGATGTGTAGTGAGCTGAGTGGATAAATTACCAGTAAATTAGTCTTTACAGATTAGTGTTTTTCAACATTGGTGGCATTTTCTATTCCCGAGTCATACTGGTTGGAATATGAAGATAGATCAGCTGACCAGGTGTGCAGAGAGATTGGGATAAAACCTATGATCACAGCATTATTAAAAACCTATACCCGGGGCTTCTTATGAGGGAAATCCTGAAGCGTTATCTTGGGAATGTCAGCTGTGGGCGTGTATGGGATTCTTTTAGAAGCCACTTTCTTTCCAATTGTTTCAACCTGTAAAATAAAACAAAAAATAATACCGTTACTTTAACCACATAAAGAAAATACAGACTTTTCCTAACGCAAGGTGTGTAATGTTTGTTTCTCACTTTAACTTCAAACCCATGTGAAACTTCCAATAATACACTGCAGTGATCTTGCCATTAAAAGACAGCTGTCATCAAAGTTTCTCTTTTTTTATTTTTATTATTTTAGTTAAACTAAATGATTTTTTAGTGATTTAGAATTTAGTTTTTTTTTGGGCCAAGAAGCAATGTTGAGTCAAACTCTATTGTAAATCGGACTAACTGTTGTTCAATCTAACTTGCCTGCTGCTGTATGTGACACTGTGTGAAACAAGTTAGGTTGGGCAGCAGTTGGTCAGATAACAGTAAAGTCTGACCCAACATGGCTACTCAGCCAGATTAAAAAATAAATACAATATAAAATCACTTAAAAAAAACATTACATTTAATTAAAATATAAATATAATAATTTTTAAATTTTTAATAGGAGAAGAGAAAATCAGTATAAATAATTTAAATAACAAAAAAAAAAGGCATTAAGTTTCATTAATTCATTAAATGTTAATAAAACTTTTGCCAAAATTAGAAGTGAAAATTACAGTTGTTCTTTAAGTCAATCAAGTTTTAAATTGCCAAGGAGGTGCCCTAAGCTTGAAAGAACCATAAATAGTCCCAGCATCCAGCTAATCTTTATTTGTTAAGCACCAGCAACTGCAGTAGCACTGTACAACAAATTAAACGAGAGACACACAACAGTGTGGCATAGGCAAACAGGGAAATGACTTCAGATGTGATCACTCACTGTCATTAGTATCAATGTAAACAATTTGTGTGAGGATTCCATGCTGAAATAGTTAAGAAAGGAACGAGGAATGTCTCTAATAACCCCCTGTAGTTTGCATGGGAATAAAATGCAATTAACACAGCCAGTAAAAGACTTATGGTTTTCTACAGTTCCTTAATTATTTCACTGCCGAGCTAAACTGCTCATAGAAGGTCAAGCTTATTGCTCACATCAGATATAAAAATAACAGAGGATTGCAGACGCTTTGGATGGAAATGACCAGGCCCAGTTTTGGGAGGTAATGTAACAGTTCTCATGTCAGACATAGAGCATTAGTCATTCTGATGTGAAGCAGACTTTCCGCCTTACTCCTCTCTACATCATTACGTCATGTCTGCAGTCACACCCTCGAGGCTATGGATGGTCATAATACCAGATGTTTGCCGTCACACCCGCTGAATGACTGGTCAGCAGGACAAACTCCTTGTGTTTCCAGTTAAAGCTGTGCCCATTTAGAAATCCAATCGTGCACAACTATTAATAAGCTTTGTGTTCCCTAGGGTGAGCCATGGTACAAGCTCTGAAATATAGAAAATGGTAGCTTTTGTGTAATAATGTATATGAAATATTAATGGGGTGATGTAGTCATAGTGACTGTATGTGCATTACTGCATGTTACTATGGGAGTGTGGTAGCCGCTAGAATTAACTTTGTAGAAAGATCACCTTCATTCATTATTTTACTACATTGTAAATTCTACTCAGATAATTAGGACAAAAGGGCATATATTAGTAGTAGAAAGAGGATCCAGGCACTCCAATATCTTCAAATACGTTTATTGGAACAAGTGAGACACCGCAATGTTTCTATCCCTGGTAGCGTCTTTGTCAAGCTTGACAAAGACTGTATCAGGGGTCGAAACATTGCGGTGTCTCACTTGTTCCAATAAACGTATTTGAAGATATTGGTGTGCATGGATCCTCTTTCTACTACTGGTATCCATTCCTCAGGGCTGGTGCTGGTGGCCCATGGTCCCTTTACTTCATGTGATTTGAGTGCGGTTCTTTTTTACATTTTTGCAAATGGCAAATATTGACATGTTTCATTTAAATGGGGTTTACGGTAGGGATTGACCGATATTGATTTTTTTAGACCAATTACTGATCATCTGTGAACTTTCAGGCCCATAGCTTACCGATATTCTGTACATTTACCGTATTTTTTTATTAAGTGGTAAATGCACAAAATATACATGCCAGTCAGATTTTTTTTGACGTTTTTAAGAATATTTATATATGTGTGTGTGTGTGTGTATGTGTAGTGGGTATTGGATTCAGTGTAGTGGATGCAGTGTGTTTGTGTGTCTTAGTGCCCTCCCCCATTCCTCTTAATGTTTCTCTCCCTTCTCTTTTAGTGGTCCCACCCCCTACCCCAGTGCTCCTTTTCCCTCCCCTCCCCTGTACCTTATAGAGTTCTCCATTAATGTACTTCACCCCCCTTCTCTGTCCCATAGTGTTCCTTACCACCCCTCCTTACATAGTGTTCCTTTCCACCCCACCTCCCCCATTGTGTTGCTTACCACTCCCTCTCCCCCATGGTGTTCCTTACCATACCTACCCCCGTCCCATAGTCCCCCCACTGTCCCTTAGTGCCCCCTCTCCCCTCCTTGGTCCTGCTCCCCGGTAGGTCTCCTGGTAGCATGGCCGAGCGGAGCAGTGCGCACCGCGGTACAGGAGATTCCGGCTGGGTACAGGAAACATAAGTTCCTGTATACCGCGGTGTGCACTGCTCCGCTCGGCCACACTACACTGAGAGCCTGGCAGGAGGGAGTGCTGTGTGCCCACCTCTTGCCGGTCACTCCGATCCAGCGCCCCCTGGGCTGGTGCATCCTGCTTGTGCCACCTTATGGACGCGCCGGCCCACCCATTCATTATCAGTATTACTGGTCATTATCGGCCAATACCGATATTTAAATAAATAAATAATTGGCAAAACCGATAATCGGTCGATCCCTAGCTTATGGATTTTTTTGCTACATGCATACTTTTTTTTTTTTTTTATAGGCACTAAAATACTTTGGAAAAACTATAATGAGTCAGTAGACAGTACTGACTGGGCAAACCAAATATTCTTTTTTAAATGCACTAAAATACAAATTAATTTACTACTAGATATAACCTCAGCTGTAGGGTCTCAAAACAAAACCCAGCTGTTGGTCTGCACGTTTTTCAGGGAAACGCCATCTGCTTAATCACTAAAAGTGTAAATATTCAAAAATGCAAAGTGAATTTTGACATTTAGATGAAATATTCAAACAGACCCCCCAAAGCCCCCATCCCATTTGAAATGCACTTTATAATCCTGACATTTCACACATTAATGAATATGTGTGTCCCTCTGGCAAATGTATAACTGTGTTTGTATGAAGAACCTCATTAATGAGAGATGAACAGCTGTAGGGTGCAAATTCCAATCCTGCCATGGGAGGTTTATTAATACTATCAAGCTAAACTGTGGCATTTACACCAGTCAATGCATCTCACTCAGTAATCGATCACAGGATGAAGCCCTAAAGTCCTGCTCATGGTCACCAAGATTTTATATAAAAATAATATTAATATTGAGCATCATATAGGCTAAAACCCAACGATTAGGCTTTAAAAGTAGATTTCTAGGGGGGCGGAGCTTGACAGCCAAGCTGAGTGGTCGCACCTTAGCAGAGCTCCTGTCTAAACAGCCTGAAAACCAAGCAAATTCGCTGCAAAACCTGCAAATTCAATGCTTTCTACACCCCAGCCACTGGGGTCTAATATCGAGACAAAACATAATCAAGCCCGGGACCACAAAATGCGACCGATTCCAGGGGATGCACCTGAGGCCTACCTGCGGCCTACTCAGGAAGCATGGGGGAGACGGCCGATCCCTCAGCCGACTGCAGCCTATAATAAAGGAGGTCTTCCCGGAACACTCTCTCCCCCCCCCTGCCGGTGAGGGATATCCCGGCATCTAGAACATGGGGATCAGAACGGCGAAACAGAGCTCAGCCATCTTGCACCGCCGGACCGCCGATACACAGCATGGCAGAGACCACGTGGCTCCCAGCATCCAAGCCCAGCTTGCCTCCACTGTCGGAGCGGCTAGACCGCCTATTCAGCAATTTTTGGGCCAAAATCATCAGCCGCAGAGACGCCCAGGCACAAGTCCCACCGGCATCAGCCACAAAGGACATAACACAGCGGCCTGCAGCCCCGGTGCGGAACCCGAGAAAGATCGAGATAGCAGGGAGGGAGAGGCAGAAGAAATGCCGAAAGCCCCAGCGCCCAACTCTTAGACCACTGGTGAGTTGCCCAAAGCCTCAATGGAGACAATCTCCAGGGCTGCCCCCTCACCACCCATCTCACCCGCAAAAAGTCCTACCTGACAAAGCAAACCTCCACCACTACAGGCCGGATGCCTGGCACTTAGCCACATATATGCCTTTGTCGCTCCAGGCAACAAGGGCTCTCAGGAACTGCGCTTGGCGCCCAGAAGGGATCGGATGATCACAGGCTGGAGACTGGAGCCTGCCAGGCATATCTTGTTATAGCTGGACTTCCACACCATGTCCCTTAACACAAGAACTGCTCTCTGCATACTAGCTAAACGTAAAGTAAACGTCTTTATTCTATCAGTAATCCATCCCTTGCAGAGTTTTTGCCGTTGTCTCTCATATGTGTTTACCTTAACTGCTCACACACTATTTTACCTACTAGCCCTACCTGGCAACCCAAGCTTGTTTAAAACTAGAAGTGAAAATGTTGATTTATTTTTACATTTAAAAACGTGCAGCCAGTGCCTTAAGCAAAATGCTCCCATTATTACCAATGCACCGTTACACACTCACAATCTTAAGAGCAACTAGCTTTGTCACATGGTTATCTAGCCTAACATGTTATTTTATAAAATACTGATGTCTAATAGCCTGTTATCTTCGTGTTATACAAAAAATGTGCCGTCTACACTGCCACACTTTGTAAAGTTATGAAAATGCCTGTGGAGGCTGTTGTGGCCCTGCACGCTTGTTGTTAATCCTTGCACAAGAAAAATAAAGAATTTAAAAATAAAAAAAAAAGTTGATTTCTAAAAGTGAAAGTGTTTTCCTGTTCAAATATTCAAACCTACAAAAAAAACAAAACAAAACAAAAAAAAAACAACAACAACCCACAAACGTACCTGAAAGCCGATGTTTTGTAGTTCTCCATGAAGATCATCAAGAACACGCCTTCCGTCAAAAATAAACGCTGGTTTCAGCATCATTTTGTGAATACGTTGGAAATCCAATTCCTACATGAAAAAATAAATAAATTAAAAATTGGGGTTTTAAAGCAGATAAACTATTTAGCAAGTAACATTGACTCTGCATTGTATGTTTAAAGACCAGCAGGTGTTCTGAAAAGTTTCTAAAATACTACATTTTACATGCAATACTAAAAACATTTGGGTGGAATGCTTGAAATTTGAAAGGAACACTCCAAACACCGTAAGCATTAGATCCCCCCATATAAGGAGTCTATATATATTAGAACAGATTTACTTCTTACCTGGGGTTCTGCCAGGCACTATTTCCCACCTCCACTATAAAAGTCAGAGAGTCAGAATGCTCTAAGCTCTCAGCTGATCAGCTAACCCTGCACTGGGAGAGATCAAAGCACTGCTGGCTCCAAAACTACTGCAGCAAATGCTAATGGATAGGGAGCTTGGAGTGTCCCTTTACCAGATACACAAAACATTGTGACAATCAGAGTAACTCCACATTTATTAACAGAGGCAGAAGCCATTTGGTTTACCTTAAACATGTCCCACTCTGTGCAGATAACGATCGCATGAGCCCCTTCGCAAGCCTCATATAGGTCACTAGTAATGTGAACCAGTTCTGACACTAAAAATAAAGGGGAAATACATTAAGTGACATACTTTGATACAAGACTGACATTTTACACTTTAACTTATGGATGAAGACAGGACTGAGTGATGCCTTTGTTCAACAATAACCTTTCACCTGTTGCTGAACTACGACCCCCATAACTCCCTGCTTGTCTAAGATTGAACACTCAATCACTTAATATTCCAAATGTTTGCAAATACTTTCTGCTTCGATTAAACGGAGGATTTATTCCAGTTTTGACAATGTAACATTGCAACTCTTTTTAGAATCCCTAACCTTTTCGTGTAGTAAATTATGTTACACAATGGTGAACTGAAAAACAGATGCAAAATGTATGCCTAACCAGTAGAGTTGCAAGCCTTCTGTAACTCTGCATTATTCCAGGCTGGGCTATTTTAGCCAACATTTAACCAGTTTGGCTATCCGTTCATTGTGACATTCATTGCATTTTACACTGAGTACAAGGTTTAAACAGCTCCTCCACTAGTAATGAGATGTTTTACTTTGAACCTGGCTGCTCCAGATATTAACCAGGATTTAAGCGAAGAAATTCCTAATCAAGTAAAGAATTGGTTGTATAGGAGTTTTTAGATGTACAAACATTTTTTCTTTTAATTAAAAAAAAAAAAAGCTAGGATAAAAATGAAAAATTCATAATGAAAGATGATATCACTAGTTAGAATTTCAAAGTTACTAAAACCATGCAATAAATGACAGAATGAAGTGATATTTTTTAATGTGGGTACAGCTCCTGAATAATAACTTGCTTGCTATAACCTACCTCGTGTGTCGGCAGACACCCCAGGCTGGGACAGGTCCATAATAATCTGCTGCTTTGGAACCTTGGGGTCGTAGATGTGAAGTTTTGCGCCTTCATCCATCAGATATTTGCTAATGTAGATACTGGAGGACTCTCTGAGGAAAATAAAATGAATGGTGAACAACTATACAACCCAAATGGATTTATTATTAAACTGGGAATTGTATTTTTAGTTCAACAGCCAATTTGAACACCAAAATTTAAAATTTTGGCCCGAAATCTGCAAATCTCTTGTCATTCTAGTAACTCAAGTCATTCATTCTGAATAAAGCATTGGTAAAGTTTCAAAAGCAAATTCATGGTTATTCACGTAAGTTGAGAATGTATTACTGGGAATTTAAAAGTTAAGTTAAAATAGAAACGCTAAAAACAGAAATGGCTTGTAGAATTTCTCCAGTTCGGCCTAAATTTTGACATGCCTGTAATTTTCACTCTGAGATTGTACCTTTAGGATCTATTATTTGTGGATTTTAATTAATTTAAAAGCCAATATAAAATAACTGTGTAAAATGCTTTGCAAATAGTAATAACTAAGAGAGATGTGTTTTATAATTCAAGAGCCAGTGTGGTCACCATATGCAATCAGCAAGTGGTTGGAAAAGAAAAACAAGGATTCATTGACTGCCTGCAATTTATATTTCACAAAAGAATTGAAGTGAGACAGATATTTACCGTGTATCCCCAGTGTCTTTCTTAAATGCAAACCCGAGAACAGCGATTTTTTTGTCTGCTACAGTGTTAAAAAGGCAATCAATAATCCGGGAAGTAAATCTTCTTCTTTGATAATCATTCATATCAATAACCTAAAACAAACAAAAAGTTACATAAAATAAATATAAAACTCAAAGGAGGAACAAGGGCGAGAACGGCAGATCAAAACTATTTGCTCTAAATTATATGACCATTTTGAAACCTGAAGCACTTCACATTAAATCAGGTTCTCCTTAAACCCATTTTTGCAAGTATTTTAGAATTCCTTTACCACTCCCACTGGTGCACATTCCACGTATCTACTACCCTTTCAGAAAAACTGTTTATCAACTCAGTATGGATGTTCCTTCCTGCTATTTCAAATCACATTGTCTTTTTATAGTACGTCACGTTTTATAAATAAATATTTCTTGGAAGTGAAGCAGATTTATAGCCATTGCCAGCAAACACGAAACGTGTTTTATTGTTAAGCACACAAAGTGACCCTCCCAACAGATGTTTAAACGTCAGGTAGCATTTGTTTTACACTGTCCACATTATGACATTTGCTATAAGAGAACCTATAGATGTGCAGGTTAAACAGCAGGGGCGAGCGTAGCAGGAGAATTGACCCATACCTGTTGCCAGTATCTGGCCACCTCATGCAGGTTTAAAACTTCACACAAATAGACCAGGTTCAACACATCCTTCTGGAAGCAACTGCCACCGAATCCTGAAAGAAAATACATTTTATTTTAACGCGACAGTTAAAACATACAAGCCAAATTAAAATCTTATCTTATTAAACAAACAGAAATCAGTAAATGGAAAACTAATTTAACAAATCCCGCAGCACTAATTTGGGCAAAACATGAAAAGGTACAACAAATACTTCATGGGAGATGCCTAAATGATCTTGCTTTTTAAAAGTTAATATATGTAAGGAATGCTCTTCAAAGGTTTTAGTAATATTAAATAGAGTAAAAAATAAAATAAAAATCATATTGTAACATTAGCACACAATTAGACACACAGACACACGCACACAAGATTGCTGCCTTACCAACACTAGCTTTAAGAAATTTGTTTCCAATTCTCTGGTCCATTCCGATAGCTCGTGCAACCTCCTCCACATCAGCTCCTGTAGCTTCGCAAAGGGCACTGATGGAGTTAATACTGCTTATCCTCTGGGCAAGGAAGGCATTGGCTGCCTAGAAACAGCACAAGAGAACGTTAACAATCCCCAGCTTTAAATAGGTAATTAAGTCGAGCATTGTAAGTGAACGGTGAGTTCTGATTGGACCGCTCTCAGGGTTGGGACACATTATAATCAACATGAGAATGTCCAAAACAGACTGCATGGTTTTATAGAACAAAAAGTAATTTAATCTTCTAAATCATACACTATACATTGATTGCAACATCATCATTAGGGAGTTCAGAAAATTTTTAGAAACGTAGAAAACCTTTTACTATCCCATCCCAACTTAATGAAGTTAAAAGATTTCCTGTCTGTATTTGACATATTCCATTTTAGTTACAATTTGGAGATTTAATTCTCAACAGCATTGACTCTGTTCCTCCTCCAGGAGCAGATATCTCAGCCTAACCTAGTCCTGACATAACTTTCTATTGGAACGCAATGCAACAGTACACATCGTTTGTATTGAAAAAATTATGACTGAAAGCAGTTCTTGCTAGTCTATGCAAGTTGGTGGCGGTTTCAATTTACTTGAGTTGGTAGTTTTGTTTGTTTTTAAATTTTTGTTAGTAAGTCTAACTCTGTACACAGAGTTCTATACGTTTCCCACAAACCCCTGCTGCTCACTGCGCCAACACGGTACAGGCCGTGAGGACGCTTACAGTTGTATGCCTTCTGCTATTGGAAACAGGAGACAAGCTGAGTCATGAGGAAAGTTCTTTTCTTTTTTTTTTTTTATTGGCTTGTACAAATAAATTAATTGCATGATGCTTGTTTAGATTGAGGACCAGATTGATATAGGGGCTATTGGAGCTGAAGCTACAGGTATGTGTATTGATATCTGCTGCTGCCCTGAATTGCTGGGTGCTGCACGCACAGCTTGTGTGTGAGGAGGCACAGATATCTCCCTTGCCCTGCCTGTGCATCTCATAAAAATAAAGTGGCTTAGGCAATGTATATACTAATCTGTATCTGATCTGTGCCACAAATGTGAAACCACGAACATAGCAATAGCCAATTCCTTCTCCAAGGTCATTTTTCACAGAACCCCATGACCCATTGAATGGATTCTCCGTGACCCCTTATATCCCCCCCCAGCAAGTCTCTCTGTGGCTCAGCCCACTTGTGAAAAAAGATTTTACATGCTTCAATATTAAGATTAAAATGTGGGGATGGTTTTATTTAGCTGCAAAATCCAGCTGTAGATGTAGGTTGGGCACCTGAGACCATAAATAATAAAAAAAAAAATTATAATAAATATATATTTGAGTTACAGCTCCAGACACATGCAGCCTTTAATACAAAAATAATCAGATTCCTGCACAATCGGTGTCTAAGTTATGACTTGTAACATTGATTTGAGGTGAGGTACTGACCAGTTTAGACAGCTCCGATGACCACGTGTTGGTTGTTATGATCTTTTCTGAGGGGACCCATGTTTCATACACAGCACAGAGAGCCCTGACTGCTTTTTGACCCTCAGGAGTCTCATCTCCTCCTATTAACACCCGGTCAGGATTTTTCAGATCCCGGATAGCAGTTCCCTCTGCTAAGAATTCTGGGTTAGACAGCACCTATTGGGAAAAAAAAAAGTATAACTTAACAGTAATGAAAAGTATGGGGATTTAGAACGTGTTTTTTTTTGTCAGTCTTTCTTTTGAGATGATAAATAAGAGAAAAATAGTAAGTCACAGTAAGACAGCTTGGCAACAAGATACATACAAGGTTAGACATGTGTCACTCCAAACATGAAAGACATCTCATTTTTGTTTTAATATATATCACAACAAGCTAAGTAACAGGAGATGGATATGCGTTTAGATTGGTTACAGGTCATAGTCTTACACAAGGTTGGACTGTCTAGACTAATGTAATTAAAATTATTAGGTAAAAGCAAGCTTAGCATATACGTAGAGTAGATCAGTGGGGAGAGTTCAGCCAGGGTTCCCAATCCTTGATTCTCTGGTAGGCCGCAGAGGCTTCTCGGTAATAGACTGCTTGTTTCAGCAGTAAAAGCCTGCGAATGTCGGCTGTGCTTAGTGCTGGGCGTCCCCTGCACTGTCAGTGTGAGCAGGTATACAGCTGCTTTAAGTCGATAAATTTCAAGAGTTTGCAATAGTTGTCACGGAGCTCTCTCCATGTCCAGCCTGGCAGTCAGGCTCCGCCACCCTCCCCTCCCCCCTGGTTGTTTTATTTTTTTGTTTTATTAAAGAATCCTCAAGTTTTTTTTGTAAGTTTATGAAAAAAAAAAAACGCAAAGAAAATGTATCTGTAACTCACAACTGTACAGCTTTAAAATCATTTTTTGTTAAAGCACAAGTCTTACATTAAAAGAATAACCTAAAATTATGCAGAGTTTTGAAAAAACAAAAACATTTACAGTAAGGTGGAAACAATGTTCGATAAATACTCTAGAATTTTATACCAGTTGTCCTTCAAACATTTAATAATAAACATATTAAGTCTTCATTCATTCATCAAACTGATACTTCTATGTCTGTAATATATATCTGGTGATATTGATATAAATTATGTTTGATTGTTACCTGGAGGTTGAGATTAGGTTTGGTGTTTGCATCAAATATGCGGCGAATACTTTCAGCTGCCCGCACCGGCACGGTGCTCTTCTCCGTCACAATTTTGTAACCGTTTGAATTTTGGACAATCCGCCTTGCGCATGCTTCAATGTACTTCAAGTCTGCAGCTCGTCCTTTCCCCATTCCATAGGTCTTTGTGGGTGTGTTAACCTACATATAATGTAATTAAATAATAGAATAAACACTGCTATAAATATTGGGGATTAGAGAGGGTAGAAATAATAACATTATATAGCTGGTAACTAACATACTTACAGAAATAAACACCAAATCAGCATCTTGGATTGCTCCGTCAATATCAGTAGAGTAGAACAGATTCTTCCCCCGACAGGATTCTACTACTTCCTTTAACCCTGGCTATGTACAAAGATGAAACAAAAGTAAGCATACATTGTATGAGATATACAGATATAGCATAGAAGTCTTCAAGGGACACTCTGGGTACCAATAAAATGTTTTAATAGTCTTTTTTTGTTTTTAAATAAAATTTGCCCTTTAAAAAAAATTATTTCACAATAAAATGAACTGCATATAACTAACACACGTAAACAAAGCTATATGTTCGAGTCAATTATCAAAGGGACAGAATCATTACAAAAGGACTTTGACACAACTTTTTTTATTATATTTTATTTATTTTTTAACATGTGTCAGGCGGAAGTCGTTCTGATTGTAAATGATTGTTTTGTCCTCTGCCTTATTTATGATATGTGAGGTTATGCACACATTCTGTTCTTTTTATGTTTGGCTAGAAGTTGCTTACACAATTTACATTTGATTGATGACAATTGCATATTCAAAATTAAATAGCAGCCTTCCAAACATGTCCCCCTTCACACATTTGCCTTAATGAGGAGTTAGGAATTTGGTGTGGAAATCAACGGTTGTGTTGGCAAGGAAGGTATTTTACACAAGTCTAAATCTAAATTCAAGTCGCGAAAAACAAAAAACAAAATCACAATTTGCATTCCTATAGCTGTAAAACCTAAAATCGTCCTGTGTCTGTACAGCTGCAACGACACTCAACTGCCACCTCATCACAGGAAATGCAATCAAATCGCTTACTGGCCAGCCACGCTAATCACACCAGAAACACATTCTAACATGTCGTTTCACTTGGATTTTAATGCAATTTTTACAGAAAAGATAAAAAAAAAAAAGAAAAACCACAGCAAAAACCAAGTGAAAGTGCACATGATTAAAAATAGCTCATTATGTGGTTCATGTTTGCATGCCAAGGAAGAATCATCAAGGATTGCGAAAGCAGATTTTCTAATAAAGTTACATTATTAATTTAAATGTAATATATACAAGTGGAGTAAAATGGTAGCACTTTCAACATACAAGTAGGAGACTATTCGCAAAAACAGATTTCAAATGTTAGGTTGCAATAGTTAAAATGAGGATATTGTGGCGATGGAGAATTTTACAAAATTAGCAATACAGCTGGCCTTTGAGTTCACTGCAAATCTGTGTTAAGTGAAAAGAGCACCATAATTGGCATTTTACATACATGCACAGCATAGAAGAATATATAAAACAGTTGCAAAACAGTTTAAAGTTCAGCATCCGAACCCCAATCTGATTCTTGTAATTTGAGTCAGGTTTTACCTGAGGGCGCAGTTCAGGAGCAAGGCTTTAACAGGAGAACGTCATAGCCAATGTCCCTTGAGTGTGTTTGACACAGTACATTGTGACTCGGTTTAAAGATTTATTACAATATGCTGCAGGATACTCGGTATTTCCAGAACAATATACAATTGTTATACATATGTGGGGATTCAAGTAGTCAGCTTGCAGATTTAGGTTTTGAATAATATTCTTGGAAGAGGAATTAAAGAGACGCAACAGTCAGAAAGTGACACCCTCCTTTTTAATGCATTATATAGAAAGATAATGCATTTTATATAATAAAGTGACAACATTTTATTATTTGTTTTAATTAACAGACATAACGTATTAATCAAAAATGCCCTCACACAGCCAACTGCTATAGAAAGAATCCCCCTTCACTGCCCGAAAAAAGGCTCCACAAAACGTGAACCTCACAAAATGTTATTCCTCCCACCCCCCTTTATGTAATCCAACCCTCACGTTTCCACTCAGATAGAATGTGTGTAACTGCTCTATATGCCAATAACAGCCCCTTTGTCGTTTTAATGAGGTGCTTGCAATATTTCAGATATGCCTCTAGGCTCCAGGGGTGGACTACAACTCCCACTGCACCAAGCCAGTACTCCAAGACTTTGTTACATTATGAGACAGACAGTAGTTAGAGATGGCAGCTAATGTGAGTCATCTCATGATTACCTCATATATAGGAAGCGTGTCTGAATTCCATGCATTAATCCTAGCTTCATTAACATCAACCACGGTCACTTTAATATCAGGGCACATCTGCGCGATGACACTGCATGTCGGACCCCCAACATAGCCTGCACCAATGCAGCAAATCTTCTTTATCTGAAACATGGTGAAACTGCAAGACAAGAAAAGGATAGCTTTAGACAGCAATCAATATTTTACGGCCTGCTCACCTCTGGTATTCCTATGTAATCCTAGATGTTACATGTAGAAGAAAGAGCAGACTTTATGTCAGTGGATCCCAATCTCATGGTGCTGACCCAAATGAGGGATGCTAAGATCAGGGCTGTCCTAACTGGCTCGGTCGTATCAGATTGATCAGTATTGCTTCAGACATGAGGAAGAGAGGAAAACTCTCGAAAGCTTGTCTTTGAAATATTATGTTAGTCCACCGCTCAGGGGTGGGGGACAGGGGGGAGTACTTTAGGCCCCACCCTTTATAAGTATTTGAGGCCCCCACCCACTGCTCAGGGGTGGGGGAGGACAATAGGTCCCCGTCCCCCCTATAATTTTACTTTAGAGCCCCCACTCACCGCTCAGGGGTGGGGGCAATAGGGAGCGGGGACCCATTTTTTAAACAGTGCTCACTGTTTAATAGACATGCCGCTACTCGCGGTATAGCGAGTAGGGGCATAATTTACTAATACTAAGTAATCTTTACTTAGTATTATTAAATTTGTCTGAAAGACCAATTTAGGTCTTTCAGCCTTTTGGTAGATAACTCCCTAATTCCGTTGAAATTAGGGAGTTATCTACTAAGCAGCTGCAAGAGAAGTCCCGAAGTGCCGAATTTCGAAAGTCCCGAACTGAAAATTTTCCCCATGCACATGCCTAGTATAAAGGGTACCCATTATTGATTTTCTAGCAATATTGGTATTGGAGTAATTCTGCTCTTTGTATACTCAGCTCTTTATTTACAATTACTGCTGGATGAGTGGTTTAATTGCTTCGGAGTGATATGCAGATAATTCCCTTGTGTCTCCATCTACCCGTTGATAGTACCTGCTACCTCTGTTGGGAGTGGATGTCTGGGATTCTGTTCTTCTAACTGTTAATTATTAGGGGTTTCCCCCTTTATATGAGTATAACCTGGTGACCTTTTTCATGGGCATGGGTCTGTAGCTTCAGCTCCATCAGCCCCTATGTTAATCTGGCCCTGCTCCCTGGCAGGACGACCTGCCTGACCTGTTCAACTGGCTGACAGTTTCTGTCCTTAACCCCTTAAGGACACATGACATGTCATGATTCCCTTTTATTCCAGAAGTTTGGTCCTTAAAGGGTTAAATCTGACCAGAGTTGATTACTTGATGTACTGTATTTGGTAAGAGTCTTATTGTATTCATTATCCTTATACATTTACCTGACCTGCTGAACTGGCTGCCAAGTATCTGTTCCTAAATCTGACCATAGTTTTATTTCCTGTATTTGGTCATTCTTGTTTTATTCATTATCCCTATACATTTATATTGAAGAATTGGAGTATACTAGAAGAACTTGCCCATATTGAAGGAACATCATGGTAGCCACTACATGTTTACCAAGGGCCATTAGGACAAAATAAATTCTGTGTTTAGGAATGTGGCCAAAAAAACCCCAAAAAACTGGGAAACTGCTTTATTCCTATCTTTTTTCCCCCTTTCCATTTGCGTGTTGTGCAACGCTCAGAAAACAAAAATGTCAGTACTGAACAAAATTAACAAGGTTAGGAAAAGCTGCAAAAAAACTAAAGTTGGAACATTTTCCTGCTTTGACTTAAAACCTAAAATTTTCTTGTCAATTTGAAACAATTTCAGGATTAGCAAAAAACCCTGTGTATTGTAATTTACCTACTGTTAAAAAGCAAAATGATATGCAGTGTTTCCCACAAGAGTCTGGGATACTATTAACTGAGCATGTTACCTGCAACTCGGGGTGAAGGACGGTCAAGTGACGGAGGTTTCTTCTAGGAGTCTGTAAAAGAGGGATCATATTAAATAATGAGAGAATCACACATGTATACTGTAGTTCTAACAGGAAATGTTAAACTCGTAACAAAGTATTGAAAATTTACAGAATAGGGCATGTAATAATTAAACAGCAAGAAATGTCTCGCCATGTGGAAGGTGCAGTATGTTTTATTTCCTGAAGCACTCTGACATTCATGTTTGTAGAACTGCATCTAGTATTCCCAGATGAAAGGCAGTAAAACCAGATTATGGTGGGTGTAGATAAGACCACTCTAGTATCTATTTTAGCATGTCTATCATATGATTTAAAGTTAACCTGTCATGGTAAGTTTAACTGCCAACATCCCAGCAATCAATGCTAATTTCACTTCTATTGGACAAGCAACGTATACGGATTATTGATCTGTGAGTGATTACACAACTTCTCACCTCATGCCCAACGCACCATCATCATTGGGGATCTGGGGGCATTACACTGCTCAAAGTGCTTTCTATACCAAGATCTACGAGTGCCATCAGATGCCAGGATCTCATGGTACAAAGATGGTCTACAGCAGCCCCCAATTCCAAGGTAGGGGTAAATGCCAAATTTATTTTAGCAAATTTTGCCTAATTTTAAAAAAAATGCTCTTTAATGAGTAGTAAAGAGCAAGTAAGAAAAGTTTAATGAATAAAACATGTTGAATGCAAGACCACAGTTTAATCGTGCTAACAGGGCTGTGAGCAGGCAAAAAAAATAAATAAAAAAAATAAAAAGGATATCTACAACTGGCCTGCACACAAGAAATCGTATGTTCCAAAATAATTTACCCATGGTGCATTGGGTCTCCAGGTAATAAAAGGAGTCATTCATTTGACTACTTGTATGAAGAAGAGAAGACTAGTCTTGGTTCTTTAACAGATGCATTTTGTTAATTGGAATTCCTCAATCTGACACAATTAGTAAAATGGTATATTGTTTAGGGAGGAGATTAGACCAACAAATTCCATAAAGCTGTAAATCCCACATATAATTCTACTAAAAGTGAGGATTTCAAACAGGCTTTAAACCTTTACACTCTGACTTGATTACAATGCTAAAGATGTGTCGCTTTATTCAGCTGGAAGGCAGTAATATTATGAATATTGAATCAATTTATAGGCGTTAGTCACTAAACTGGGATTTATGGCGAGCTGACAAGAACTAGCAAATCTTACTACAATATCACAAAGTTAGAAAATCCTTCCGTTATTTGGTCTACAATTGTTTGGCAGTATAGCTCTGTGTTACCTACTTTCACATAATATTAATAATAAAGTATAACCAGGAAAAGTACATTCAGATTACTCTGGTTTGCAAGTACGTCCTGGGAATGTAACATAGCGGAGACTTATAACCCTGGAATCCCCATAATGCTCAGCACCCTGCTGTAAAACGTAGTTCATAAACTTTGGGTACTGCTGTACAGCAGAGGATGTGGGACATTGATTGAATATGTTTGATTGTGTGTGTTTAGAACAATTCTAGTCTAGACAATGGTAACACAGGGGGACAATTCCAGAAAGAAGTGCTCTTCTTCAGTGTCTTAGGTTTAATGCATCTACTGGAATAAAAGTTAACACAATACTTGATTATGATGAAGACACAATTCTCAAAAAAATATCTTCACCTTAAACACATATCATGAAATTGTGGCAGCTATTCCTAAATATATATTTTTTCTCACCTCTAAAGAGAAGCTGTAGCAGACACTACCTCACTCACTATTCAGAATATGCTCCTGTATCTAGTGCCAGGTCAGCTACAATGCTAAAACCCAGTGAATTCCTGTAAACCCACACAGTGACACAGTGTTACAGCAGTGATGTACAAGAAATAGTGTGAAACCACCCCCACCCTTAAATCTGCATCTCCATCCCCCATCACTCAGGACTAAGTCCCATCAGGCAATACATCGCCCTGACTGCTCTTCCAAACTGCAGCTCATAGGATATTATGTACCATATGTATCAATGCAATGTCCAGTATGGAATCAATTAGAATGGGGGGTGGAGATACTAGTTACAACATGAAACGTTCTAATGAGAAACACATGTATGGGAAAGTGAACAGTCCCCACATTACTTAGAAACTGATACTTTATGGCTGTGCAGGGGAGCAGTTTAAAGTGGCACAGCCCAGCCCCCCCACCTTCAGTATGTGATAGGGTTGTAGAGCAGGAAAAGTGCTGCCTTGAAGCTTCTAACGTACAGATGGTCCAATCAACTAATTATCTAGGGACAATCTAGCACTTAAATTATAATTAAGGGCTGGCACTTTTTATGTGCTGTTCATCAACAAGGCTCAATGCTCTATGTCCGGGAAACAGGGGGATATGTTAACCCTAAAAGCCACTGATTGTGAAGAACGCACAGTAGCCATTGACCTAAGGACAGTAAAGGGTTCATCATTGACCAGGTAATTAGCACAAACAGTAAAGTGTTAAATCAGTGACCAGGTTAGGGGCACATAAAGTAAGGGGTAATGAGGTAAGTAGCACAGACAGCAAGGGGTAATGAGGTAAGTAGCACAGACAGCAAGGGGTAATGAGGTAAGTAGCACAGACAGCAAGGGGTAATGAGGTAAGTAGCACAGACAGCAAGGGGTAATGAGGTAAGTAGCACAGACAGCAAGGGGTAATGAGGTAAGTAGCACAGACAGCAAGGGGTAATGAGGTAAGTAGCACAGACAGCAAGGGGTAATGAGGTAAGTAGGACAGACAGCATGGGGTAATGAGGTAAGTAGCACAGAGAGCAAGGGGTTAATCATGGACCTGATTAGCAGCACTGGCAGTAAAGGGTTAATAAGTGACCAGGTAGGTTATTCTATAGACAGTGGTAGGTCTCCCCCAGTCCGCACTGAATGCTGTATGGGCAGTAGAAGGACTCACCTGGTGGATGTGAGCGGTAGGTGTCTGTGCCCCAGAATGAGCCGGCCCAGCACTGAGCTCCAGAGCCGCTAGCACAGCTTGATCGGCCGGCCCTGGGAGGGGACACTGGGCATTGGCTGTGCCGGCATGTGGGTGTGGGGAAAGGAGGTCCCGGGGATGGAGCGCTGGATGAATGGGCCGTGACGTGTAACTCAGCCGGGGCCAGGAAGTGCACTGCCAGTGCGCCATGTGATCAGACTGACGCAAAGAGGAGGGGGTCTGCCCTCACTGTGATAGAGATATAATGGGCATGGCTGGGGGGCACAGCACTGTGATAGAGATATAATGGGCATGGCTGGGGGGCACAGCACTGTTATAGAGATATAATGGGCATGGCTGGGGGCACAGCACTGTTATAGAGATATAATGGGCACAGCACTGTTATAGAGATAATGGGCATGGCTGGGGGCACAGCACTGTTATAGAGATATAATGGGCACAGCACTGTTATAGAGATATAATGGGCACAGCACTGTTATAGAGATATAATGGGCATGGCTGGGGCACAGCACTGTTATAGAGATATAATGGGCATGGCTGGGGGCACAGCACTGTTATAGAGATATAATGGGCACAGCACTGCTATAGAGATATAATGGGCACAGCACTGTTATAGAGATATAATGGGCATGGCTGGGGCACAGCACTGTTATAGAGATATAATGGGCATGGCTGGGGGGCACAGCACTGCTATAGAGATATAATGGGCACAGCACTGCTATAGAGATATAATGGGCACAGCACTGTTATAGAGATATAATGGGCATGGCTGGGGGCACAGCACTGTTATAGAGATATAATGGGCATGGCTGGGGGCACAGCACTGTTATAGAGATATAATGGGCACAGCACTGTTATAGAGATAAAATGGGCATGGCTGGGGGCACAGCACTGTTATAGAGATATAATGGGCATGGCTGGGGGGCACAGCACTGTTATCGAGATATAATGGGTATGGCTGGGGCACAGCACTGTTATATAGAGATATAATGGGCATGGCTGGGGGCACAACGCACAAGTATAAGGAATATAATGGGCACAGCACTGTTATAGAGATAATGGGCATGGCTGGGGCACAGCACTGTTATAGAGATATAATGGGCTAGCACTGTTATAGAGATATAATGTGGGCATGGCTGGGGGCACAGCACTGTTATAGAATATAATGGGCATGGCTAGGGCACAGCACTGTTATATAGAGATATAATGGGCACAGCACTGTTATAGAGATATAATGGAACGGCTAGGGGCACAGAACTGTTATAGAGATATAATGGGCATGGCTGGGGGAACAGCACTGTTATAGAGCTATAATGGGCACAGCACTGTTATAGAGATATAATGGGCATGGTTGGGGGCACAGCACTGTTATAGAGATATAATGGGCATGGCTGGTGGCACAGCACTGTTATAGAGATATAATGGGCATGGCTGGGGGGGCACAGCACTGTTATAGAGATATAATGGGCAAGGGGGCACAGCACTGTTATAGAGATAATGGGCACAGCACTGTTATAGATATATAATGGGCACAGCACTGTTATAGAGATATGATGGGCATGGCTGGGGCACAGCACTGTTATAGAGATATGATGGGCATGGCTGGGGCACAGCACTCTTATAGAGATATAATGGGCATGGCTGGGGGGCCTGGCACTGTTATAGAGATATAATGGGCAAGGGGGGCACAGCACTGTTATAGAGAAAATGGGCATGGCTGGGGGAACAGCACTGTTATAGAGCTATAATGGGCACTGCACTGTTATAGAGATATAATGGGCATGGCTGGGGGCACAGCACTGTTATAGAGATATAATGGGCATGGCTGGGGGCACAGCACTGTTATAGAGATATAATGGGCATGACTGGGGGCACAGCACTGTTATAGAGATATAATGGGCATGGCTGGGGGCACAGCACTGTTATATAGAGATATAATGGGCATGGCAGAGGGCACAGCACTGTTATAGAGATATAATGGGCATGGCTGGGGCACAGCACTGTTATAGAGATATAATGGGCATGGCTGGGGGCGCAGCACTGTTATAGAGATATAATGGGCATGGCTGGGGGGCACAGCACTGTTATCGAGATATAATGGGCATGGCTGGGAGGCACAGCACTGTTATAGAGATATAATGGGCATGGCTGGAGGGCACAGCACTTTTATCAAGATATATAATGGGCATGGCTGGGGGCGCAGCACTGTTATAGAGATATAATGGGCATGGCTGGGGTCGCAGCACTGTTATAGAGATATAATGGGCATGGCTGGAGGGCACAGCACTGTTATAGAGATATAATGGGCATGGCTGGAGGGCACAGCACTGTTATCGAGATATAATGGGCATGGCTAGGGGCACAGCACTGTTATAGAGATATAATGGGCACAGCACTGTTATAGAGATATAATGGGCATGGCTGGGGGCACAGCACTGTTATAGAGATATAATGGGCACAGCACTGTTATAGAGATAATGGGCATGGCTGGGGGCACAGCACTGTTATAGAGATATAATGGGCACAGCACTGTTATAGAGATATAATGGGCACAGCACTGTTATAGAGATATAATGGGCATGGCTGGGGGCACAGCACTGTTATAGAGATATAATGGGCATGGCTGGGGGGCACAGCACTGTTATAGAGATATAATGGGCATGGCTGGGGGCACAGCACTGTATAGAGATATAATGGGCATGGCTGGGGGCACAGCACTGTTATAGAGATATAATGGGCATGGCTGGGGGCACAGCACTGTTATAGAGATATAATGGGCATGGCTGGGGGGCACAGCACTGGGGGCACAGCACTGTTATAGAGATATAATGGGCATGGCTGGGGCACAGCACTGTTATAGAGATATAATGGGCATGGCTGGGGGAACAGCACTGTTATAGAGCTATAATGGGCACAGCACTGTTATAGAGATATAATGGGCATGGTTGGGGGCACAGCACTGTTATAGAGATATAATGGGCATGGCTGGTGGCACAGCACTGTTATAGAGATATAATGGGCATGGCTGGGGGGGCACAGCACTGTTATAGAGATATAATGGGCATGGCTGGGGGGGCACAGCACTGTTATAGAGATATAATGGGCATGGCTGGGGGACACAGCACTGTTATAGAGATATAATGGGCATGGCTGGGGTCACAGCACTGTTATAGAGATATAATGGGCACAGTACTGTTATAGCGATATAATGGGTATAGCTGGGGGGCACAGCACTGTTATAGAGATATAATGGGCATGAGAAACAAGTGTATAGTGTGTGTAATATATATATATATATTACCAAAATGAAGTAGGGGACTACCCGATTCACCCAAAAATCTGGGATGATTGAATCAGAAACAATCACCCTTATTCTGCTCTTGTATTTGATTACAAAACATCTGGTGAAAGTGCTGTACATCCTCCTGTGATATACTGTAAGTGCCTTTTACCAAGACCTGCTGACTTTGCTTCAAGTAGGTGTCATGATCCTTTGCCAAGGAAGCCTGTGGGCATCGATGATTGCCCACCCGCCCTAAAATTGCATGAGAATTGTAGTCCAAATACATTGGCAGGCAGTTTGATAACTCAGCTGAAATGGTTATGTTGCCTAGAAGGCCTTGGCGTTGCCACCTGTTTTAATGTGAAACCATTTATAAAGAGTTTCTTATAAACCAAAACTCTTGTTGACACACATGGAACCCCCACTCTATCTTGGTTGCATTGATAATGCAGAATGAACACATAGTGTCAGATTTTATAGGTGTACATAGAGATTGTTTAATCAGTGGCTTCAACATTTAGTTTAGATATAATCGTGTTGAAGGTTTTAAGTGTTGCTTCGAATATCTGATTTATGCATATGATTAACAAACGTTTCTATTATACATTATAGATATTTAAATACGTCAGGAATCTTTAGTTTATTTTTAGCTGCCCTAGAAAAAATTAATCATGATGAATCAGATAGTTATTGCACATAACATGTGCTTCAACTTGGATCAAGCAGGAATAACATTAAAGGATCACTAACGTTAAAAATATATTCACCCACTCCCCTCCCCACTTTGTAAATGACAAAACAACCACCTTAAAAATGTACCTAGTGCCAGGCCATTCTTCTCTGAGCGATCATTCTGCCTCTGGTGAATTCATCATCCTTGCAACGTTTGTCCAATCCAATAAACTCCAGTCTTGAGTGGTAGGACACCAGGGCTCAGTATTTTGCAGCTGGTTACAATTTTTTAAACTTCACAGCATTAAGTGAGGATCAAGTGTCTAGGGATTTTAAAGAAAGCAGCAACCATTCGTTTTGTTTGAACTGGTACGGAACAGGGATAAACCACATTACATTGGCTTTCTATTTATGAATATTGGCTCCTTGGTCAAAATCTACAGGGGCTGTGATTCTATAATTTATTTGGCAATTGGATAGTGGTTGCCATTTTTAAATACATCACTTTAAGATCAAAAAAACTTTTGTAGAGGTAGAATTTTTTTCGTATTTCAAATTTACGTTACATATATTTTTGTATTTTTACCAGTTAATTTTTGGAATTCCTCCCCCCACCCCCCAATTAATAAAGTTTAAGTATTTTATACCTTGTGACCACCAAGAGATTTTTGACATTTGTCACCACTGCTCTATAAACTCTTGGCGTAACCCTGGAAAGTTATTCATTAAACTTACAGTTCCAGCCACAATTCTTGGATAATAGTTTAATTGGTTATAAGGTTCATTTTAACCAACTACTAAAAGCATTTATATGGAAATTTGGCTATTATCCATAAATAGGCATATTTCATTTGCTGAAAATTGGGACTGCTTTAAAACAAGTTGAATGATGAGATTTTTGCAATTGAATGTATCAGAAATTGAACAAGAGAGAACTGTACTTGCTCCTTTTCCCAATGTGCAGTGGAAGAAAGAAGATTGAAAATATGCAGGGATCCTTGAACTCACTTATCCAATGAAGGCCAATCCCTTCCCCAATCCCACTGAGGCAAGGTTTTAACAGTGCAGGGGATGTGGCTTTTTGTTCACACCACACATGGGCTAGAAGATGTATTTAATGAATTGCCCCCAAGACTCCTATAGCCAGTGGGAGGTGTAAATGTTCATTTAATCCCATGTTAACACCACATGGCATAAGGAAAATAAAAATGTAAGAAGTCAGTCCTGGCCGTCTCCCAGTTATTAGCCTATTTAGGTGCTCTTATTTTAGTTTTCTTGTACATAGAATTTTAACACTGTATCTGCTTTTTGGCAAAATTATTGAATGTATACCGATGTATTGAAGTCATATAAAAAGTATGGGTCAATTAAAACCCAGAATATTCTTTAATATCTAAACTTTGCAGGATGTTCACAAATTCTAGGACGACAAAATATATAGTATTTATACCAACATAAAATGCAAGAATTGGAAAAAAATTTCATCTTGAAAGGTAAAAACATTTGTAAAGAATATAATAAAATTAAAAACATGAGAAGGGGAGGGGGGACTGGTTTGGTAGCTATACGAGAACACTACTAGAGTACTAAAATAAAGTACCAAATTGTAGAGACTAAAAGCCTATCTGATCTGGACAAGTTCTCCAACCAAGATGCAGTCGCAGCTGGGCTGCTAAAGCCTAAATTCTGCTATTCTGATTTCTCGAAAATATACAAAAAACCAAAGACCCAAGTTGGAGAACCCAAGTTTAGTGATTAAAGGATCACTATAGTGTCAGGAAAACAAACCAGTTTTCCTGACACTATAGTGCCCTAAGGGCCCCCCCTCCCTTGGCGCTGAAAGGGTTAAAACCCCTTCAGTTACCTTAATCCAGCGCCGGGCTCCCTCGGCGCTGGTGACCTCTCCTCCCCCGCCGACGTCAGCTCCCAAGTGGAGCGGAATGCGCAGCAGGCAATTGCCGCGCGCGCATTCAAACACTCCATAGGAAACCATTTCTCAAGGCTTTCCTATGGACGCTCTGCATGCTGGATGCGAAAATCGCTCCAGCGTCACAGAAGCGCCTCTAACAGCTGTCAGGAAGACAACCACTAGAGGTTGGATTAACCCTGCTATGTAAACATAGCAGTTTCTCTCTGAAGGGTTAAAACCGGAGGGACCTGGCACCCAGACCACTTCATTGAGCTGAAGTGGTCTGGGTGACTATAGTGTCCCTTTAACTGACCAGAATATAATACAACACAATACATTCTTTGCTATAAGACCTTATACTGACTGTGACCTACATTTTTATCAAACTTCCTATTCAAACCATGCTGACATACTTAAACTTTCCTAACCTTGCTATGATACTGACTGATAACCCATTTTCCACCTGACCGCATATAAAATGTAGCAGCAAAAAGAAAACTTCAGTTTGAAAATGTATTGATTTGTTTAAGGTCTGTTGCAGTTTCCTATTAAGCTTCTTTTTCTATATTTATTATTTACTCAGGCTGGGCATATTAAGTCATCTGTCTAAGTTTTTTTTGTGGTTTTGTTTTTTATATACCGTTATAATAAGCACACTTTTTTTTAAATAAGTGAACAAAACCAAATTCAGGTGGAGTTAAGAAAAAAAAAAAGAAGTCAGCTGTCTGCCTGGTAATTAGCTTTTTGTCAAATAAATGACTCGTATATAGTTGCTCTGTCAGGTCTCCTGCCCCCGCGCCCTTCACAGTGACCTTGGTTACCCCATCACAGAGCGCGGCATCATCTGGTCCCTGTCTCCAGCATGGCAGTGCGTCTGACGCTGCACGCTCCAGAGCAGCATCCTTATATGTGTGCTACACCCGGTCATGTGACCCGGCACACATTGATGACCTCAGAGACCACGAGGGAGGGAAGAAACCCCTCCCACGTGTTGTGGTTAACACTAATTGGAGATTAGCCAATCAGAAACAGCCTGTGTGTATATAAGCTAACCCGTCCCTTGCTTCAGTGCCCTGTGGTGGTCTTTGGTTTACCATTGAGTGTTGCACTTGTTATTTGGCTTTGACTCTCATTATTACATCTCTCGGTTTCCCTTGACCTCAGTTTGTGATTTGACTATCCCTTCTTGCATAACCCGACCGTTCTAAGGATCGATATTGCAATTCTCTCTCCTCTGTCCTGTCTGCGTGTTAGGGTTCCCTAGTGAACATTACATGCTCACTTATATTTAAAGGTAATAACCAAGCTCAATAGCTACTTTTGTTTCATTCATATGCTATAGCACAGCCTTTTCCCCATTCATGAGCATCTTATTGACCCATGCAACTTCTAAGTGACTTGCACAACTCTTCCCATAGCCTCCTATATGCAGCACTACTACACAGTAAGTACTTCTTGGTCTTGGGAGACCTTATGCTTTTTCAATAAGCAATGAATATTCCCTTAATTTTTTTTTTGCATGAAATGATTGATGGCCACAATGCATTAAAAGCGTATTAAATCCCACATCAGAGTGTAAAGCTTTCCATCAATTGCTCAAATCTCATAGTAACCTGTAGTCAAAGGGAACAAAACAAAAATTGCAGTTTAAGTCAATTCTGGAGTAATAAAAGTAACACACAGTACCAGTGTATAATGACTGTTTGTTTATTAAGTCAATACAAAGTGCATAGTAGAAGCCCTTTACCCTTAATTCTTCTTATTGTCAATGGCACAAATCACAGGAGTCTGGCTTGACCCAATATTCAAACTATCCATAATGCAAATGAGAATCTATTAATTACTTAGCATTGCGTTAACTACACACTACCAGGAATTGCTAGAATGAATCTTCATCCAGCACATCTCCTTCCAATTTTGACAACTTGTTTTCTTCTTAGCCATTGATTGAGTACTGCAATAACATTAAACCCACTAAAATGAGATTGTATTTGTAAACTTAAGACGTAGGATTGTTAAAATACAGCTTTTAAAATGAACAAAGATATTGGCATGCTTGATATTGTATCGTCTTGTTACTTGCATTTAGAATTCTTGTTTTGCTAAAACAAATCCATTTACATTCTATAGTCTATCTTGCGGTTTGTAACAAAAGTAAAAACCTAAAGTAAAACTAAAAATAAATCAACTGCCTCATTAGAAAGTGATTGATCTCTCTATAGAAGCTAAATAAAGCAAAATGGGTTTATTTAAAGAAGACTGGCCGTAATTAATCATAGTTTCATAACACTGGTTCTCAAAGACCCCCCCCCATTGATGCAAGTCATCTTCCATGAAGACAGTTCATTCTGCTTGTGCCAATGATGGAGTCCGTCATTGGAACATGTGAGAAAATCTTGCTAGTTTTGGCAGTATTACAAGTTTGGGGTTAGAGCGATGGCCGTAGCAGGCCTCACTCTGTACCAGAGAATTTCCTGGGAGAATCTATTGGGTATGTGCATCTTACTAAGTCCTAAAGAAGACATAAGTGCAATTGTAGGTTCCCAGATGTACGACCAATTAAACAAAACAAACAAAAAAAAAAGCATGCTATTCATATTTAGAATTTATTTTTGCTTAATTCCACTCATTATCACCATGAGGATTTGTTGTGTGTATTCTATTCTAAAAAGAACATGGTAGCTTTAAATAATTAGATTTAAGAATGGATATATTTCTGTCTGACCAGGGTACACCATCCAACATGATGGGAGAAGTGATTAAATGCTCCTCTTTATGCTGTACTAGTTGAAAACTAAGAGCACCTTTTTATTTATGGGAATGTGCATGTCTGTTACAGACTTTACCCACCATCTCTGAAATCTACCTCGATCCATGCATGACTGAAGGTTAGTTTAAAATTCCTATGTCTAGAGGTTTGATATAGCTATAAATTTGGTAGTAGCTTGACTATTAACAATACATACATATAAAATAATCTCAGCTGTAAGGTGACCTGTGCGTGTGGATTGCTAAAGAAGTATTTTTCCTAAAAATGCATCTGGGTCCACCAAGGGTCTACAGGCAGGAATTAATGTTTAGACAAAATGTATTGATGTCACTGGCTTTTATAAGTTGTCCATTAAATGGGACATTGTGTCTATAATTCTCCCTTGGTTAACCCATAAAGGGATGTGTGTGTAATATATTTACACACACACACACACAGACAGCACATTCCTATATATAGGAAACAATTTGAATATATGTGTTCAATTCTATATATAGGAATGTGATGTTCTAACCAGTTCTGTGTGTCTTCCCTAACAATGCAGCCTAACCTGTATACAAGAAGGGTGTATCTGTACATTATTCTTCATACAGAAATAGGTGTAACAGCTGATCAGCAAACTAACCTGCCTCCATACCTCTGCAAAGCAAAATGGCTTCCGAGCAGAACATAGAATGCATACTTTAAAAAAGAGAAATGTACATGAAGGCTATGCTTAACTTTTACTTATATTAATGGTAAATAAAACAGGCTTTAAAGTTAACTTGAGTTAGTTATTCCAGTCTGGTGTTTGCCTATTACTTAGGAAATAGTGTAAGTACTCTATATAGAGTAAGGTATCAGGGAAACAAAGTACTTCTTGTTTATAAAAGCCCTCTATTTCAACATTGCTGTATAGTGTAATAATATGGTAAACAAGTGGTTGTAAAGAGTAGCACCATAAACAATTCAAGGTATACTGGCCACAATGCAGGTTACTCCACTCAAGGACACCACAGAAACGAAAAAGGCACATCACTTTCACCTTCCAATTATTGTTTAACTCCTTGAGGACACATGACGGAAATATTCCGTCATGATTCCCTTTTTTATTTCTGAAGTTGTGTCCTTAAGGGGTTAAAATAAAATTTACCTTGCCATTATCAGAACTAAATCAGCACACATTACACTACAGATTACAATACCGCTAAGAACAATGTGACATACGTGATTTCAGCTCGTCAGTAAGAAAAATAAACAGAATAAAACATTGTAAACAACCACATCTTATAGCTTAGAAGGGGCACAGTTGTGATGGGACTGATAAACCTAAAAGGCAATGTAGAGATCTTAGAGTAAAAATAGATAATAGGTTACAGATAGAAATCTATCCCTTCCCACCCCTAATATCAGATGCAACTTTAGTCAGTAGATGATAGTGAGATATACATACATACATACATGTACGTGTGTGAAATACCAGATGAAATTAGTATCTTGTAATTTTTTTTAATTTTTATTGGATTAACATAATACTGGAATTCCAAGTTTTCAGATGATCCCCTTATTTTACATCTAAAGCTTGTCACTCAAACATTCTGTTAGTCCAATAAAAAAAGCGATTACAAAATACAAAATTTCAACTGTTATTTCAATTCGTATGCTAGTAGGCAGGCACAAACAAGGGGTTTATTCTGAGCGTGTGTATGTATGTGTATATATGTATATATGTATGTATATGTGTATATAATATTTTCATATAAATGCTCACAAGACCGTACACTTCTAATTTCCATTTGAGCACAGACACTGGTACTTTAATAATGTGAACAATGAAAGTTTTGTCTTGCTGATACCTCTTGTTAAAGTGCACTGGCAGTAAGAATTACATAGAAGGATGTAGATAATTTGATATGGTTTGCCTCCTTGAAGTCACTTTACCTTTCATCAAATACTCCAATATTTTCCTTAAGTGTAGCTTGCTAGTGGTCTCATTCTAGGAATGTAACGTGTCTTTCTGTGTCCTGATTATGTATGTAGCAGGAATTGACAACAGTTTGTTGTAGCCGAATAGAACAATATGGTAGATAAACTACCAAGCATGCAATCTGCATATGTATGTTCATACATACAAGATCATGTTTAAATAGATCTGTAGACTTAAGTACAACGTCAAAGGCACCAGCACAAACATAGGAATGATCAATGACCCCGCCATCACATCGCGAGTGGAAACCGCTCTCGCTAACTACTTCCAAGAAAACACGCTCCCATCCATTTCCCCCATCATAACCTGGGAGGCACACAAGTGTGTCATACGGGGAGAATTTCTGGCAATCATGGCTACCCTTAAAAAACAGAGGATGCAAAGAATCGATGCACTCACACGGGAAATTAGGACCCTGGAACATACTCACTCCAGGGATAGCTCCCTCCTGACGTATAACACTCTCATAACCAAACGCGCAGAACTGACACAATTACTGCAACGCCAAGCCAAGAAAAAACTCTTAAACACCAAACACTCCTACTACGCGAGGGGAGGCAAAAGCGGCAAATTGCTTGCCAATGCCCTGCGCCAATCCAGACAAAATGCATACATTCCTAAAATCAAGACACAAACAGGCACAATATCCCACACCCTTCCAGATATCATGGAAGCCTTTCAACAATTTTACACCAAACTGTACAATCTCAGGAACTCGCCCCCCTCCACAACTGACATAGAAAGTTTTCTTTCCTCTAGGCTCAAAAACACAATCCCTGCGGACGTAGCCCGCTCCATAGACATGCCTATTACCCAGGACGAATTAAAATGTGCGATCAAATCAACACCGTTGGGCAAAAGCCCAGGCCCTGATGGCCTTACGGCCAAATACTATAAACACTTTGCCACACTTCTGACGAAACCATACCTGAGGGCATTTAACGCTCTCACAGACCCGCTCCCACTCCCAGCATCGGCACTAGAAGCACACATCACACTGTTGCCGAAACCGGGCAAAGACCCCACTGAATGCGGTAGTTACCGCCCAATATCGCTCATCAATGTAGACCTAAAGATATGCACGAAAATTCTAGCCACGCAACTTCAACCGATCCTACACACCTTAATACACCAAGACCAATCTGGCTTCGTCCCTAAACGCGAGGCCAAACACAATACAACTAAACTATTAAATCTCATACACCTCTCCCATGTCACTCAAAGACAGAGCCTACTTCTATCCATAGACGCAGAAAAGGCGTTTGATAGAGTAGACTGGAAAATGCTGACAGCCACACTCCAAGCCTTAGGCTTTGGCCCAAATTGGATGAAATGGATGGGAGCCATATACTCTACCCCGACGGCGAAATTGAGAATAAATGGCCAATTATCAAGCCCAGTACACATTAGCAACGGCACGAGACAGGGGTGCCCTCTCTCCCCCTTACTCTTCATCCTCTCTTTAGAACCCTTTTTGCAGGGAATAAGAGACAACGACGACATTCACGGATTCACTGTCCACCCACAGGAGTTTAAGGTCTCTGCATTTGCAGATGATCTACTATTCTCCATCATGGATCCACTCACTTCCCTGCCACCCCTGCTTGCAGAACTGGAGGCATATGCAGAACTATCCAACTTTAAGGTCAATTACACAAAAAGCGAAATTTTACCCCTCCGAATGGACAGACGCACACAAACTGAACTTAAAGCCGTATATCCCTTCACTTGGGCCGAGAAGTCCATCACCTATCTAGGGGTCCACCTGCCCAGACACTTAAAACACACATATGATCTAAACTTCACACCACTTCTAACGGCAATATCGAAAGATATAGGGGACTGGCAGAGACCGGTTTTCAGCTGGTTATGTAGGATCAACATATTGAAGATGAACACGCTACCTAAAGTGCTGTACCTCCTACAAACACTCCCCATCACAATCCCCCCCTCCTTCTTCACTAAACTCAAACGAATCTTCACGACCTTCATCTGGGCGAATAAACGTCCGAGGATAGCATACTCGGTTCTGACCAGACATAGAGAACAGGGAGGGTTGGGACTACCCCACATTGAACGCTACTACCAGGCGGTCATACTGACTAGGATATACGAATGGAATGCAATACACCCACTCAAACAATGGGTACACATAGAGAGCTCCATGTTCCAATCCCCTCTATGTATGATCCCATGGCACGACGAGGGTCGTTCTCTCCTCCGGCCACAACACGTTCATCACCCAACGATCATGCCCACACTACGTATATGGTCACGCATTAGACACCAAACTGACGTCTCCCCACATCCCTCACCCTTCTACCCTCTAGCACATAACCCCAACTTTTTACCGGGCTTACGCCCCCAGTTCTTCCATCAGTTCCCACCGACTCAAAAAACAAAATACCCGATGGTCAGCACGGTCATCACACCAAAGGGGATAGCCCCGCTGTCTATATTAGCATCCACAGACCACCCAACTTCCCAGCAATATTTCCAATACGCCCAACTGTCACACTTCCTGAAGGGGGGATCACACCTTCTCCGAGGAACACGAGCACACACCAAATTTGAAACCTACTGTACTACACACAGCCTACAAATCAAGCACCTATCTATATTCTACAGACTCCTTAACACCATCAATCCCACCCCTCCTCCCCCATTCACAGCGTCATGGGAAACTGAGCTGGGGATTAACATTCCAATGGGTACATGGCATAAAATATTCATCTATGCCCATACCACGTCCATTAGCACCGCAGTAAGGGAAAGCACATATAAAAGAATCTCTAGATGGCATTACTCACCTGCTAAGATACATGCTATTTTTCCAACAGCGTCAGATACATGTTGGAGGTGTGGGCAACCCAGAGGAACTACAGCTCATATCTGGTGGCTCTGCCCGACCATCCAAACTTACTGGCAGAGGTTAGGAGGGCTAATCAAGGCTATAACAGGCCATCAACTACCACAATCACCTGAAACCTTCCTCTTCCTTGTCCACACGACCCACATTCCAAACCTCCAACGCAAACTAGTCAACCATTTGCTGACAGCAGCAAATATGTTGATACCGTTGAAATGGAAAAGCACCAGGGCCCCGTCAGTGCGGGAGTGGATACAAAAGGTAGAATTCATACGGACCATGGAAGAACTAGACGCATCATACTCAAACAAATACTCCACCTACACCTTAACATGGCAACCTTGGCTGACTTATCTAGGCAATAGAGCCACTTAATCACCGTCTAAACCACCAGCTACACAAAACCACCCTAATACCTGCTCTGTTTCTACCCCTTCCCCGTTGTTCCCCCATTACTATAAGCTGCAAACTATACCATGCTTGAAGTTATATTGAACTCAATAGAACAAACTATATTGTCCGCTTTGAGACAAAATCTCCTCAAATCCATTATTGTTACCCTATTCTGTTGTACAACTGTGATAAATGTAAAAATGCGCAGACTTTGTTACCTGCATATTTCGAACTATTAACTGTTATACAAAGGTGGCAAACAACACCCATGTTTTGTTTTGTAACTTTATATGCGCAATCAAAATAAAGATTAAAAAAAAAAACATAGGAATGATATCTAAACAGCTGGAGTGTACCAAGTTTCATAGCATAATGATAGCAGATACACTGTATAAGAACCGGTTTGCTTACATAAATAAAACAGGACTGCACAAGGATCTTTAAAAACTATAGCCCATTGAAGACCATTTTTAAAATGTGACAAAATACTTTCTCTGTAAATTAATAAATTTAGCACGTTTGAACACTGTGTTGAAAATATCAGAAACTTGTGGCACAGTATAATAGTATAAAATGCATTTAACCAGTTTGCTTGAAATGTATACAATCACTACATTACAGTGGGAACAGGTCATTGATTCCAGAACTGGATGCCTTGATCCATTTTAACATTTTGGAAGAGTCTTTGATATAGTCAGTGTCATTGGCTGCATACACACAGGAGAGGAGACAGAATGGTTGATTTGAGAGTAGTCTGGTCATTTTTTTGTTTAAATTTGGTCATGCAAACTTGTAGCCGTCCAGAGGGCCTGAAATGGGCTAGTCTACAGGTGGGGCTGGAGGCTCAGGTCCTTGGTTCTGAAATGAGATTGAATAAACTTCACTGACTAATTGCTAAATATAGTGAAACAATTACTATTTCAATTAAATGGTATTTATTTCTATAAATCCTGTTAGAGATTAAAAAGGTTGAATAATTCGGGTATTTTAGAGGGTAAAATAAATAAATAAATAAAAAGAACCAAAACACATTAAAAACCAAAAACACACCATTATTCATATTAGATGTAATAAACACAGTAGGATGCAAATAAATCTATGACTATTAAATAGACGTTATTTTAGAAAAAGCATAGTAGCTTACCAGTATGTATAATAATTGGAAAGTGCTTGCAACTTGCTAACATGTTAAAACTGAAACTAATTAACATACTTCTTATTAACCATTAATGAGCTCTGTTAAAGGAATGTGGTCATGTTGTTTAATATCAGAAATATATTAAAGGGACAGTCATCCAACACATGGATACAATGGACTACTTTGGATCTACTTTAGATAGGCCATATTTGTAGCAAAACCAGTTATTGCTAAATTACCAGTAAATGGAAAGATAAAAGGCTATTTTTAAATAAAGGGTATGCCTCGCCCAGAAAGCATGTGCCAAAAGTGGCTGCACAATGTAAAGATAAGACCAAAGCAGCAACATGGTGTTATAACGGAATTCCAATAATGAACAATCCATTAAGAACTCATTACTATTGGTAGCCAATGAAAGCCTAAAAATACTTACATTATGTGGACTGCTAGGCTTTCCAGTTGATCTGGATCCTCTGAGACTTCGTGGTCTTAACAAGAATAACGTGAAACCAATCACAAGCCAGGCCATCAGAATCATCGTAATACTAAATCCAGCATCTCCGGAGGAGTTTGGTCCCGGTACTTCAGAAAACAAACAAAATTATAAATGTATGAAGTAATCAGGGTAAGAACAGTACTAAAAAATGGAAATCAAATCCGCTGACAGATTTCAAATTAGGTAAATACAACCCAACACATGACACATTACACTGTGTCATGATTTAACAAAAAATGCCAAAATGGAGAAGCAATGTGTGGGAAAAACAAAGTATGCTCTTGATTAATTGATCATCAGCAAATGTGACCACCTCTATAAAGGCCAAAATATTAAGTTGGCTGGTCTGGAGAACTCGTGTGTTCACACAATGCAAAAGAGAGAAGACATCAGCAATGATCTTAGAGAAGCAATTGTTGCTGCACATCAAACTAGGAAGAGTTATAAGGCCATTTCCAAACAATCTAAAGTCTATCATTCTACAGTGAGTTTATGCAAAAGTGGAAAACATTCAAGACAGTTGCCAATCACAGGAGTGGACATCCCAGCAAATTCACTCCAAGATCATACCGATCCTCAGTGAAATTGCATAAAACCCAAGAGTTCCATCTCAGACTCTACAGAAAACGATTACTTCACGTTATTGCTACAAAAGGTGGTTCTAAAAGCTACTGAATCAAAAGGTGTACTTTCACTGGCTTCTCCATTTAGACTTTATTTTTGTTTAAATGACACAATGTACAATATCATTTGATCATCTGAGATTTTTTTCATAATTGTGGTTTTTCCATGTTAGGGGATCTGCCTGAGCACCCCAGTCCCCCTGCAGGCAATGTCATCAAGCCGATCCAGTCATGTGATCGCGGTGTCACATAACACTGATGGGCAGGATTTGCTGCAGGGGTACTGCCTTGGTTGTCACGCACTCAGATTCAGATTGCCACAGAGGGTAAGTATTTGGATTCCCGCGTGTTCACGATCATTAGGGTGTGCTATGCCACCTTAATGACGTTAAAGCCCTCCATTTGTAGGACGGAATAGGCACACCGTAATGTTGAGGGGTTGATATCTCTAGGAGACTTACTTTTTCCCTCCCCAAAAGGAAAAATGAAATAAACCCCCTAACCAGGCTACTAAGTTACTCTTGGTTTCATATCCAGGTACACCTGCTTTGTGACTTAACACTTGCCACCCAACAAATTAAAATGCATTGTAGATTAGATTTCGTTTTAACCTTAGGGATGAGCAGTGCACCGTAAAAGTACATTCTAAGCACTTTCTGCATGCTGACTGCTAGGTGAAGGACAGAACGCCTAAAATAATGTATGACAGAAGGATGCATCTCCACATTTAGCTAAATTTTTACATTTTGCAAATAAATTTTTTGTTGAAATGTATAAACCTTTAAAATAGCGGAAGTGACATTTCCCATTTTAAAGGAGCACATCAGATACCATAACTACTTGCAAATCACAATTGGAAATACAAGCCATCCTCCTCCAACAGTTGCACAATCTGCCACGGCAGGTTTTCTCCTAAATCACATTAAAAATAAAAGTAACATTTGAATGCTAGGCAGATCTCTGAATGCAGTCTGGCGGGACTGGACAGACCTGTTTTATTTAACATTACAATCTCCTTTCACTTCTCATATTTCAGATTTTCAACTAATCTGTTGCAATCAATGTGCTTTAAAAATCCTCCACCAATAATCCAAATCTTTGCAAAAACATTGGTTTTCTTAAACAAACCTTGATGTGTTACCAAATACCAAACAGCCCTAATCTCTTAAAAACAGCAAAGACAGACATTCCCAGTGCCATGAATAGGCAGTATGACTAAAAGGTAACGATGTAAGGATTGGCTCGACAATGACAGCAGAAACATCTTCTCAAAGTAACCAACCCTACTGACGCAGTGACTTGCACAAGCATTATTAATACACCACCCTTGGGTATTTTGTCACCACTACCATATGATTAAGAAGCATGCTTTACTCTGATAAGGAACACCTACTGAGAATTTGAGCAGAAACCAGAATTTCTGTGCTTCAATCTATTGGGGGGAAAGATTATACACATTCCTTAACACACCTTGACAGGCAGGTTCCCTACAGCCGTGAGTAATCAAATACTCCTTGTGAAGCGCACTCATTGCATAAAAAAGGATCAGAAAACTTATTCAAGGAGGACATATGATGCAATTAAATGATAGGGAGTGGGCATCATAAGAAATACCATTGACAAAAAGTAAGAGGGCATATACAGAAAAGGCACAATTTTAGAGCTACACAAGAATGTCGTATTTTATAGATTATACAGTTCAGTATTCAACAGGTAAATGGTAGGGGTGAGCACTTCTTTAGATTTTGTAATGATCTGGGCTTTAGGAGGATTGTTCATTGTGTTAGAAAAGAAATCCACAAATTCTACCATTTTATTGAATTTTACCAGTTGTTGGTTTATAAAAGGAAATTGTAAAGAAATAGACAAATTACATAATTTAGGTCAAAGGGGCTGGAAGGAAAAATGGCTAAATTTCAGTACAGACGTGCAAATACACACACACACACACACACTCTGTCAGGCATACAGGTACATACACACATAGGAACATAAAATGTGACCGCATATTAGTCCTTGGCCTTATCTTATAGTTAGGATAGCCTTATGCCTATCCCACGCATGCTTAAACTCCTTCACTGTGTTAACCTCTACCACTTCAGCTGGAAGGCTATTCCATGCATCCACTACCCTCTCAGTAAAGTAATACTTCCTGATATTTTAAACCTTTGCCCCTCTAATTTAAGACTATGTCCTCTTGTTGTGGTAGTTTTTCTTCTTTTGAATATAGTCTCCTCCTTTACTGTGTTGATTCCCTTTATGTATTGTTTCTATCATATCCCACGTCTTGTCTTTCCTCCAAACTATACATGTTAAAGGACCACTATAGTGCCAGGAAAACAAACTTGTTTTCCAGGCACTATATGGTCTTTAGGTCCCCCCCACCCTCAGGGTCCCACTACCGCCGGGCTCTAAGGGGAGGAAGGGGTTAAACACTTACCTTTCTCCAGTGCCGGGCTCCCTCGGCGCTGGGGACTCTCCTCCCTCTTCGACTGAATGCGCAGTCAGTCCATAGGAAAGCATTCTCAATGCTTTCCTATGGACACTGGCGTCTTCTCACAGTGGGAAGCGCCTCTAGCGGCTGTCAATGAGACATCCACTAGAGGCTGGATTAACCCATATGTAAACATAGCAGTTTCTCTGAAACTGCTATGATTACAGCAGGCAGGGTTAACCCTAGATGGACCTGGCACCCAGACCACTTCATTGAGCTAAAGTGGTCTGGGTGCCTAGAGTGGTCCATTAAGTTCCTTTAAAATTTCCTGGTAAATTTTATCCCGCAATCCATGAACCAGTTTAGTAGCCCTTCTCTGAACCCTCTCTAAGGTATCAATATCCTTCTGAAGATACGGTCTCCAGTACTGTGTACAATACTCCAAGTGAGGTCTCACCAGTGTTCTGTACAATGGCATGAGCACTTCCCTCTTTCTACTGCTAATACCTCTCCCTATACAACCAAGCATTCTGCTAGCATTTCCTGCTGCTCTATTACATTGTCTGCCTACTTTAAGTCATCAGAAATAATCACCCCTAAATCCCTTTCCTCATATGTTGAGGTTAGGACTCTATCAAATATTCTGTACTCTGCCCTTGGGTTTTTACATCCAAGATGCATTTTCTTGCACTTGTCCACATTAAATGCCAGTTACCACAATTCTGACCATTTTTCTAGTTTACCTAAATCATTTGCCATTTGGCTTATCCCTCCTGAAACAGACAAACATGCTCACAAACACTCTCTCTCACACACAAATTTTTATTTCATTTTTTTGTTTAGGTCCATCCAGTCACCCTACTCCCTTGGGTCCAGTGGGTAGCTGCTCTGATCTTTGTGCATTGCGTGTTCTGTGTGATGACTGGGTCAGTGTGACATCACATTTTGGCTCCAACAATCACTATAGGGTGTATGTGGGAGTAGAAAAGGCACAGAAAATATAGTACAGAGCTCCCTTGCTGCTCGCCCCTCTTTTACATTTGGGTAGAGTAGGCACCGGCTGACCTGGTAAGCATGTACCTACTCTTCCTTAGCACAGGGATTTTTTGTTTTTTGCGCCCAGGTGTCTGCCTTTCCAAATCACGTCCATTCAATTAATTCTGTGGACTCCAATTAGTGTAGAAACATTTCAAAGATGATCCATCATAGGGTCATAGCAAAGGGTCTGAATACTTATGTCAATGTGATATTTAAAATAAAATAAATAAAAATCTCAATGTTTTCCAAAAACTTTTTTAATTAATAAATACTGGGTATATATTCATGGGAATGGAAACAAATTGTAAGGCTGCAACATGTTAACAAATTAAGGGGTCTGAATACTTTCTGAATGGACTGTTCATATTTATTAAACAAAACTGAAGAGTTGTCAATGTGGAAAAACAGACAGCATAACTATTAGACAAAATACTATCAAATGCACTAAAGTTGTATTGCTGCCCAGAGAGTTATTTTAAAGGTTTACTGATTGATTGCTTTTGTTATCTTGCAAGGTCAAAATCTAGACTTCAAACAAAAAGTGATGCCAGGACACAAACTAAACTCATGCAATCACAAGATAGCTTGGCATCAATGGGGAACAAAAAAAAGAAAAAAAAAAGGTATGTTTATATAAATTTTAGTTACAGCAATATTATGTATAGATGGCCAACATATTCAGCAGCAGTGTATAAGTGGTAAAAATTTTAAATAACAATGCCATGCAACACAAACACAAATTAGGGTTGTAGCTGTCCCTTTATTTTTTATGTTTAAAGAACCACTAAAGTCACCCAGACAAGTTCATTTCAATGAAGTGGTTCTGGGTGCAGTGTCCTGTAATTTTAACACTTCTATGTAAAACGCTGTCCTCACAACAATGTCCGCAGAGCAGCATTTGATTAAAGGAGTCTGGCATTTGGCAGTGCATGTGTATCTTGTCTCCAATTCTATTCTCTATGCTAGGCATAGGCAACATTCGGCATTGCAGATGTTTTGGACTACGTCCCATGATGCTTTGCCAGCATTATGTGTGTAAGAGCATTATGCGGGATGTAGTCCACAACATCTGGAGTGCCGAAGGTTGTGTATCCCTGCTCTATGCCATGGGGAGCATTGAGTTTTATATCATCACAGGAGACGTTAGCAAGGCATACTGATGACGAATGAGGAAGAGCAAGTGGCAACAGCGGAGTCATCTTGGAGCTGGATATTAGCTGTAGACATCATGCTCCGTATACTGATTTAAGTAGGACTAGTGAAAATAATTTAGAAGCTAGAGGATGTTCAGAGTTTCAACTTGTTAAAAAGAAAAACAAAAGAAAAACAATGTATAATTATGCAGAATATTTTAAGCAGTTATCTACAGTGTGTAATTAGTGTCTAATTTTAAAGAATTCAAACCAAACTATTCTTTGACCCAAACAACTGATGTTTACACAATTACAAACCACCATTTAAAATGGCTTGCCTTCAGGGTAAAGGATTTTCTCACAACAGGTGTTTCCTTGGACTCTCCTTGCTGAAAGAGTAACGGGGAGAGGTTTATTACATGACTTATTACACCTGAAATTGCTATTTTGGGGCAGGGTACATTTTACATACTTTTTATGTTTGTTTTTTTCTTGTGTGTGTGTGTATATGAGTCACGTATGACTAATTGCTCTATGCATTACAGATTAAATGCCAGTGCCACGTTCTTCTGTGTAAACGTTTGCTTTCTGCATCAATAAGTGGTTTCTGAAAAGGTACAAGGACAAAACATGTGCATTTTAGGCCTGTGCTGTGTGTCGCCCGCATGCTGATGACAGATGTCCAATTTGCACAGAACTGACATTAGCCAGCCCTGAACACTTGCTGACCTGAAGTATGTGCAGCAATTCATAGTTAAACGCTGCACATACAGACCCCAACCATGACCACTTTAAATCAGTGATGGGGTCAATGTGCACGGAATATCCCTTTAACACTGACAGCGCACACAGCCAAAACCTTCCATTAGATCAGGCTTACTGCGCCTTCACAGAAACGACTCATTTTGTCATGTTTCATAATTTCAGAATAGCAGCTGTTCTAATCTAATAGAACAGACACAGTTGTAAGATTATGTGATTAGGTGTGAGGAATAGACCATCAGGCCACAGCTTTAGTATAATAAAACATGGGAACATCTCACAGCATGCACAGACAGGGTGCCTGTTCGGTCAGTGTCAATTTGCTAGTCAGGTATCAGCAAGCCAGGGCATTGAAAGTAGGCCACCTGAAGTAGAATTTTAAAAAAATCATATCATTGTCTCACTTTCCAAGATTTCCCAGGGATTTGTTCTGACTCCTTTGCAATCCTTGTTCATTCTTATTTGGAAATTACAAATGTGACCACTCCTAAATGTAAGAAGGAATGGGTAAATCTCAAGCAAGTGAAGGAAAGATGCCATTGGCATCTTCCATTGACTCGTGTTAGCAGTCCCCCTTTAAATTTATTTTAATATCCTAGAACAAGCATGTCAAACTCAAAGACTAGAAAGGGCCAAATAAACAAGGTTTTAAGTTTATGTGGGTTGCAAAAAAAATGTAAATTTTCATAGAAACTTGTGTTTATTTTGAAAAATACAGTATTTAAAAAAAAAAAAAAAGCGACCCCCTTGACTACTAAATCCCAGTACCCCCTTCAGCTACTAAATCTTAAGTGTCCCCCACCCCTTCAACTACTAAATCTTAGTGTGTCCTCCCCCTTCAGCTACTAAATCCTAGTTTCTTCCCCTCGGCTACTTATTCCCAGTCCCGTCCTCACCCCCCTCGGCTACTAAATCCCAATCCCGTCCTCACCCCCCTCGGCTACTAAATCCCAGTCCCGTCCTCACCCCCCTCGGCTACTAAATCCCAGTCCCGTCCTCACCCCCCTCGGCTACTAAATCCCAGTCTACCCCCACCCCTCTGCTACTAAATCCCAGCTCCACCCCCTCCCTCCTCTGCTACTAAATCCCAGTCCCGCCCCCTTAACTACTAAATCCCAGTCCCCTCATGGCTACTAAATCCCCGTCCGTCCCCCTCCCCCCTCGGCTACTAAATCCCAGTCCGTCCGTGTGTGCCTCTAAAGCACCTGTTGCTAAAAATGGCTGTGTACCCTGAGTGGGCTGTGGCGTCAGTCCATAATACTGGGGAAAACTCTGTCCATTCCACTGAGACAAGAATTGTCTCCACATAGCCAAGTCTGACCTGGCATGTTGGTCGAGAGTGACTGTGCTGAGATCATTAAGTAATTTGGGTAGTAGGCTACTAGATATGAACAAGCGTCCTTGAGGAATAATTCTCATCGCAAAGTTCAGAGAACCAAGTATAGACTGTAGGTTTTTCCGGTTGGTAGTACCTCTGTTGAGAAACAGGTCTATCTCTGTCCTGATTCGCTGAACCTTGTCTTCGGGGAGGCTAGCCTGCATGGTGACAGTCTAGGCATATCCCGAGAAAAGACAACTTAGTGACGGGCCCCACTGTTTTGTCCAAGGCAACCGGCACTCCAAGAGTAGCAAATAGTGCCACAGTTTTAGTAATGCTCGTGGGACAGACTTGTGTTTCTCTACTGTATGGAAGTCAGCATAGTGGATAACAACTGGACAACCCACTATATTTAACAACAACCAACATAGTGTCTCTGCGAATAAATTGAATAACTTTGGGCTGCTTTTTGCTCCAAAAGTTAGTCGAACAGCAAAAGTACCAGTCTTTCCATTTTACTCCATGTAGATGCCACAGTGACTGGCGTATTGGGAGCAGCTTGAAGGCATTGGAAATGTCTGCTTTCCCTGCCTCCAATATTGCCTCTATGGCTTTGTCTACTGTGGCATACTACAGGGAGAATTCATCTGACAGTATGAGTGCGTTGAGGCTAGGTGTGACAACAGAATGAGGAGCCGACAGGCGTTTTTTATTATTGTACTTCCCTGTGGCGATACCTATAGGATTGGTACGCCAACAGGTGAACGGGGGCATATGAAATGGCCTGATCATGAAGCCTTTCTTAACTTTCTTGTACAGGAGTGTATTCACTGTGGTGGGGTCTAAAGTTGCCGACTGTAGATTGTTACATTCCAGCATACCAATTAGCCCAGTGTGGAACCCTCTGTGAAATTTGAGACCTAATTAATTTATATATATATATATATATATATATATATATATATATATATATATATATATATATATATATATATATATATATATATATATATATATATACACATATACACACACCTCATAGGATTTATAGGGTTTGGGCAAGCGTAACCGTTTTGGTGCCTGTTGTAAGCTTATTATTGTTTAACTGAGGCTGTCATGCCCGATTTCTGCCGGTAGATGGCGGTGTAGCTTTGAGACTGTGTATGAGTCATGTTTCATACGTTTGTTCGTTTAGTGTGTTCATTCGTGCACTATGCGTTCGTCTGACAACCTCCATTTGTATGAATGGTTAGTGAACTTCACCAATTTTGATATTTTGTCGTACGTATAACTTTAGTCGTTTGTATGAGTTCTGTTCAAATGAATAGTCGTCCGTGTAATTAAACGTAGTATGAATAGCTGTTTACATGAACCGCTGCTCGCATGAATAGCTGTTCGTATGAGTGGCCGTTCGTATGATCAGTCATTCGTATGGATACCCGGTCGTGTGAATAATCATTCGTATAAACAGTCTATGTAACTAGTCGTACTTAAAGTAACCGTTCGTGTACAGAGGTATTCGTACATGTTAGCGTGGTTCGTGTGTAAGCACGTAATTTGTGTGGTTTGTACTAACTGTTTCCGGGTGCCTGACGACTGACCCGGGAGTGCGTCAAGTGTACTGGGGACGAGGCTAAAAGGAATCCCAGTAGATGTGGCCGATGGGAATGTATTTTCCTGGGGTCGGAGAAGCTCTGGGAGTCAAAAAAAAAAAACCACTGTTGGGCACAAGAAACCACGAGGAAGACTGTCTCTGGAACCGGAAGCGACCAAAAAGTCGTCGGCCTGGTATGGAGGTAAGTCTGAGTTTATACAGGCTGAGTTTATATATATATATTACACACAGAGAGCCATACACCCACACACACATTTTCCCCCAACACTTTTTTATTTTTTTATTTAAATCCACTCAGCCTCCCTACCTTTGGGAGAGCTGGGTGGATTTCTTACCTGGTGTCTAGTGGGGCTGTTAAGCAGATGTACATTCAGGCAGGCAGGGGGGTGGACAGGCAGCGAGGAAGCATTGATTTTGAGCTCTTCCTGCTCAGCTCCCTCGAGCTACGCAGAGGGATGCCGGGAGCCAGAGTGACTTCATATTCCGGCTCCCGTCCTCACTGCGGGAAGCTGAGCACGGAGAGCTTACACTCTGTGCTCCCTCGCAGGCTGCAAACATATTAGTTGAGGGCCGCGAGTTTGACATCTATGTAGTAGAATGATATGGCACAAGAGGTTGCTGCACAGATCATATTCAAGTGGTCTCATGTGTACAAAAAGGGGGGAAAAAAACTAAGATTTATGGGAAATGGACAAATATCCATGTTCTAGGCTGAACCCCCATGTATTGTTACTCAAAATATATAATAAAAAAAAATAGGATTGTTGTTTTTGCTTTGCTGCTGAATGATTTGAATTTGAGAAATTCTGAAACTCACTTTTATTGAGTCCTAATTAAAATAAAATGTATTTCTACCAAGTAAAAAGCAAAGGTAATCAGTTGAGAGTTTTGGTATTAATGCAGAGAGCCCCATGAAGAGTAGGGCAGATAGTGCTGACAGGAGTTCATATACTCACATTCCTGTAAGCATTCAGTGTCTGTACAGTAGGACTGAGACTGTCTCAGCTGAAAGAAACAAATACAGTGGATTAAAATGTAACAAACCAATGGATTGATTCCACCACACAAGATTAATAAATACAGTAGCGGAGACACTAGTTTCAGTAATATAGTAGAACAAGTTTATAATACACAGGTTGGCATTAAAATGGTATATATTGAACAATAATAATCTTATGATTGCTTATGTTGTATTTTGTTTTTGTTAATAGTATAATAGTCCTCCTTTTTGCCAATGGGGATGATTATAATATCTTTATGGCAGTATCCACTATACTAAAAGACTAGTGTAGGGTTTCTACCCCTACAGCTAAAAGCATCACATATGCAACTGGCATAGGTTGAATTTGACCAGTTTTAGAACACAAAAACAAGTATATAGTAAATAACAGCCTCCTGCAACATAAAAATGGCATCTGGAAGCATCATGAGTGGTGTACAATTTGCGGTTTAATGTGGCACTGTCAGAGACAGAGATTTTTCCCTCCACTAAAGGGGATGTCAAAAAGCTCCTACTCGACCTACGTGAAGTCTGGAAAGCAGACCTTGCCAGGGTATAGGTGGACTACATCAATGCAATGGTGATGTTGAGTTCTAAAAGGGGAAAGACAGGCAGGCTAAAAAATACCCAAATCCACATAGAATCTTTCACCCAACAGGTCCCGCGCTGTGGCTTCACTTGAGGTATAGAGTGGACATAGAGGCCTTGGCGGACTTTGCAAATAGTGTGATAAAAGAATTGGAGGTTAGAGGGGGAAGGATGAATCTTTGTCCATAGTGTCAGTGTTCTGAATTCAGAAGGCCACAACAGTCTCTGTGGATGCATTCAGGGATATAATTGCTGTCACTCAGGACATATCTGTCAAAATGGCTATTGTGGCCCGACCCAGACACATCCCAGCGTTACTGGTTGTACCATCTTTGATGACCTACCATTCTCCGTCCTGATGGATAGATGCAGGTTCATGCCAGTCACCAAGCTATTAAGGGAACATATCAGGCATCAGTGAGTATTATCAGGAACTCTAGTGGTGCCCTGCAGAGACAATGTGTTAACCCTTTCGGCCATGGAAGACCCAATGGATCTCCTGCCTACTTTACAGTTGCCACCTAAATTGCCCTTGGTGCCAGTGGGAGTTGCAGAGCAGTGAATTCCAAGCCTAGCTTGAAACAGGAAGCTAGCGATTGCAGGGCCTTCCATAAGAAACTGTTACGATGAGAGAATCTCATATACAGTTCATACATAGCCTATAACCACTTTCTGCATTACGTTATGCTGCATTTTAGACTTGTTAGTGGCACTATCACACCCCTTCCCCACTCATCCAAAACGTAACAAAATACTCACATTGACGGTGTTGGAACTTCACTGAAATTCCAACCCAGTCAAAAGTTATAGTAAGATAAAGTAGGGATTACTTTGTTAGTATCGTTCCTATGTTTGACAAAAGGCAAAGGGTCCTGCAATCGCCTCCATAGACCTTAGTGTTCTACTCATGCACATGCGTGGGAGTACAAATTTGAAGTCGGCATGGAAAAGATGATGGTGGCAGTGAGGAACAGGTTCATGTACCTCCCCCTGCACCATACTGCCAGCAAAACAGTCACCTTTGGGAATCTTGCAAAATATGCAACCTAGAGTGTGACAGAGCTGCTATACAACAAACAAACAAAAAACACTTAACATGAACCAGACAGCAAGGTTATAGATTTCATATAAACTGAGACAAATTTTGCTACTTTCATTTAAGGGCCTTATTCTGTAAATGCAGGGGGAAAAAAACTATCAAACAAAACTGCAGAATAATTGGGAAATATGTTTACAACATACAGAATAATTCTTATGTGCTAATGATTATTGCAAATGCTTAGGTTGTTGCCTCAAGTGAAAAGTTGAGTTTATGGTACCTAATGCCATGTAGTTTAGTGGGATTTGCAGGCAATGTATCATAGTACTCTACTCACCAGGTTGATCAATCTGCGCATTGCATTTTCATGGGAGCAGATGCACTCGCAGAGATCGTAATTACCTTCTGCCATTTTAACGTTCAATTACAGTGACCTGAAAAATATAGGTAATAATGATATCACACATGTACACCAAAAGGAATGCTAGAATATAATTATAGACACAAATTGAATTTTTACATTTAAAAAAAAAAAATAATAATATATATATATATATATATATATATATATATATATATATATATATATATATATATATATATATTTTTTTTTATTTGCCACAATAGCATTTACAGGCTCGATCAGCATAATTAAACAGAAATTGTGACATGTTTTGCTTTCACATTTTTTAGTAAGTCATGAACTAGATACGGTTGTATAACAAATACAAAAAGACTCCTGCGCTCACTCCCATCACTACTGGGCCGGCAGCAATGACTAAAGTACACATCAGCCCCAATATATAGTAAAAACCAAAGAAAAGAAAGTTACCTGCGCTCTCTCCTTAATCCCTATGTATATTTAGACAAATGGAGGACATTTAGTTGCTCCAATGGCCATTGGAGGGAATGACCGCCTGCCAACATCAAGGCAGACCTCCCCTTAAGCGGGTCCTAACACTGACCCTTCAGCATGCTTCCTTGAGCTTCTGGCAAAGATAGCTCTTAGACAGAGGGGTATTTTTTATATACACCCCTATATACTCATTAACCCTTAATAGGGAACACATGGGATGGGCGGCAGCATTGTAACAAGGCTGTGTGATACAAAGTATATGGTTGTATAACAAGTTGAGAGAAAGTAGGTGGTGAAAATTTGCCTGTGCCGTCTATTGCAAGTGTGTTATTTGCAATATAGTCGCTGTGGGGTCACCTGGGTGTTCTATATATCTAGTTGAGGGGTCTATGGGGTCCGCATACCACTCGGTCTGTAGGTCAAGCGTTGGACATATGTAAGCTTCCGAGGGCAGAGGGATGGGTAGTTAACCCGCAATACACATCATGTGGCTTAAAAACAACAACGAACTGGCTTAAGTAGCCTGTAACTGACATAAAAGTAATATGTAAAAGGGAGAGCCATGCCTAACTCGGAGCAACATTGAGCCAGCTAGTGCTGTTTGAGGTCCCTGTATCTGATAGCAGTTTAAGCGTCCAGGAGCTGCATATTGTCTCATCCTTCTGGAGATGCCTGTCCCACCAGGGTAAATGGTGCAACGTTGGCAACGTCCCATCTGTGTGGGGGTTTGTGTTGGGGACCAGGAACCAGATAGAGACAGAACTAGATGCAAAAACACCTTTATTAATAAATAGAAAATAACGTAATAACCAAAAGCAAAGTCTAGGAGGCAAGCAGGGGTCAGGCACCAAAGTGGGTAATCAGACGAGCCAGGATCAGAACGGAGAGCAGCGAAGTCAGGAACAAACAGGAACAAGGAGACTTCGGGGCAACAGGAAACCATGCAAGGGCAAGGAGGTACTGGGATTTGCTGCTTAAATAGGCTGCACTGATTAGCAGCAGGGCTGGTTACTACTATCAGGTGAGTAACAGTGGCAACATACCGAAGGAGCTGATAGTTTAATATCAGCTGAAAACTCAGACACAGAAAAGGAAGGGTTGCTGTTTAAAACAGCAAAGAAATCCTGACAGTTTGGTCTTGGCTCCTGTCGTCCGTCTGATGCCCAGCGCCTGCAGAAATTGTGGTGCTTCTGTCACGGCAAGGGTGTATAATTGTAGATTATGCTAGCTTTAGTGTACCTATAATCTTAATTTTATTAATGACAGAAGGCGAGTATTTGCTTAAGACTTTCTTTACTTAAGCTTCACAGCAGCACTTTTTTACTTAGTAACAAGGTAACCAATCAGAAAAAAGGGATAACAAGGTATATAAGTCCCTCCCAGTGATGTCATTTCCTCTTTCTGGCTGCGAACAAAAAGGAACCGGAACTGAAGCAACCAGATAAGGGAGTCAGGATGTCAGACGAGGAGGATGATGCTTGAGAGGTAAACAGGAACGTAGTTTGAGTTCTTGAAGTGCAGAGATGAAGCTTGCGGTGGAACAGCAACTAGGCTTGACTTCTTAAAAGAGTTTTACGCTGAAACGAAAAGAGCAGAGTCGAAACCAAGAATTAATCCGTGAATTGGACTTTGAAAATATGATAACCAGTTGACATGAATCATATATTACAGCGTGTTAGAAAAACGTTAATGTATGTCTCTAAGCATGCAATCCGTAACCCACATGGTAGTAAGGCATAGAGTATTCTTTCTTGTCTTAGAAACTTACCTACAGAGGCGACCCTAGGGTGGGAAAAGAAGGTAACAGTGGTGGGAAATACTCGTCTCCTGTCATTAATAAAATTAAGATTATAGGTACACTAAAGCTAGCATAATCTACAATTTTATAACATGACAGGAGGCTTTGTATTTGCTGTTTTAACGCTCCCCGAGAAGGGCCAAGGAAGCGTGCGCAGTCGGACGAAAATAGAAGTTGCGGAACGTCTGTTCTCGGGACCAGTCTGCGGAGTGAAGTATGTCTCGAAGTGAGGCTCCAGCGCTGAATGCCCCCGATGCTGCCGCTCCTCTGATGGAGTGGGCTCCGAAGGAGGTTTTAATCCCGGCTAGGGATAGCAACCACCTAACCCATCGGGCAAGAGTTGTGGTTGACACTGGATTATGAGGCCGGACGTATGAGACCAATAGTTGGCTGGAGGAAGTTGGACGGATAGAGGAGGTGAGTAATAAATAACAAAAAAGAAGAGATACCACACACAATTTCAGGTGGTTAGGGAAGTAAGGGTAAAATATCGAAGAGGAGTTTGATTTCGTCCGCCTGGTCACGGAAAAGGTGACACCCTCTGGGGAAAAGTTGATAGCGTCATGGTCAAAGGCTCGAACATCCGAAACTCGTTGGAAGGACACTAAGCAAAGCAACAGGGTGAATTTGGCTGAGAGTTGGCGGAGGGATAGGTCCTCGTTGTTTGGCCAAGTCTCGAGAAAACGAATTATGACATTAACGTCCCACAGATGGGAATATTTCGGTTTAGGGGGGCGAGCCAGTTTGATGCCCCGCAATAGTCTACAAACCAGCTGGTCCTGGCCCACTGGAACCCCGTCTAGAGGGACATGGGCTGCCGAGATGGCTGAACGGGAAACGTTGATGGATCTGTAGGAAAGGCCTAGATCGAATAGATGAGAGAGGAAATTCAATATTAACTGTCTAGGGGCCGTAAGGGGATCGGTATTCCGTTCCAGGCACCAATTGCACCAAGTGTTCCAGGAGGAGAGATAGCATCTTCTAGTTCCAGGAGCCCACGAATCCCAGAGGAGTTCCTTAGATCTCTGCGATAGTCCTCCGAAGTGCCAGGTTCCCCTGAAAGAGTCCAAGCCACTAGGTGGAGATGGTCTTGCGTTATCATTGGATGAGGATTTCCTTGAGGGTCCTCCAGGAGGTTGGGCCATGGAGGCAAAAGGAGAGGGTCTTGGTAGGAGAGGTCCAGAAGATCCGGAAACCATGCTTGGCCCCGCCAGAGCGGGGTAATTAGAACAAGTGCGATCTGTTGTCTGCGAATCTGTAGGAGGACTCTGGGAATCATCGCAAACGGGGGAAAAGCATAGGCTCCCGTCGTCGGCCAACTCTGAAGGAAGGCGTCCACAGCCGAGCATTCTGGGTCTGGAAGCCAGCTGAAAAACCGTGGGACTTGAAAGTTTGTCCGGGAGGCGAAAAGGTCTAGGGTAAATGGACCCCTGAGTTTGGAGATGTGGAGAAAGATTGTTCTGTGTAGGCGCCAGTCGCTGCCATCTCTCCAATGTCGGGAGAACCAATCCGCGGTAATGTTAGTCTCCCCTGGGAGATATTCTGCATGAAGAGTGATGTTGCGTTGGAAGCAAAACTCGTAGATGTCTTTTGTCACTTCGGAGAGGATGCGAGATCTGGCCCCGCCCAGTTTGTTGATGTATTGGACAGCTGAGATATTGTCCATCCGAAGGAGAATACAGCAGTTTGAGAGGTGATTGGTCAAACTGCGAATTGCGAATGAGCCTGCGATTAACTCCAGACAATTGATGTGGAGAAAGTCTTCCGAGGTGGTCCATGGTCCTCCGGTGGAGGTTGTATGACAGGTTGCGCCCCAACCCAGGAGGCTCGCATCTGATTCCACCACGAAGTCTGGGGTGGGACCGAAAATTGCCTTGCCGTTCCAGGCCGACATGTGGCGGAGCCACCAACGGAGTTCCTCTTTCACCTCCGAAGTGATCGGGACCCTCTGGTCGTATGATGGATGGGTCCGGAGGAATTGAGCTTTCAAGCGTTGCATGGCCCGGTAGTGAAGGGGGCCTGGGTAGATTGCCTGAATGGAGGCAGAGAGTAGGCCTACGACCCGAGCTAATCCTCGAAGAGGTAAATCCTGTTGACGAAGCGTTTTGCGTAGTTCCTTTCTGATCGCGGATAACTTGGACTGAGGTAGGCGAAGAACACAGGTTGAAGAGTCGATTTCGAAGCCGAGAAATTGAAAGACTCTGGTTGGGGACAGTGACGATTTCTCTTGGTTTATGACAAACCCCAAGGATTCGATCAATACAGAAGTATAGTTCGTCTGTGAACGCAGTTTGGATACGTCTTCGCAGAGAAGCAAGAGGTCGTCGAGGTAGATTAAACAACGGATGCCCCTTTCTCGCAGATGTGTGGTGACTGGTTTGAGGAGTTTGGTGAAGCACCACGGGGCGGAACTCAGGCCAAATGGAAGACAGGTGAATTGGAAAATCCGGTGGTGCCAATGAAAGCGGAGAAAACGCAGACTCGATGGGTGTACTGGCACCGAAAGGTAAGCATCCTTGAGGTCGAGACGGGTGAACCAGTCGCCTGGTCGGAGGATGTCTCTGAGGAGGTGAATCCCCTCCATTTTGAAATGTCGGTAGATAACGAAAGAGTTCAGTTGACGAAGGTTGATGACTGGGCGAAATTCCCCTGACTTCTTCTTGACTAAGAAGATGGAGCTGAGGAAACCTTCGTCGAGTGGAGCGAGTTGGATCGCTCCTTTTGTTAACAGAGAACGTAGTTCTGAATCTAGACAAAGACTTTGAGCCTTTGACATTTTTGGATAGTGAGGATAACCTGTTTGAGAAGGGAGAGAATGAAACTCTATGTAGTAACCCTGAACTGTGTTTAGGACCCAGGTATCTGAAGACAGTGTCTTCCACATGTCTACACAGTGTGACAACCTGCCCGCATGATAAACAGTAGAAAGGTGAAAGGAAGGAAATCTCACCTGTTGGGTATCTACTGCGTCCGCGGGTTCTGTATCCTCTTCCTCTATCCGCTCTTTGGGAGTAAGAGCCTCTTGGTTGATAGTTGGGGAAGAAAGATGAAGTTGGGGTTCTCTGGCGTTGGTTTGTGGTCCAGAAACGGCTGACTGTGCGACCCCTTGTACGGCCAGCCCTGCCAAAAACCCGTGAGGGTTGATAGTGAAATACTCTTTTCATGGATGATTGCGCCTTGTTTAGTGTGGCGTATAAGTTTACATGTTTATGTAATTCTTTAATGTAGGGTTCTCCAAACAATAGACCCTGTGCTTTGGGGCCCAATTCCTTGGTTCCCAAGTCAGCTAACTTAGCATCCATACGCAGCAGCACTGCTTTTCTACGCTCAGTACAGAGGGATGTATTAGCATTGCCCAGCAGGCAAATAGAGCGTAGAGCCCATTCTCTGATCACAGATGGGTCTAGAGGGCCTTCATTAGATAAGGCTTCATCAGCCAGTAGAAGAATTCTTGCCAGAGGTCCTAGGATGTCCAGCATTTTGTCTTGGGTTAGGCGTAGGCTGCGTTCAATGCCCTTTTTTGGGTCACGGCCTGATCTAGCCAGATATGTGTAGAGCAGCGTATCAAATTCCGGGGTCACCGCGACCTTATCCGGTAGAGTGGGTCTAGGACATTCAGCTCGTAGCCGTTTGCGGACCTCCCGATCTAGGGGTCTTCTGATCCAAAAATGAATATACTGGGAGAGATGGTCTGGTAGTGACCATTCGGATGATCGAGGATATCTAATTTGTCTTGGGTCAAAAAGCGGTTGACCAAGCGTATCCAGAAAAGGTTCAGTGTCCCCAGATGGAAGTGATCCGGGTAACATAACTTCAGATGGGAGGTCTCCCATAGTCGACTGAGGGAGAGGTGCCCCTTTTATGGAAGTCTCGGGCCAGTCCTCCTCATCTTCTGAGGAGTGGTCAGCTTGCCATTCATCTAGGATGGCTAAGGGGTGTAAGTCGAAAGAGTCTTCCTCTTCTTCCGACAGAGTAGGTTGGATGGAGTGTTTCTCTCTAGCATCCACCTGTTTGGGGCGTTTCGCCGGTTCTTTCCCCTTACGCTTGAGAGGTTCAGGCCCATTCCCTTTCCAATAACGTTTATATTGTTTGGAAGGGTTTCTTTTTGTGGAATCGGAATCCTCCGCATCTTCGTCAGAAAGCGGGGTTTCGGAAATTTTAGGGTCTTTTTGCTCAATGGGCAGCACCCGAGCCAGGGCCTTTTCAAGTGAAGCAGCTACAGCTGCATTTATAATAGCTTGCAAGTTTTGATCTTGATTTGAAGCCTCCATAGCAACAGTGTTGGTACCTATGGGTCAGAATAGGCCAGTGTTAGAGTGTATTAATAAGGCCGTCTCGAAATATCACAGTATATTATCATTTCAGATTGCAAGCTGTAAGTGGGGGTCACCCAGTATAAATCACCTCAGGGAATACTTTTTCAAACCCGTATAGAGGTATAGTGGCACAGACAAAGCAGGCCAATCATGGGCTGTATATGATAACAGCAATCATAATTTAATTTTATGTGTTTACCTTATACACATGCATAGTGTAGATATGAGATGTAATCATAAAGTTTATATGGGAAAAACTTTTTGAGTAATAAACTTTGTTGCAGTTGAAATAAATATATTGAGTGATGTAGTACCAATAATCTACCACCAGAGGGAAGTAGAGAGATACAGGGATGGCACTGCATTTGGAGTTAAACTCCTTCCTTGTTAGAAGGAGTAAACAGAAAGATAACACTCTGGTATAACTAGGTAAATGCACCTGAATTAATAATAAGGAATTACAGTGGATATGAGGTGTTAATGGCTATATAATAGTTAATATGCAGAACGGTAAAAAATGGCCGCCGCACGGCCGGAGTGAATGGAGATCGCGGCTCCAAGAAAATGGCCGCCGCGATCTCGCGCGTGCGCACCAGGGAAAGGAGGAAGCCGTTTGGATCTCGCGGGGGAGCGCGAGATCCAAGATGGCCGCCGTGCGCACTGGGACCGTTGGAGGCGTACTCCAAGGACCAAAAAGCCCGGGAAAACGAGGCAAAAATGCCACACGTAGAAACTGGGCTAAAGAGGTAAAAAACAATAATAAAATAATAATAAAACGGACAGTAACCAAAAAATAAAAGCGGAAAGAAGAAAGTAGTGAAGAAATACCACATGGAAGATAGAGATGGGAAAAAAATAAATTAATCAGTTATAGAATAAAGGGTAAAAATATATATATGTAATGTATAATATACTAGAAAGAAATATGAATAAAACAGATGATAGATACAATAATAGATAAATCACAGAAAACCCCCCACAAAAGTAGGAGACAGTGGCACTCTGACCTGTACTGGTGTGAAGCAGCAAAGAAAGAGGAAATGACATCACTGGGAGGGACTTATATACCTTGTTATCCCTTTTTTCTGATTGGTTACCTTGTTACTAAGTAAAAAGTGCTGCTGTGAAGCTTAAGTAAAGAAAGTCTTAAGCAAATACGAAGCCTCCTGTCATGTTATAAAATTTATTATTACACTATGGAATATCATCCTTTAATGTAATTTGTGTAGTAAATGGCACAAATTACAGAGATGCTATTGCTGAGGTCAACAGGGGTTACATCTTTTGAAGCTGGGACCCCCACAGCGGTCAGATGACAGAAGGGGTAGTATGAATGGCATAGGAATGTGAAAAGGATTTTACTATATGGATGTGAAGTAATCAAGGATCTGCAAGGTGTGAGGTTCTACACTTGGAAAAAGTCTGAATGTCTCTTCTTCCATTTGGCATGTACCTTGTAAAGGATAGTTCAATCATTTGATATGGTAATGGGATTAGTTTCATAAAGATCCTTGTGTTCCAGTATCTTATCCAAGTGAAACATTAATACTTACCCACAGGTTAATAATTAAGCCTCATTTTTATTATATTTGGAATGGGACAAGCCCAATCTCTTAATTAAGCCTAAACATGAGTTGCACAACTTAAACTGTGTGGCAGGACTTGTGATGTCAGTCCTACAGTAGATGAGATAAAACCAAAAGTTTGTATGTGGCTTTAATGAGACGTCATATTCCAGCCCCAGTCTATCTACTGCGCGAGGGCGGGGGAGCAGAGACAGAACAGCCAGCTCCCCCTGCGGCTGCCAGAAGAGCTCTCTCTGTGGCTGCAGGTGAGCCAGCTGCCTGCCCGGCCCCAGGTGCCGACGGCCCACCGGGAAATTTCCCGGTATCCCGGTGGGCCAGTCCGGCCCTGCCAAGGGCCCCAAACTTTTTCAAATTTCTTCATGGTCCCTCGAATCTGAGCTGTTAATTTGTCCATAAGGAACGTGTCCTTGATTTATTTTTATTTTTTTTGTATCACCGCTGTGACAGAGGGAGTTTCCCTCTTTAGACAGACCTATGCCAGAGCTAGTCTAGCAGCTAGGTTCATTCTATATATGTTTTTGTTCCCCTTTAGGCCAATCGTACATAGATCTGGCCAAAAGGTATACCCATGGATCAAATTTAACCTCCTTTCCAAAAACATCTCGCAGTAACTCCGCGATCCGTTTCCAGTATGTCTGCACCTCCGGGCACTCCCACTACATGTGGATATAGGTACCCTTCTGGCCACATCCTCTCCAGCACAAATCTGTTGGATTTTTGTTCAAACGGTTTAATACTGGTGTAGTGTACCATCTAAGTAGGGTCTGATATGATATGAAGAGACACACAGAGGACGTTGCGGCTGCCTACCATATCTCCTGCCATTCTATACCCTCCACCACCTCACTGAGGTCCGCCTCCCAGTGATCGGTGTATGTGAGTTCCCCCCACTCCAGCATGTGAGTACCCAATTGGGTGTATAGACATGAAATTAGGCCAGTTGGAAACTGTTCCCTTAAGCACATTCTTTCAAAGAATGTCAGCTGTGTTAAAGCAGTTTTCTTTATCTGAGGATCCTGGGCGTATCCTCGAAGCTGTACATAGCAGAAAAAGTCAAAAGGTCGCAGCGAGGTCCTAGTTTTCAATTCTTCAAATGTTACTAATGCCCCACCCTCATACAGATGAGACAATCTCTGTAATCCAGTGTTTTCAATGCCTCTAAAACCAATTCTTTGTAGTTTGTGAATGAATAAATGCTTTGCAGAATAAAGGCTGCTCCAACAGTCCAGATTTTAGCGGGACAGTCCCGATCTCAGGATTTAGTTCCCTGGCGTTCCAAATCTGGAAACACCAGGGAATTGTTCTTTGGCAACAGAGTGAGCACATCATTAGATGTGCTTGCACTGTGCCTGGGCCTTGGGATACTACAGACAACGCTTCAGGCTAGGTGCCGTCCAGACTGTTCTCTTCAGTACGTCACTAGGTGGGCTGCCACCCTTTTCAGACGGGCCCATCTTGGACTTCGCGAGTACGCTGCACCATAAGCTTGACACCTTACTCATGCCCGTTCATTCCAGAAAAATACTTCATTATCATATATTTTAAGACCTGAGTGGGTATTTACTGAAAGGTAAGCTACTGAGTTTCTCAAAGCTTTTTTCCATTCACAGAGTTCTCATATTCTTTATTTTTGTTGCAGTGCATTAACTTGGCTCTCCCCAAGTTAAAAGGGTAATCCAGACGTGGACCTCATGCCTCGAGGGATATTAGCTACACCTCACTGACGAGGACCAAAGAAGGCCAAAACAATCGTTTGGGGTTGCTGTATCTCTTGTGCAGAGAAAACCTGCTGGCATTTGGGATCTGTACTGCCCTTATGGGTGGGTCAGTCTGATATGCTTCAGAATATGTTCGCTCTGTAATAGCACAAGTAAGCAAAAACGATGTTGAGACCTGAGCTGGGATTTAGCAAAGGGCAAGCTACTGGTTTCCTCTAAGCTTTTGTCCTTTCTCAGAGTTCTCTTATTCTATATTTTTGTTTGTACTGTATGTACACAGCATAGCAACACTGAATGAGCTGCACTCACCAATCAATCTGCATTAAAAGGAGAGAACACAGAGGAAATGTATCATTTCCTAGGTGCTGTTTCTCTATCTGCAGCTTGAATGTGGATGAAATTGAGCAGCCTCACTGTTTATTACAAGCATTCTAATCCAACATTCATCTGTGCAGAGTGTGTGTTTATAATAATCGAATGGGCCCACTCCTGTCCCTCAACCTTCTCCAAAACACACAAATATTAGAATTAGAATTTTTACTTGTAAATATGAGCAACAGATTATAGAACAGCTATAATATACAGAAAGGAGAAGTCCATGAGAAGACCATATTCTATTAGTTCAAATTCAGTTTTTTTTTAGCCACTTCATGTTCTCTTTAATTCAGAACTAGAGAGCAGATGATCTCTTTTTTGGAATGGTGGAGATCCCAGGATGTTTGTGACAACACACCACACATTATGCATTCTCCCTGGTGCTGCTTTTAGCTACACAGCTAATTCGTTAGGACATCAGTGGAAAGTCTCGGTTACGTGCAACAAAATAGCAGCTGAAATACATAATATGTGGACATAGCTGCTAATTAGAACAAGTGGGAAAAAAAAAGAGCGAACTAAATAAGAGTCTGGGCCCCAGGCATACCCACTTATCTTCCACACCCACCTAAAGAAAATGATGTGAAACGGTAAAATTCAAAAAGGTATACACGTTGGTAAAGGATTATATAAATGAAAGACTGAATACAATTGTATGAAAACAGACAAAATGCATATGGAAAACCTAGGATCAGATTATTAAGGTTTAATTCCCATCATGGATCGCCAAGTACCAATAAGGATAAAGAGATGACCTGGGTGAGATGACTGCCTATAGAGGAAAGGAGCTAAATCAACAAGTGGCTAAGTAATTAAATCTCATATCAGGCACCTGAAAGTTGAAAAAGAGGACAACAACCTATAAATGTATCTGTCAGCCAATCGAATGCTTCTCCCAGAAACGCATTGGGAATCTGCAGGGCATGTGCAGCAATCACAGCACTGAATCGGATACTACTTATAGAGAATATAAATGTTTAAACTACTTAAAGTCTTCTGGAAACAGTGCCTCCAGTGGATATCTAGATAATATAACTTTATTAAAAAAAAAAAAAAATGGGGTTCACAAAGTGTCTATGTGAAAATGCCAAAATAGTAGACCGTAATATACTGCCCCCTTTAACAACTCCAGGAATATCAATGCGCAACTCCTTATGGTACGCTTTATCAAAAGATGGTATGAGCCATATACATATTTTATATATAGTGCTACTAGGTTCCCCCTTCACAGGCTGAGGTACTTAAGATCCACAGCAAACTTAATAGTGTTAAATTACATTTAATTTTTTTGGTAATAAAATATTTAAAATATATATCATTATCATAAATATTTGAATCACCTATTTTATCAGGAACTGAGACAATCATGATACACAAGAACAAAAACTGATCAGCTCTTAATTTCTAAATCTGAGTGTCAAGAAAAAAAAACTATAATCAGGGATAGGCTGTACAAAGACCAAAATGCACAGTTAATGTAAATACAAACAGTATAATGTAAACACAACCGGATTCTCTGCTGGTCAGCCTTCCACTAAAGCGAATGCGGTTTGGCAAAGTGCCTTCCTCAAGTATATAAAGAGTCCTCATCCTTATAAATTGGGTACATACCTAACTGCCCCATCCTCCTTTGTGTGCGCTCAGCGTGGATTCTGAGTCACGCAATAGTGTATACGTTGACATCACTGCTGCCTTCTTGGAACTCCGAGTCATGTGTTCTCCATATACACTTATTTGAAGCCTTACAAAAAACCATGTGCATACTGCTAGCCAAATTGATCTGCAAGTTTTAATTTGCAGATCAGAATGCCAATTTTAATTCTAAAACGTAGGTTAAGGATAGACCATATGTATTTTTACTATTGAAGGAACACTTTGTTAGCAGAAAGAAAAAAAGTTAGTTTTAAACTTTGGACAGTTCTTTTTGTTTTAAAAATGCATCTACAGGGAGTGCAGAATTATTAGGCAAATGAGTATTTTGACCACATCATCCTCTTTATGCATGTTGTCTTACTCCAAGCTGTATAGGCTCGAAAGCCTACTACCAATTAAGCATATTAGGTGATGTGCATCTCTGTTATGAGAAGGGGTGTGGTCTAATGACATCAACACCCTATATCAGGTGTGCATAATTATTAGGCAACTTCCTTTCCTTTGGCAAAATGGGTCAAAAGAAGGACTTGACAGGCTCAGAAAAGTCAAAAATAGTGAGATATCTTGCAGAGGGATGCAGCACTCTTAAAATTGCAAAGCTTCTGAAGCGTGATCATCGAACAATCAAGCGTTTCATTCAAAATAGTCAACAGGGTCGCAAGAAGCGTGTGGAAAAACCAAGGCGCAAAATAACTGCCCATGAACTGAGAAAAGTCAAGCGTGCAGCTGCCACGATGCCACTTGCCACCAGTTTGGCCATATTTCAGAGCTGCAACATCACTGGAGTGCCCAAAAGCACAAGGTGTGCAATACTCAGAGACATGGCCAAGGTAAGAAAGGCTGAAAGACGACCACCACTGAACAAGACACACAAGCTGAAACGTCAAGACTGGGCCAAGAAATATCTCAAGACTGATTTTTCTAAGGTTTTATGGACTGATGAAATGAGAGTGAGTCTTGATGGGCCAGATGGATGGGCCCGTGGCTGGATTGGTAAAGGGCAGAGAGCTCCAGTCCGACTCAGACGCCAGCAAGGTGGAGGTGGAGTACTGGTTTGGGCTGGTATCATCAAAGATGAGCTTGTGGGGCCTTTTCGGGTTGAGGATGGAGTCAAGCTCAACTCCCAGTCCTACTGCCAGTTCCTGGAAGACACCTTCTTCAAGCAGTGGTACAGGAAGAAGTCTGCATCCTTCAAGAAAAACATGATTTTCATGCAGGACAATGCTCCATCACACGCGTCCAAGTACTCCACAGCGTGGCTGGCAAGAAAGGGTATAAAAGAAGAAAATCTAATGACATGGCCTCCTTGTTCACCTGATCTGAACCCCATTGAGAACCTGTGGTCCATCATCAAATGTGAGATTTACAAGGAGGGAAAACAGTACACCTCTCTGAACAGTGTCTGGGAGGCTGTGGTTGCTGCTGCACGCAATGTTGATGGTGAACAGATCAAAACACTGACAGAATCCATGGATGGCAGGCTTTTGAGTGTCCTTGCAAAGAAAGGTGGCTATATTGGTCACTGATTTGTTTTTGTTTTGTTTTTGATGTCAGAAATGTATATTTGTGAATGTTGAGATGTTATATTGGTTTCACTGGTAATAATAAATAATTGAAATGGGTATATATTTGTTTTTTGTTAAGTTGCCTAATAATTATGCACAGTAATAGTCACCTGCACACACAGATATCCCCCTAACATAGCTATAACTAAAAACAAACTAAAAACTACTTCCAAAAATATTCAGCTTTGATATTAATGAGTTTTTTGGGTTCATTGAGAACATGGTTGTTGTTCAATAATAAAATTAATCCTCAAAAATACAACTTGCCTAATAATTCTGCACTCCCTGTAAAGCTGATTGCCAAGGTGTGCCAATTATGTGCATCTGACTTTTTGCCATGGTGTGCCAATTGTATGCTTCTGAAGCGGATTGCCATGATGTGCCAAGTTTATGCATCTAAAGCTGATTGCCATGGTGTGCCAAGTTTATGTATTTAAAGTTGCCATGATGTTCCAATTGTATGCCTCTAAAACCGATTGCCATGGCATGCCAATTGTATGCATCTAAAGTGGATTTCCACAGTATGCCAATTGTATGCATCTAAAGCGGATTGCTATAGTTTGCCAATTGTATGCATCTAAAGCGGATTGCTATAGTTTGCCAATTGTATGCATCTAAAGCGGATTGCTATAGTTTGCCAATTGTATGCATGTAAAGCGGATTTCCACGGTGTGCCAATTGTATGCATCTAAAGCTGATTGCCAAGGTGTGCCAATTATGTGCATCTGACTTTTTGCCATGGTGTGCCAATTGTATGCCTCTGAAGTGGATTGCCATGATGTGCCAAGTTTATGCATCTAAAGCTGATTGCCATGGTGTGCCAAGTTTATGTATTTAAAGTTGCCATGATGTTCCAATTGTATGCCTCTAAAACAGATTGCCATGGTATGCCAATTGTATGCATCTAAAGTGGATTTCCACGGTATGCCAATTGTATGCATCTAAAGTGGATTGCTATAGTTTGCCAATTGTATGCATGTAAAGCGGATTTCCACGGTGTACAAAGTGTATACATCTAAAGCGGATTGCTATAGTTTGCCAATTGTATGCATCTAAAGCGGATTTCCACGGTGTGCCAATTGTATGCATCTAAAGCGGATTTCCACGGTGTACCAATTGTATGCATCTAAAGCGGATTGCTATAGTTTGCCAATTGTATGCATCTAAAGCGGATTGCTATAGTTTGCCAATTGTATGCATGTAAAGCGGATTTCCACGGTGTACCAATTGTATGCATCTAAAGCGGATTGCTATAGTTTGCCAATTGTATGCCTCTGAAGCTGGTTGCCATGGTGTTCACTTTTTAAAATACACATTAAAAGCAAGTGGGTCTCGGCCCATAAATGTTTGGGAAGCCCTGATCTAGAATACAGCATGACAACATCTTTCTGCAGCTCATCGCCACCTCTGGAACAAGGTGTCACCACCCAGCCAATCCAGTGCTTCTCCTAGACGAACATAGGGAGGTAAGGAACATGAGGAGTTAGTGCACTGCCAGCAATGCTTCTAATAGAGATGTTAATGGCACATTTAAGGAGTCTTATGGTACACTGGTAACCCTTGGTATCTTGAACAGTTACAATGCACATACTATTATTTAGCCACTAGATGGCAATAGAGCACACATTATCTCTGTTTCAGGGAAATTCTAGGTTAAAAAAAAAAATATTTATTTTCCTCTGCCTACAAGCATACATTTTCTTAACCGTACAATTTGTTTCTGCAGCTATGGGGACTTGCCCTCTTTTTGGATCAGGTAGAACGAAGCAAATAGAGGAAAACAGAAGTTTTTTCTTTTTTTTTTTTTTAATAATGGTAAGTTACTATAAAAAGTCAATGGGACACTGCATTCTTAATCAGGTAATATGTTTGTATTAGCAATCAAAAAGAGAAATCACTGAAGCAGAAATGCTAAAAAGGTTGCAAAAAATATATATGAATGTTAATTAAAAAATAATTAAAGAAAAACACACACATAATATAACACAACCCTGGAAATAAAGATGTAATGAAGAGATGAGCTTACAAAAAGATCTCATAAACTAATAGGTTAAAGGACCACTATAGTGCCAGTAAAACAAACTCATTTTCCTGGCACTATAGTAACCTGAGGGTGCCTCAAGGCCCTGTATGCCAAATCTGCTGCGGCATCTTCTCCAAGCAGTTGGGCAAACAGGCCTGATTGGATTTCTGGGAGGGTGTTCCCTTCAGCTTCAGGTAGGTCTCGTATGTGGATGTTATTCCGCCGGCCTCTGTTATCTAGGTCCTCCACCGGGCAACACCGCTCTAGGGAAATGGAGCCCTGTTGGGTGCCAGCTAGGTCCGTAGCCTGTCTGTGCTGTATTGCAATTGTGCGTTCAGCATCCAGTTCCTCCACTCTGTCGTCAAGTGTGACGAGATCTCTCCTGAGCTCTACGATCTCCTCCCGAATAGCTGAGCGGAGCTCCGCCACCAGTGTTGCCTTGTCCCCCTTAGTCAGCATGTTGGCTGAGATAGCTGCAAGTTCAGCGGAGATCTGCGATAGCTTCTCCCTCCCAACAGAGTCGGGCGCGGAGTTGCTGACACTCTCAGGCAAAGACTTCTCCATTTTGTCCTGCTCCCGTGTGCCACGCAGGCCATGTGGCGTGGCAAGGAAATCATCCATCGGGCCCACAGCATTTCTCAGGGAGGCTGTGTGGGACGGTCCCGGGGGTCTGTATCCGATGGGTTTTACCCGTTTTGCTATGGTAGTCGCTATTACAAGGGGCTTTTGTGGGTCGGCGATGTGTGACCTACTCCATATCCAGGCAAGCCAAGCCCCCCACTTGCCTTTATTTAAATTTATTATTTTTTTACCCCCTTGTGCAGGTTCTTGTGCAGGGCTCCACTGTCCACTAAATCTATAGTTTGCGGTTCTATTGGATTCTTTTGACTGATGGATTTTGGGTAAATTAGCTTAGCCACTAAAAGCAACTAAGCTTAAAGGGATACTACAGGCATCAAAACAACTTTAGCTTAATGAAGCAGTAGTTTTGGTGTATAGATCTTGCTCCTGTAGTCTCACTGCTCAATTCTCTTCCATTTTAGGAGCTAAAATCACTTTTTTTTTTTTTAATGTACCCTAGTCACACACCCCTGCCTGTGACTGATAAAGCTTGCAGAAAAAAAAAAAAAAAGGTTTCATTTAGATATCAAACTTAAGTTATCTCCTGCTCTATAAACTGAACTTTAATCACACACAGTAGGCTTTTGCAGGCTCTAACAAGCTATTAACAGAGCAGGGGATATGAAATTCTAAATTAAAAAGACTGTGAATTAACGTTTCAACATTAGATGTTTCTTTACAGGAAGAGTTTGGAAAGACTGTGTGAGTCACACGCAGAGAGGTGTAGCTACGGCTGTATAAACAAAGTGATTTAACTCCTACATGACAGAGAATTGAGCATTAGGATAGCAGGGGCATGATCTATACACCAAAGCTGCTTCATTAAGCTGAAGTTGTGTTGGTGCCTATAATATCCCTGAAAGCAAAGATCACGCTACCCATAAGAAAAAGTAATCTCTATTGGGGCGTAATCTCTACTTTTTCTTATGTATAAGGAGAAAAAACAAAACAAAGAGAAATAGAGGGACAGAAAAGTTGAATCCAAGCACAAAATCGGTTAAGTGACAGAGCCACTTTAAGCAAAGTTCCATTTTAGCTGCTAAGCTACTTAACCCACCATCCATTAGTCAAAAGAATCCAACAACAAGGGCAAACAGACATCATGGACAGAGTAGAACCAGATGGTATCACCAGGATATGGAGATCTTGTGCAAGGAAGAGAACAAAAAAAAACAGTAAGTGACAAGAGGTAGTATAATTGACACTTAAGTCACCAAAACAACTTTAGCTTTATGGTTTAGCGTATTAAGCAGTTGTGGTGTATAAATCATGTCCCTGCAGTCTCGCTGTTAAATTCTCTGCAATTTTAGGAGACGTGTCGATTGATTTGGGTGTGAATCCAAATTTTGCTGCAGGATACAATTGTTTTAGCAACCTGTTGTGTTCAACATACTCTGAATGCAAGGGATTCTTTAGCATACTGCTCACAGCGCAATACAGTGCACATTTATCCAAGCATAATGAATACCCGTGTTCTAATTGTTTACATACATTTTACAGCAGGTACAATTTCTTCCTCCAATGAGCAAAGGACACATATATGTCTACTCAAAGTTCTGGCAACAGAGATGAATACCTTAAAAGGTCAAAAGTAATGTTAGGAGATGAGGCCTGCTATGGAAACTAAACCTCCCTGATTGCTATGTGACAAGCAACACTATTGTAGTAATATAGCAACATAAAACTGGAAGCATTATCGTGTAAAAAGTATTAAATTCTGTGATTTTTCTTTCTTAGCTTTGCTGAAATAAATCTCCAAATATTCAGTAATATAACAATTTAATAACAGGCGCAAACTCATAGCAATCTGGGCTCTCGCACAAAACTAAGGCGTGGACCAGTTCAAGGCTATTATGCGTGCAAATATTTGATAGAATAATTATTCATATTGGTGTATAGTGTGAAGAAATGTGTATAAAACCATGTAGCATGAATAGATGTCCTGACCGTGAGGATGCATGCGCTTATGTGTGTATAATGTCAATTTAAGTGTGTCTGTGTGATGTATGTAAAATGCAGAAATTAAGTACTTTGTAGTTTAAGAATGTGTTTCGATGTAGGGTTGTATTTCTGTATATTTATTGTAGTATGTGAATGAGGGATGTGTTTGTGTGTGAATATTGTGCTTAGTGTCACAACTTGTATACACAGGTATGTATTTAGAGTTAATCTGTGAATTCAGTGAATGTAGTGAGAAGTACAGGTGTGTGGTGATAGAATGTGAAAGAGGGGAATCATTGTTTGTGTTAATGAATACAGGAAGTAGTGTGCATGTGCAAGTGTATTTGTGAAGTGTCAGTGTGTCTAATAATGCCAGGGTGTATTCGTGTAGAGAGTTTAAGAGTACATATTAGGTAGTTTGAACACTGCTTTGTATTTGTGCAATTCTGAAAGAATTTCTCTATAGGACTTCCTGGTCTCCCCTAGCACACATACGTGTCGGTCTTCATCATCCACCACTACTACTGTATCTCTCTCCATCTTCACCTAATTGTGCCTTTCTCCTATCATCTGCCTCTGTCCCATATCTCCTCACTTGGGTGTCTCTTCCCTCACTTGCGTATCTGTCCATCATACTCCATTAATGCCCCTCAGTATCTCCACCACTTGAGTCTTTCCATATTATCTTTAACTTGCATATCTCCCCATTACCCCCACTTGCATATTGCCACATCCCATTCTCTTACATATGTTCCCTTCTTGGAGCTTCTCTCCCCTTATTTCCACTGTGTATGTCTGCCCACTTCATGTTTCTGTGCCTCATATCCTCCTGCCCCCAATACCTTCATGGCTCCCACTTGTATCTATCCATCCAACCAACCTAGCTCACCCCCATTGTGTGCCCTGCCCCTAACCCACTCTATTAGTGCACATTTCCTTAACCCCTATATTGCTCCTTATACTGCATGTTTTAGACTTGTAATGTGAAGTGAGATCCAGATGGAGACTGTTGCTTTGCAGTTGTGGATAGAAGCAGCTAGTGTAAGAAATTACATTCTCTCACCAATCCTCTGTCCACACTGCTGATATGCCTTCTAAGACCAACAGAGAGTAGAATATGGAATATAGTTTACTTCCTGGTGCCCACCCACCGGGGTCAAGGTGATCCAGAGATCTCCCTAGCTGAGCCCTTCCGCAGAGCTGCAGCAGGGCACTCACCGCACTGGACCTTCAATCCATGACCGAAGTGCATGTGTAGTCAGTCTGTCCCACAATTATAACAATGTTAAAAGAAGGTAATTACATTGCCAACAATAATCAGGTGAGATATGTTAATGAAGTTAAATTCCATTTCATTTATCTCAGGTTTGTTCAACCTTAGCTCCGCTTTATTTGACTACATTTCACATTGTTTCTTACCAACCATGGAGGCTAGCAAAGGATTATGGGAAATCTGGTTCAATAACAGATGCAGGAGCCGACAAGGTACTACAACTCTGTGCTAACAGTATTTTATGCTATGGGCGATTAGCACATGCTTGAGCAAGTTTTAACATGGATCACACTATGTAACCAGCCTGGGGTAATGGTTGTGCAGAGTGGGGGACAGGTGTGTGATATTGTGGATAGAGGGAGGGGGGGAACCAGAGGGCACTATAGTGTTAGGAATACAAAGTCGTATTCCTAACACTATAGAATCCCTTTAAGTTTATAGAGCATGCTACTAAAAAGAGCAGATTCATTTTAGACACTATAGATAGGTGGTTCGATACACACAGCTAGCCATTTCTGCTTTGCATATATTATTACTGAGGTTGTTCATTTCCTGGAGAAAGTATTTATTATTCTCTGTTCAATTAGACACTTTTTTCTCTCTACTTCACAGCACAAACACAGTCAAAGGCAGCGTACCATAATGAATGTTTGCATAGACGATTCCGTTTTTGGTGGGGTTTTACAAAGTTCTAACTGTCAAAATACATCTGCTTAAACTCCCTCCCTCACAAAAAACAAATTAATAAGTGGTCCTGTCACTTTAACCCTGCAATGTAAAATACTGCAAACTTGTAGAAACTGTAATATTTACACTGCAAAGTTAACCCCTTAAGGGTATCAGAAAAACCCACTTCTGACGAAAAATGCCAGCATGACAGAAAATTCAATAATATCCCTTTTAAATGATAATGAATACTGTAACGCTATAGTGTATAGTTCTTTAAATGTACACTAAAGCACTCTAGTCTAGTGTATTGTGTACTTCATCCCAGAGAGTAGCTTCAGAACTGGTCTCTATTTCCATTTCACATTCATATGTTTGCAGAACAGGTTTTTTAAGATCAAGTTAGCTAATCCTTATAAAATGTTTGCTAAGTATTAACTTTCACATTGCCTCCTCCATCACCGCCACATATGCCATTTTATAATCCTATTGAAAAAAAAAAAAAAAAAGATAGCTCTACATAAATAGAATGCTTAAAGGCACCCAGACCACTTCATCTCAGTGGTCTGGGTGCAAGGTCCCTGTCTCCTTAGCCCTACAATGTAAAAAACTTTAGAGAAACTGCAATATTTATATTTCAGGGTTAAGACTGCCTCTACTGGCTGTGTATCAGACAGCCATTAGAGGCACTTCCTGCATTTACAGAGTTTAGCTTTGCATGAGATTGTCCAATATCTTCAAATAGCCCAATTCTAATGGCAACTCTGTCAGTATTTACCGTCATTTATAAACATTGCTAACATTCGCAAGGGACAGTTTTTGAGGAATAGTAGGTTATACTAAACTTGATCTGTGAAACACACATAAAACATCTGGAGAATAGCTTCCTGTCTTGTCCTGCGGAGTGAAGAGGCACCAGGTATGCTCTTCCCTGCGCAGCCCCCTCCTTCTGCACAGCCCCCATCCTTGTACAGATCTCCTCTCCCCCTGTCTCCCTAACAGTCCCCTCACCTGCATAGATCCCCCCTCACTTGCACAGATCCCCCCCTCCTCCCCTGTACCCTGACAGTCCCCCTCCTGCACAGATCCCTTCTCCCTTTTCTCCCTTGTACAGATCCCTTCCCCCCCACTCCCTGACAGTTCCCCTCCCTCGCCTGCACAGATTCCCTCTCCCCATCCTCCCTGACAGTCCCCTTCCTCCCCTGCACCCTGACAGTCACTCTTCCTTCTCTGTAGAGATCCCCTCTCCCCCTGCCAATCTCCCTCCCCTGTACAGATCTCCTCTCCCCCTGCCTTCCCTGCACCTTGACAGTCCCCTCACTCCCCTGTACAGATCCCCTCCCAGCTGCCACCCTGACAGTCCCTCTCCCTCCCTGTACAGCCATCCCTCTTTGCACTCTGACAGTCCATCTCCCTCCCTGCACAGATCCCCCTCTCTGCCTCCCCTGCACTGTCAGTCCCTCTGCCTCCCTAACAGTCCTCTTCCCTCTCCCCGGTGCACAAATCCTACATCTTTCCTGCACTCCAACAGACCCCAATCCCTGCACTCTCCATAGACCCCTCCCTCCCTGCACAGCCCGCCTCCCCATCCCTCCATAGTCCCCCTCCTTGCACCCTCCACACACCCCTTCCCTCCCTGACAAAAAAGAAAAGTATTTTAAGGCGCTTAAATTTAAAAAAAAAATATTTATTTAAAAAAATAAATAAATTCGTTTTAGTTCCTTTCACACCAATAAAAAGTTAAATATACTGAAATGCTTCAGAAACAATTATTTAAAAGGAAAACTCTGCTCAAATGGGCCACCCTCTTCCCCCATAAAATTACTGTTTACTCTATATGCCCCCAGTGAATTACATGCATGAATTTTTCAGGCATGTATTCATTGGGTGTATATCTTAAAAAAAGCTTGTAAACCGTGTTGGGCTAGAAGCGTTGAGTACTTAAAAGAGGTACATCTGGTGCAGCCACGGATGTCCGCGACTGCACCGGACATGACGTAGGTCAAGATAGGGGCGGCAAAAGCTCTAGCTACGCCACTGGATCTATTGCTAATAAAAACATAACACACACTGAACCTAAACACTGTAATAATTGTGCACTTTTTGATTTGAAACAGTTTTTTAATGCATGGGAACAGATCTCGATGAAAAGATATGAGGAAATGAAACTATTTCAAAAGTATGCCAACTTGAAACAATGTGGATCCATAAGTTTAAAACCTTTTGGGGTAAGGGTCTTAATGCTGACATTATGGTTTTTATGTAATTTACCAATCAAGCTTTTACATTTTTTATTCTCCCTTTATTTGAGTGTTTTTATGTTCATGTGTTTTCAAACGTGTTTTTAGCAAGTTTTTTTTTCCATTGTCTTTTATAAAACATATTTTTTATGAAGTGTATGTTTTCACATTGTATGTTTTTTAATTAAATTAAGTTAAACAGAAGATATAATATTTATATATAATTTTTTATTTTGTTTTAATAATATTTGTACCTCACAGATTACGTGGGGCATTAACCAAGACAGTTTGGTTTATGGATATTGTGTTAGCGTCACAATATTTGGATTTGCACCTCATAGATTATGTGGGGCATTAGATGGTTTGGTTTAGGGACATTGTACTATTTATTTTGAGCTGTTGGAGGTATAATCATCAGTCCTTGCTGTTTAAAGCTTTGTGCCCATTAAGTTCTTTTGACTTGGCGGATGCACTCTGGCGGCCATATTTTTGGAGTTGTGGACATTTTCAGAACTATCAATGCCATTAGACCGGAGCTTAGGGCTGTCCATGAGATGACCTAGTTGTCAGGCATTGACTTTTGTATTTTCAATGACTGAATACCTGAGCTATCACAAATGGTCAACAGTATGGATCCCGGTACCCATTTTTATGGTGGGCTTGAATTTCAACAAATAGAACAAGGCTGGCAATATATTGAGGCTGATGGGAGGGATTTACAAGGCGAGACTTCGTCAAACCAGCTCTCTTTGAGAAGGTCTGAGGAAGACGAAACTGGTCAGAGATTGAGCTCTTGAATATCGTCTTGGGATTACACCTAACACCAAGGAGGAGTTACACCACGGACCTGAAGCCGGGGGGTGGAGGAACTTCTGGGATGCTAGTCTATCTTTTTTGTGTCAATCATTTTTTATTTGAGATTTTCCAGGATTTCTATAGTTATACATAACATAAGTTGTGAACTTAACTGGGTGGTTAACAAATGCAAGCATGTTTGAACAGGTTATACAATTACCTTAGTATTGGGGAATGGACCCTAGGGAAAAGAGTCAGACTAGGTTTTTCTACCCCATAGAGCATGCTACCTGAGGTTGGTAGCATCAGGGCCTTTGTTACGTTCTCGTTTGGTTGGTACCCTGTAGTCTATGCCCTCTCATATCGGTTTGGCCCCTGCCACAGCCTCATTAGGGCCTCTCCTCGCATGTCTAGGGCCTGGGTCATGTTTGCCAATATTCAGGCCTGTTTTTTTTGGGGTATTCTGGGCTTCATTACGTTGAGCTCTGGCCTCTGGTCATTAAGTAGTGTGTTGTTGTAGAAGCTCATTGGCGGGGGGTGTATGTTGTCCCCTGTGGGTTATGTATTAGGGGGGCTCTAAACTAGGTAGGCTCGCTGTGATCTCGGGTCTGTGTTAATCGTGGGGCCTAATTCTGGGCGGCTTCTGGCTCCTGGGTGTGTGTTTCCGTTTACAGTTTTCCTCGGTGTTGGCCTGTCCATTAAACGTGTGCTGTCTGTGTTCTGTTCAGTCAGTTCCTAGGCGAGCGGTCTCGGTGTACCTGGGCAACAGCGAGTTCTCTGGATGGGAAGGGGGGGCGCGTAGTGTGCAATTCGGTTCTACGCCATGAGATACTTAAGTTTCCTGTGTATGGGGGTGTCTCGCGGGGCCCCGCGTCCGGGGGGATCCTCATCAGTTCATTTCTCTGGTGTCGCAGGGCCGCCTCTGCGTTGGGTCGACCCAGGTGGGACTACGTCCGTAAGGTTATCTGCTGGTGTAGTTGGGCCTGTTGGTCGAGCCGGCAGGCAATCCAGTATCCAGTTTGGGATAGGCATGTCCGGTAGGCCTACGGAGCGCAGAAAACGAGGGATTTCATTGGGCCATCACAGGACGTACCATTGATTCCCAACTCTGGCTTGCAGGCTAAACGGGAATCCCCATTTTGTACTGGATCCTCTTCTCCTGTAGAAGGCTGGTGACCGGTTTCAGGGCTCTGTGCTTCTAGGGTGAGGGTGGACAAATCTTGGTATAATGCTATATGCGAATCCATATACCGGATTGAGCGTTGTGCGCTGGCCGCCCTCATGTTCTCCTTCAACTGGAACGACCGGAGGCAGCAGATCAGGTCTCAGGGCAAACCATCCCTTCGTGGGGCTCTGAGTGCTCTTTCCAGCCCGAAGTCTGGTGGGGCCTCATCCCCCCAGGATTTGGGCGAACAGGCCCTCCAGCAGCTCTCGTGGCGCTTCTCCTTACAATTCCGGAATACCCCTGACGCGTATGTTATTGCGTCTACCTCGATTATCAAGGTTTTCTACCTGGCATCTTAGGTCGAGCAATACCTTGCCTTGTGGTGGCCAGGTCCGTTGCCCGTTGGTGCTGGGTTGATTGTAGTCTGTGAACTACCAAGTCATCTACTCTTTGTTCCAGCACCGTGAGGTCCCTTCTCACGGCTGTGATTTCCTCACGGATGGCGGATCGGAGCTCGGCAATGAGTTCTGTCTTGTCGCTTCGGGTGAGCATATTCGCCGAGATCGTCGCCAGGTCCGCCGACAGCTGTGTAAGAACATCTCTCCTCGGGGAGTCTCGGGTTGCGGAGTCTCGTTTGGAGCCTTTCTGGCTACTTAGTCCTGGGGACGAGGGCGCCATGTTGTCTGAGCCACGTGCGCTCAGTAGTCGTCCATCGGCCCTGTTAGATGACCTGTGGAGGTCTGTGCTTGACCAGTGGTGACCCCTCGTTTCGTTTTCCCCATGTTACCGGTTAGTTATTGCTGTGTGTAAGGGGCTTCGGCAGGTTGGGGCCTAGGAGCTCTTAGTGCCTGCGTCCTACTCCATTTGCAGCCAAGCCACCCATTCTAGCTTTTTGAACAGGTTTTTGGGACCTATCTACGCGCGCTTTTAGCCACTTCGGTGGCTGTATGTTTGAGTTTTATATACAATACACCCATTTTGTATGGTTTTACACTGTTTATCTTTTTTGTTTGTTTTAAGTGAAAAGATTTGCAAGATTTATGCACATTTTTTTTGTTGAGATCTGTCATATACAGAGGAGTTTTAATTTCATACTGCATGCTATATACACACCACACTGTTTGTGTTTTATTTATGTTTAATACAGTGTTTGGGAGTTGGTGTCTATTATACATTGTGTGTTTTAATGTATAAACATAGGAATGTGGTTTCTTTATTATTTTACAGGAGTCAATGTAAGGAAAAACATCTGTGTTTGTCCTCCATTTCAACACAAATCATTTTATTTTTTTATTTTTTTTTTAAAGCGAGTGCTGGCTCCCCTTTACTATGTATCTAGATACACATTGTCCCGTATTCTAAGTGAATTCAAAGTGCTACCATGACGTGAACAATAATAGTCAAAAATGCAGAATAAAAGGAGACTATACACACATCATATAGGCAGATTTCCTTTTAAATTTCATTATGCACAACAACAAATTGTGTTTTTAGCTGGTTTTGAAAGGAGATGAATGCTATTAGAAAACAAATTTAGGGACAAAGAGTCAAAGTGATACACATAAGGGAATACATTTATCTTATTTGTGGGTTGTTTATATGTACGTATATAGGATTTCAATAAAAGTTACTGTTAATTAATACAGCTGAAGGATACACTCATTTGTATAACACACAAACTGAAACAGTTGAGGAAATAAGGGCCGTGTAGCGTTACCGAAGTTATTTAAATTGACTACCTAGTACAAAATAACGGACTTACAATCATGCATATACAATGGTGACGTTTGGCGATTTAGTAATACCTCTAGAACAGGGTTTGGCAACCTTTGGCACCCCTTATGTTATGGACTACATCTCCCTTGATGCTTTGCCAGCATTATGGGAGTGGTAATTTGGCAGTTAGCTGTAGTGGCTATGGTGCCAGAAGTGCTCCTGCTGATTACTCTCAGCCAGTTAGCAGACACCAATTAAAAAGTCAAAAGGTTCAACTACTTACAATAATGGGGTCACTTATATTAAAGGTATTTGCACAAAGTCATACAGGCAAACATCCCATTTTCATTTAAGCAACAACAAATAAGATCATTTCTGCTTATCTTCTGTTCTGGAATAAAGAACCCAACTCATTTTCACCATACAGTGCAAAAGATTAAAATATTAAATGAACATTGATGATGACAACTTGACAGCTACAACTGTAAAGAAAATAAAAGTTCACATTAACACAGCTGGATAATGTAAAAGATTTTGATCTGACGGGTGTCGGGATATTGTTTGCCAAATGCATAAGGATTATTCATTGCCAAGAGAATAGTCAAATCCAAAACAGCTGTCCAGCCCATACCTAATAAAAACAGCTTGCAAAAAGCATACTCTTACATACAACACATTTAATATGTATTCTTTCCTTGACACAAACATTGAATATTTATATAATCTTGCAACCTACCAAGTTGCTGAATCTTGTGGGTCAATATAAATATCCAGTCGTTACCAGGTTGAATACTTTCAGATGGGGTGCTGTATGTGACTTCTGCAGTGCGAAACGCAAGGTACATGCAAACATATGGGACTATGCCAGAGTGCGCATGTACTCAATTTGCATTCCTGTTTAGATACACAAAGACACATAAGCATTTCAAGGCAGCATTGGGATGTGAAGTTGCACACAAGGTAGGAGTGCATTGGCAGTAGGGAGGTTTGTTTATTTTGTTTTTAATTTTAACTTGACTCTGCTGCTTTCTTCATCTCAGTAAATGCTGCAAAACTGTTTACTGTGGTTAAGGAACAAGGAAACAATCATAAAAGCTTTGCTATTTTAGCCTGATTTCTGAAAATTGTTCAGTTCTTCAATCCACAGCTTGGCCCACTGCAGCTGGAGTTTTAGGTAACTCATCTCTGCCAACATGTATAATACTAAAAAAGGCACAGGTCTTAAACTCTACACACAATACATTATACATGAAGAATAAGGAAGCAGCTGGTGACATGCAGGAGCATATTACAGTTGCATGCCAAGAGAAATATTAAAACATTATAAATGCTTATTTGTTATAGAAACTTTGACATTAAAAGTTCACTTGGCTCTCCTGTTTCATATAACACATAAAAGATTGACATGTACAAAAGCCAGGTGACACCCAGTGTTTGCTCTCCTTATATAGGAGCTGTGCCCCACCTCACCTGGGCACCTCTTCTCATTCTGCAGGCAGGCAGTCTGGGGGGAGGTCACTCTGACACTGGGATTTCCTACAGCTCGAAGTTTAGTTAATAGCCCTGTCAGTCTACCAGACCTTTCCTCACCTGAGCAGCACTCAGCACCCAGCCAACACGGGACAGTCTCTCTGCAGTTCTATCCTCCCTGAGAAGCAATTAGTCTGAGGGTGTCAGTCACTCTGCAGGTCTACTCCTTACATGTGCATTCTGGGCTTGGTCACTCACCTAAATCCCACTCAGCCAACCAGTGTCACTAGCCTATATCACACTCAGCCAGCCAGTGTCACTCACATATCACACTCAGCCAGCCAGTGTCACTCACATATCACACTCAGCCAGCCAGTGTCAGTAACCTAAATCCCACTCAGCCAACCAGTGTCACTCACCTAAATCACACTCAGGCAGCCAGTGTCACTAGCCTAAATCACACACAGCCAGCCGGGGTCACTCACCTGAGCAGCACTCAGCCAGCCGGGGTCACGGTGTCGCTGTTTTCATTGGGCTGAACACGTCATGCTCGCTCCCGACACCCGGATCTCCCCTGCTGCACGCGCCCCGCTGGCCGATAGAAGAATCACAGTCGCGCAGGCTGGAGGGGCGGGGCTAGAGGACACCAGACCAGCCAATCAGTGTCCGCTTTCCAAACACAAACCACGGCGGCCAGCGAGAATCCTCGGGCTGTGATTGGTGTTCGCTGTGGTGTCACGTGACGGCGTGCAGGCTGTCTGCCTGGGGAGGACATGTCTGAAACCCTGTACTGCTCCAGCCCCTGTGGACAGCTAGAGCCCCTGCTGCTCAGCCAGAGGAATGCCACTGGGCGCCTGCTGGACACTATGTCTATCAGGATATAACTGGATGAGCATCATGGGAAACCTAGTGCAAAATAGGGTGGAGTGCCAGTGTAGCCATCACTGCTTTATGGCAATGGCTGTCCAGCTGGTCCACTGGAGCATCCCTTAGATAGGTTATACCCAGTCACAATGTCTACTAACCCATAGATAATAACATGAAACCCATGGCTACACATTATACATAACACTTATATTTCTTCTGCACTTTCCCAGATATATTTTGCTATCCTGGACTGGGTGCATTCAAAATGTATTAAATAATCATTGTTAACCTACGCCACCCAAAAAATAGTGATATAAGAAAACACTGTTTTTGGTCAGAGTAACCCCTCCTATACTGCCACCCCGTTCCGCCAAGTTCTCCCTACAGCCTGATCTTCCTCGGCTGACGTCACTCTCCCTTGCCAATGTTTTGTCAAATTCCGTTTTGATACCAGAATGTGACATCGGATGGGGACAGATGTCAGGAAGGCTGGGCAACCTAAAGGGAAAAACATGAGCGGCATGGAGGGTGAACTGTTCCACCTCTGGCTGGTGCTCTCATGTTGGCACCAGACTCCAAATTTGCACAGAATCCACATTGTTCTAGGCTGGCTAATAATGCCCCAAATTATGCTGCAGAGGGCTTAAACTCTGTGTATGCAGGGTTTCATTGATAAATCAGTGAAATGGTTTTAGTGCTTGGACTAACCCTGGTAATCGAATATTAGTCCTTCTATTAACATATGTGAGAAAACCACTATTCACTCACCAGTTATATGCTTACCTCTTATAACAGAATTTAGCCCTTTGGCTTAAACACAATCATTGTTTCACTGAGCGCCATAATTTGCTATCCTAAGTAAGAATGCTCCACATAAGAATAAAAAATTAGGAAGCTATCTAAACAGCTGGAAGAGTAAAAAAACAAAACAAAAAAAACTCAATTTTTCTTAAATACCAATAATTAGGAAGCTATCTATTAAACAGCGGAACAATCAAAAAGGCCCTTTTCCTAATTTTACTGCTTCAGTTGCTTAATAGATAAGTCCCTAATTTGCTATCCTTATGAAAACAAATGGATCTGAAAAACTTTGGATTATTAGTCCAGAAATTGTTTGTTTTTCATATGTTTCCGAATTCTAATTACATTTTATTTGTCTGAATGCAAATATCTAACAAATATTTTTTTCCATTTTTTTAGTCCCCCGTCTAGGGGCAACATGTGAAGTCCACAATATTCTAAATTCAAGAGCATCAATACAGGAGCTGTCTAAGCACCACAAACACCACTCTCTGCCTGATAAGGCTGTGAGTCAGAATAAGGCTTACGATAACTCGGTAAAACGTTAATTTTTTTCATGTTTCCTACTCCATTAATGATGGAAATGAGAATTTTGTGCATCTATGCATTATTCATACCTTCCCAGCTGTCCCTGGTTCAGATCTGTACGTTCGGGTCTCACTAACAACGCTGCCAGAAGTGAAGTTACACCTGCAGCAAACTGCTTTAACTCTGTATGTGTATGGGGTGTCAGCGTTTAAATGCTGCGCATACAGACTCCAAGCACCATAACCACTTCAAAGCACTGATGTGGTCATTGTAGTTGAAATATTCCTCCCAGAATGCATAAAAATGGGATTGTAAACCCAGGATTCTGAAAAGAAATTGTTGTATAAATATATATATATTTGACATTACACAAATGGTTTCGTGACACGGAAGTGAAAATTGAGCTAGTCATGAGATAAATCCTTGAACGGTTATTGGAAACATAAAAATAGCTAAACCAAACATAATTAATCATTGTAAAGTTTTAATTTCACTTACAGCTTCTTGTGTTCACAGAAATGTGAAAGATTAAGCAGCTCATTGATAAGTTTAGGTGAGACACCGCCCATTGTTTTTTGTAGGAGAATTGTTCTTGCTATTACCTTTAGATGGCGTTAAAGTGCTACACATTTTCTTTAAGGTTTAAAGGGATACCACACTTACCAAACAAAACAAAACTGTTTTGTGCTATAGCCTTAATAACCTTACAAAAAAAAAACTGAATGGAAAAAAAGGAACAAAAAACCCTTTATAAATAAAGGAGTAACCCATATATAAAACTTAAGTTGTGATATAAATATAATACATTTTAAAAACTCCCTCATTATAAGCTAGGTCTGCCTAGCTAGACCACTTAATATTGCTATTATATAAAAAGGGTACTGCAAAAAGAAACAATTGTAACTAATTCCTAGAGCAAAAATAATAACCCCCTCCTAATGTATATTATTATAAACTATAACTTATAACTTTTTTTTTTATTATTTTTGAAAGTGCATTGTTAGGTACATTTGTCAAGATTGTCAAAGGATAATACAGTAGTAGGTAATTGAAGACAATTTTGGTGACAGATTCGTTATGCGTTGCACTTTGTTTTTTGTTTTTTTGAGTGAAAAATTCAAGAATTAACAAAAACAGGCATATTAAAGATAGGTTAAGACAGGCATAGCAAAATAAACAGGAGCATGAAATAACGATGCGCAATGTTATGTTATGAGAAAAAAAGAATAGTGGGTAGGCACTTCACTGAAATATATGGCAATATAGTATGTAACAAAAATACCAAACAAAACGGTGTAACCGGTATAGAGGTGTTTCCCTTTTACACCAGACGTCAAGATAACAAAGTATGAAAATATAAATATACCGGTGTATCCACCTCCCCAGTGTCACTCAGGTAAATAAGGTAATGTTACCAATAACGGAGCTTAATGGAGATATACAGATTCTCCAGAGCCGTACCAGGCTCTGTATATCAGGCTCACGGGTGCCAAGTACTGGCTAGCGATCTAAGCGATGTAGGTAGATGAGACCCTATGTGCAGTAGCCCAGAGTAGATAAATACAATAAAACAACATACAAATAATATGGATCAAAGCAGACGCGTTTCGGCAAGCAGCCTTCTTCTAGTGCTTGTCTCCGAGTCCCATTCGGTCCTCTTTTATAGGTCTCATCTCTGGCTTTCACCTGAATGGAATTCTCTATTAGCGTCACGTCACTTCCAGTTTCCATATGTGACGTCACTTCGGGTTTTCGGCAAGATGGAATGCACGCTGAAACGCAGCGTTCTTAATATGGGTCACATGTTGATATGTCAGTATAGTCTCCTTGGCAACCAATCACTCCACACGAAGGAGGAATAAATGCAAATTCATAAAATATAGAAAAAATTATAAACATCCAATGATTAATAAATTCATTTGTACTACACCGATCTGCCTGGCCGATAGATGGAGACGGAGATTATATCCCGTTGTCCAAGGTCCTGAGCAACACAGGAATGAGAAACCTGCCAGAATGGAGCACGGCGACACAACACACGCTGATGCACAGATTTCGATACACACAATTGCGGCACTTCTACTACAACCTTCCCAACCGTGAAGCGATCCACAGAGAACAGACGTGGTTCGAACACCTCTGCGTGACAAACACCGACACAGACGGCAGAGTATCAATCCTTTACCAGCAGTTGATCACAGGGGATCGCACACGTAAAAATGCATTTAAGAGGCAATGGGAAGAACTGACGGCAAGGACGTACACAGAGGCGCAATGGGAGCAGATATTAATATTACAACACAAGAGCTCCATAAGCACAAGGTATCAGGAGGTCAACTTCAAATTACTCTCACACTGGTACAGAACCCCATCTCTATTACACAGGATATTCCCGGGAACGACAGATACGTGCTGGAGATGCGAATCCCAAACAGGCACCCTACGACATATCTGGTGGGACTGCGCGCGGATCAAACCATACTGGGAAGACATCAAGAGGGAGATAACGACAATCGTGGGTGACTTACCAGAATTTACCATGGAAATGGCCTTACTACACTTTACGGAAAGCTCGATAGCCCAATATAAGAGATCGATACTGAGACACCTGCTCAATGCTGCGAAAGCGTCTATACCAGCTAAGTGGAAGCAGATCCACCCACCAACCGTAGCAGAATGGCTACAGAGAGTTGAGGAAATACACACAGCTGAGGCACGATACGCAGAACTACTAGGGAGAAGCACCAGACATGTCGACATCTGGACCCCATGGTATGTCTATCTCTCCCGTACCAGAACTTAGAGAGGCACGAGCTCACTGCGACACCCGGGGGTTGGGGATGCCCGGGCGCACTCCGGTGTAAACTGCTCACAGACCCTTCCACACCCCCCTTCCTTTTCCTCCTACTCCTTCCCCCTTTTTATACCTGCTACAACTACTGCTTACGTGTAACTTCACTAAGGGACACTGCGGGGGCGGCGCGGCTTGCGGCCGAGGGGGTCGGAACCGGGAGGGCTCGAACACGTTGACGCACAAGATATTACCATGACGTGTAGATAGTTCTACTGACACGATCTTCCGACTTACACAAGACTGAAAGACAGCGGCAGAACAGGCTCTGACGCATGGAGAACATGTCATCGAGGTAGGACATAACTAACTACTGAGCGGATAGGAGCTAAGCAATAGATTAACAATTCATCAAGGTGACTAGACACAGACATAACCCATACCCGACCTAGGGGACACACAAACAGACCCAACCCATTAGGCTAACCCCGACCTCATAATTTCCCCTGGGGTTCACTTCTACGGGAGGCTCCGAGTGGAAGCCTGGATTCAAGGAATCGCCCCCTGATCTGTACTGCATCAGGCACTAGAAACTGAATCCCAGTGTTGGCACCATAATATTGACACGTGTGCATGAGACCTTGAATTGAGCTTTACAGTTTATGTCCCAAATGTCAATCAATAATATTGCTCCTGTATTCGGACTTCATGCATCATATCCGTCTTAATTCTGTTGATACTACGATGTTACTGCCTTATTTCTCCTGACAACCTATAGCAGCATACTATAATTTAGAGAGGAAGCGTTGCCACGTTTTTACTAAGCTATTCAATCTAGAGTTTTTACCTGTTCTGTAAATGCGTTCTTATGCACCGATGTTACTATTGTATTCATTTTCCTGTTAAACGATATGGTGCTTGACGACTATTGAGTATTCAGGATCGCGCATGATCAACACTTGTATTATCAGAACTAATGCTCGATTTGTCCACACGCACGCGTACACTGTTGTAGCGTTTGCTTGTGTTTATTATACTCACCTGTATGACAAAATAAAGAATTTACAAAAAAATAAAAAAAATAAATTCATTTGTAAAAAGTATATACATACAGTGTAAATGCAAATAAGGGGACACTTAAAGGTGTATATGTGCACACTTATAAAAGGTCCCCAATATACATGTCTGTCAAGCCTTTATATAAGACAGATAAAAACAATGTATTACATCCAAAAGTGTTCCCATATATGGAGATCAAACAGACAGAAGACACGTGGGATCTTTAATTAAACCTCGCACAGGTATCTTGTATATGTCCTAAAAGGTAATATGTATCATTTTAATATTAATATATATTTCAATAAACGTAATTCTATATAAAAAAAAAAAAAATGAACAAACTCAAAATCTAAATTTAATCCGTTAGGGGACAAGGTGTTTACATCAAAGATCCACCTGCCCTCTATCTTTGCCAATTCCTTAGTATTATTATTATCGCCCCTCCAATTTTTAGATTTTTTAAAAATAACTGCATATGATAACAGTGAGGGGTCACTGCCATGTTTTTCAGTGAAATGTGCGGACACACTGTGTTTCATATACCCCCTCTGGATATTGCCCACATGCTCTGCAACCCTAGTTTTAAAGGCTCTTGTGGTCATTCCAATATATTGCAGACCACATGGGCACCAGAGGAGGTATATGTCATTGGTGTAATTACATGTTAATATTTGATGGATTTTAAACGTACGGTTTGTGGAATATGAAATAAATTCTGTCTGTTTTCGTTTGTTAAATAAAGTTTTCCTACAGGCTGAGCAAGATTTACAAGGATAAAATCCCGTTTCTAGACCAAAAAGATTGTTTTCTTTTGCCTTATCTTTAATAAAACTAGTTGTTCAATGTTGTTTTAAGTTCTTGGCCCCTCTATAGATTATACGTGGCTTGTCCCCAACAATTCCCTTCAGCTGCTGGTCTGATTTGAGAATGCGCCAATGTTTATTAATGATATGTCTAATCTGTTTGGCATCTTCACTATAGTTTAGAACGAGCGGTATCTGGTCAGCATGTTTATTTTCTTCCCTAGGGGTCTTTTTATGCAGGATCTCACCCCGATCCATCTTTTTGATAGAATGTATGGATCTGTTTAATGTATTCGTAGTATACTTTTTTTTCTACAAACCTTTCTTTTAAACAAGCTGCTTGTTCTTCGAATATTCTAACATCACTACAGTTCCTGAATAGCCTTAAAAATTGGCCTTTAGGGATGTTTTGCAGCCAGGGCTCATAGTGGCCGCTAGATGTTTCTATGTAGCCATTAACATCGATTTTTTTTTTAAAGTAGGTCTTCGTTTTAATGGTTTGTTGGTCCACATAGATGTTTAGATCTAGAAAGTTGATGTTAAATTGACTATACTCACTGGTTAGTTTAAAGGGACACTATAGTCACCTGAACAACTTTAGCGTAATGAAGCAGTTTTGGTGTATAGAGCATGCCCCTGTAGCCTCACTGCTCAATCCTCTGCCATTTTGGAGTTAAATCCCTTTGTTTATGAACCCTAATCACACCTCCCTGCATGTGACTTGCACAGCCTTCCATAAACACTTCCTGTAAAGAGAGCCCTATTTAGGCTGTCTTTATTGCAAGTTCTGTTTAATGAAGATTTTCTTATCCCCTGCTATGTTAATAGCTTGCTAGACCCTGCAAGAGCCTCCTGTATGGGATTAAAGTTCAATTTAGAGATTGAGATACAATTATTTAAGTTAAATTACATCTGTTTGAAAGTGAAACCAGTTTTTTTTTTCATGCAGGCTATGTCAATCAGAGCTAGGGGAGGCGTGGCTAGGGCTGCATAAACAGAAACAAAGTGATTTAACTCCTAAATTACAGTGAATTGAGCAGTGAAATGATCTGTACTCTAAAATTGCTTGTTTTAGCTAAAGTAATTTAGGTGACTATAGTGTTCCTTTAATATCTGGATGTCTAAGATTTAGAAAGTCCAAAAATGGCTGCAATGATGATACATCACCCCGTCAAATAAAGAAAGCATGGTGATGTTTAACTTGTCTGCGATGTCTAGTAAAGGGAACGACTAATCTATCGTGGTGAAGGAGGCATGTGTACCGTGTGCTGGCTAGATGTGCAGGCTGTACTGGCTAATGTGGTGCAGGGTTAAATCTTGTAAGGACTATCCTCATAGGGTTGTGTGTGAAGCGTATCAGGCCTGCTCTGCTTGGGGCTATGTGTGTACGTGTGGTGACAGGCCATTCTACTGCCAAAACAGCTAGAGAACATCCACCCTACCAGGTATGAGGTACAGGAGAGCATTATATACATTTAGTGAGTCCCGCTCGGTCAGCTCAGGTGGGTACAGGCCTATTGGGAGTCGTGGCTGTTAGTTTTCCCCCAGTAATGGTTGTATGCTTGTAAACTCGGTACAGTCTTTAGTCCGGCCTGGTGGGGGATTGAGCTCGGGAGCGCAGGATGCCGACAGCCTGTTGTCATCGCTCATCCGATGCCAGCTCTGGGTGTTTACCAGGTGTGATGGGAGTGGAGGCATGTAGGGCCCCCCAGCACAGCTCTGTTTCTGAGGTGCCACGTGGGTGGTTTCTGGTCGTGCGTTGGTCTCGGTTCATGCTGTGGCAGCGCAGGCATGCCCTCTGTAGTGTGGCTGGTGTGGGGTTTACGTTGCGGGGTCCGCCGTGCGCTCCTCGAGGTTGTCCCGGGGCCGCGTTGTGGGGGGCACCTGCTCCTCTCCGAGCTGGCGTCGCTCAGACTCCTGGTCTCGCTCTTGCTTGTGGCTGGCTTGTGTTTGCGTGCAAGGCCGGTCTCAGCTTGTTTCCTCAGGTAGATCCGTTTTATTGGCGGGCCATAGCATTTCCGTTGGTGCCAATTCCCTGCACTCTTCTCTCTGAGAATTGCTTTGCTGGCAGGAGTGTGCGGGTAGCAGCGTCGGCTTTTGCGCTTCTGGGACTTTCTTTGTGGCTTGGTATGTGTCCAATCTTCTCCAGAAGGCTTCAAAGATGGCATTCAACCTTGCCTCTATGTCATCTCTGGGCAGTGTGTCACTTCGTCCATTTGCTTTTGCCGCCATTTTGTGATTCGCCAGCTCCGTCTGCCTGCGCCGGCCCATGTCCCGGTTGGGCACTCCTGGGACCGGGATAACCCCCGCCGGTCCATAGGTGGGGGAACGAGGACTCATGTGCCCGTTGCTAGCCGTGGAGGGCTGCGAGGGAGCGGCAGCCTCCCCCATGCTGCCCTTGCTTGTAGGCCGCAGGCGTCTCTTCTTTGTGTCTAACCGGTTGGGTCGCTCGTTTGGTGTCTGCAGGTGCCCCGTGGGATCACCTCTCCGTATGTGGCACTCTGGTATTGATTATCTGCAGTTTTTTGGCTGTTTTAGCGTGGTTTTCGGCTGGTAGAGCAGGAGTAGCTCTGTCCTGCGACTGCTCGTCTCTGCGGTAAGGCCCCGCCCACTCAACTTATAACTTTTTATAAAGGGTTTTTATATGTTCCTTTTTTCCCCATTCATTGTTTTGTAATAGTATTTAGTCTAGAGCAGGGCTTCCCAAACTTTTATGGGCCGAGACCCACTTTTGAAAACTGTAATTTTTCGAGACCCACTTGCTTTTAATGCATATTTTAAAAATAAACAACATTAGAATCCGCTTTAGAAGCATATAACTGGCACACCATGGCAATCCGCTTTAGAGGCATATAACTGACACACCATGGCAATCCGCTTTAGAGGCATATAACTGGCACACAATGGCAATCTTTAGAGACATACAATTGGCACACCATGGCAATCAGTTTTAGATGCATAAACTTGGCACATCATTGCAACTTTAGGTGCATACTATTGGCACACCATGGCAACCAGCTTTAGCTGCATACAATTGGCACATCATGGCAATCAGCTTTAGATGCATAAACTTGGCACATCATGGCAATCACTTTTAGATGCATAAACGTGGCACATCCTGGCAATCAGCTTTAGAGACATAAAATTGGCACACCATGGCAAACAATCTTAGCTGCATAGGATTGGCACACCATAGCAAACAATCTTAGCTGCATAGGATTGGCACACCATAGCAAACAATCTTAGCTGCATAGGATTGGCCCACCATGGCAAACAATCTTAGCTGCATAAAATTTGCACACCATGGCAAACAGTCTTAGCTGCATAAAGTGGGCACATGGCAGCTTTAGAGGTATACAATTGGCACACCATGGCAATCAGCTTTAGATGCATACAATTGGCACATGATGGCAATCAGCTTTAGAGGCATACAGTTGCAACACCAGGGCAATCAGCTTTAGATGCATAAAATTGGTATATCATGGCAGTTTAGAGGCATAATTCTGGGAAATCATGGCAGTTTTAGAGCAATCATTTTGGCATATCATGGCAGTTTTAGAGGAAGAAACTTGGCACATCGTGGTTATCTGTTTTATAGGCATACAACTGCTTACTCACAGACTCAGTCAGAATCAGAAGTTCTGTGTCCCCCTCACAGAACTTATCCCAGTGGTGGACCTAATGTAGAGAGGGCCCTGGTGCAAATATGTTTTCTGGGCCCCCATCTTGTGGAAGTGTGGCCAAAAGGTAGAACCCCATCTTCAACAATGAACTTCAACAATGGAATGCAAGCTGGGGATCTACCATTTGCCCATCGTTGCAGGGTTATATTTGTGAGCAGTGTTCAAGCGTTTGTAGGCATGTTTTTGTATAAAGTATATGTGTGCATGTATGGGTGTATTTGTATGTACTGCTGCCATTTAAATGTAGTGGTGTACTTGTGTGTAATGTTTGCGTCTGAATGCAGGGGTGTTTGTATGTAGTGTTGGACTTTAAATGTAGGTGTGCTTTTTGTGTGTAGTGTTGGTGTTTGAATTAAGGTCTGTATATAATTTTAGTGTTTTAATACAGGGGTTTGTTTTTATGTAATGTTTGCATTTGATTGTAGTGCGTGTGTAGTGGATGCAGTATGTGTGCAATGGATGCAGTGTGTGC